AGGTACCTACTAATAGGTATATAGGTAGTAATAAAGAATTAGTTAATAACAATAAACAAATATGAGACGGTTACCGCTTCGTGTATCTTTTAACATGTGTGATCAACTATATACTGCAGAAAAACTTGGCTACCTACCTAAGGTACCTACATAGGAAATGATGCGAATAGCAAACTGTTATCGTCTGGCATCTGCAAGCTTGTCTTATCCTGCAAGTTCCCACCGCGGGAGCAGTGTGATTTACGCTTAAGTGTCCCTCTTAAGCTGCGCTGCAGTACTGCAATGCAGGTGTTCGTCCGGCAGAGTCAGCTGCAAGCTGCAGGTGCTAGTGGGCTACTATTCGCATGCATAACTACGGGCTACGGGCTACGGGCTAACGCGTATGCGCTTTTCTTATTAGTCGCCGTTGAGACGTATAGTTGACATGTTTCGAAACAAAGGGGTTCATTGGATAGTTTATTGGGTCATCGTCCCGGGAGCTCTCCAGTCCCAGTTGTCTTTCCTGGTCCTCCTAGCAGATCAAATCTGGGAAAGCTGTTATTAGATATCAGTGTCATAATGGCAAGGAATACGCACCTCACCGGTGAGGAGGCTTAAACCTTTCTGATTGTATCAGTGGATCGTGACTTACCTAGTACTTAGGTACCTAACCTAGCTGAAATGGGGTTGGTACAATACCTAGGTACTTGAAATTGCGCTGCGGCGAAGACAATCACTGCTGTTTACAATACCTACCTAGCTCCCTAAGAGGTATCAATCCTTGAAGCTTTTCGGACGTTGAGCAATTGCTTTGCTTGTATTTTTTTTTTTTTCCTTTTTTTAAATTTAATCGTATAATTAATCGACTGGCCCGTTGGGCCGAGCATATGTACGGTATCTCCGAGGTACCGGCATTTAATAATCATCTCGAGAAATTTTAATAATAATATGCCAGCTCCTACATAGCTCCAGAATAATAATAACAACGATAATATTGGTTGTATTGTACGTTGTACGCATGCAATTAAGAGTGTGGTGGTACTTTTCGCTATCATTTAACGAATGTGATAGGCTTTCTCTGGTAGAATTATTCAGATACCTTACTTGTATCGACTTATCGATCTAGCCCTCACCTCAGCAAGGCTACCAAGTAAATAGGGAAAGGTTGCCAGTCTAAATGAACCAGGCATCTGAAACAATGGGGCTGATTGTTACTTCAAAATCGTCAAGAGACTTGCGATTTGAGGTTGAGTTTCGACGATTTCCCCTGAAACTGTCTGGATCGAGGTCACTTCGTGTGATACCACGACTTCGGAACAGAGTCCCGGTCCTTTCTGGGGGACTATCTGATGCTACGGTACATCGATACACAAATATTAAGAAGCTGTTAAGAGGCCTGCCACGTAGAAAAAACGTGGAGGAGTTGTTATTTATCAATTGAGATTAAGTTGATCTATCACCATCACCGTCACTATCGGTCTCATTTTCAAACAAGACCTTCATGTTAACAGCGTGCAATAAGTATATAATGCATATAATAGATACACCGTCATCGCCGATTATCCTGTAGCATGATTCATTGTAATTTGTTTACGGCCAAGCCAAGAAGACCAAATGAGCTTCAAGTTACTTTTAAAACCCCGTAAAAGAAAATAGTCACCGAAAGGTTAAATTCTCGTTTGAAACATTTGCCGGTTTACATTTCTATCCACCGCTGTCGCCACCATTCTTATTTATTTATTGAAACTTCACTTTACCTAAGCCGCGATCCGGTTTAAGCTTTTAAGTCCAATTAAGCTCTTTTATTGGCGTTTAAAAGATTTGGTACGCTAAGTATAACCTCTAACCTAGTGTTTAAACCAGGTACGCATACCAAATTCGTTAAAACTGGTTTATTAATAAACATCCATTGTTTGACCTAGGCGTACGTATTATCTTTCTATAATGGCGTTGCAAAATATCTCTCTGCAAAATATCTCTCTGCAAAACCGGTTGACTTATTGCCATATGTTGAGATTGTTGCTGCTAGAATTTCTACTACTACTATTAAGCTAGGAGGGTCTTCTGGTTTCATGACTTAAGTTAGGTACCTAGGTAATTATGTAGATGTGATGAAACGTTAAGAGGTTTACACACCACTGTCCCATCTATGTAATACCACACCACGCCATTTAGATCATACCGATCCATACTATGTAGAAGTAGACCATGTCGTGCTGGTTCTCGTCCAGGATACTTACCCCTCTTCTCCCCGCGGCCACCCAACTTTCGCATCTTCATATACACTTAAAAAGATTCAATTCCAAGGTATCGTTAATACATAGGTACCTAACCTAGGCGCCTACTAAAATTTTATGGTTATCTGTATAAATGGACATTGAAAAGGCATGCATGCAATAAATACCTTGAGTACTTAGGTAGGTTAGGTACATACCGTTAGGTACATACCGTCAGGTACGTGTATATACCTATTTACCTATCAATTTTAATAGGCCTTAGAGGTATTTGGAAAATGACTACATAACTTCTCAGGTACAAATCTAAAGCTCGGATAAAATATGAATTCTAATTCATAACTTTATGTTTACCGAAAGTCTTTACCTAAGGTAGTTCCATGTTGCTCAATTGTCAGCGACGCTGCTAATGCATTATTATTTTAAACCCCGGAACCTGGCAATGCCCTTTCTCTTCTACTATTACATACGTATAACCCATGATCCCTGATCCCTGAAGCTAAACCCAGTCTGTTCTCTTTTGGCGTATCCCTCCCCCTATGTAGTCAGGTTGTGTAGTAGCTGCCAGCTGCATGCGCATTTAGGGAGCCAGCGGTATCTTGGCCGGTAGCCGGGGACTTGTTGATGACAAGCCTATCGTAACTATCTACATGTAGGCTAGGTCTCCTAACGATATGTGCAGGGGAAGCTGGCGGGTTGTGAGTACCTAAACAAGTTGAAAGCGAAAAGAGAAGCTTATCCAGCATCCTCGCCGTCGATATTGTTTTCTCTATTATCAATGTTACTGGGTACATAACTTCTCCCACCACCATCTGTTATACATTCTCCAATAGGGACAGCCTTCTACTAGTCTACCAGGCATTAAGTCACATCCCAATACTATTTTAAGCGACGCTCTGATACATAACTTCTTATTCTGTACTTGACGTCGCAACTGTCGGCCTGTTCGGTAGAGACACCCGAGACAACTTATTAACGCGACCTAACGTTTATATTATAGCAGGCTGGTTTTATGGTCGTTGGCCTGAAAGACTCGCCTAGCTAGTCCTCAGAATCCCACGCCAGCAGATTCCGCACATACGCACAGCACACACTTGTACATACCGATTGCCCACGGACTTTGATCAACACGGACTTATCCTGACAGCGCAGTTCGCAAGTAACGGACGAAACAGGTACTGAAGGTATCACTGCAACAACCCTCACATCTTACTTCCTCTTATTATATACTGCCACTAGGCTTTTTTCGAGTATTCCCAAATCTAGAGCTTTCGGGCTTGAAGAGATCGCCGGCCTGTTCTTCCCCCTGCGATTTTGTCAATTTGTATGACATATACCTGTCGCTCCAATTTGGGATGTGCTCGAGCCTTCTCCTTTCCCTTTTGCGATAATCACCTAGGACTGCATAACCAGGAAAGGAAGGCAGCCCATTGTCATATAGCTTTCCTATTACTTCAGGGCGCAGTAATCAAACCTCGATAATACCTTAGTCCACGGGGGACAGTATTCTCCAGCCTACTTATACGATAGACTTCACTTAAACCCTCGGCTATAACCCGGTTAGCATAGTCAGCCGCCCTGGAGGTTTTGGTCCTGGGTGCTCGGGCTATATTGCTGCATTCTCCCAAGCTTTTGTAGATTAGCCCTACCTACCTTCACGTTAGTTTTGATTACTATCATCTCTTGACAATAGGGTTGGAACTGGTTTCCGCTATATCCGTAGCAGCCTCGATTTCCGACGAATATTTTCAGGCCGCCGTCAACAACAGGCAGTCTGGTTCCCGACTCTTCGTGCTACGAAGTGGACCGCGTCCTGGGAGAGAAAAGTAATACGGCTCACGGCCATTTTTCGTCGGCAACGAGACAGTGGCAGTAAGGCCTCCCAAAGGGCTGGGTTTGGCCTCAACTGCTCGGATCTTGAAGGAGACTATCGACTAACGCCGAATATGATTTTGACGAACTGAACCTTAACTTAGTCTACCGAGTGAATACTTCTCTGGTTAGCAAATTCAATCCTTAGCTGGTTTTGTTGGGGGCGTGTTCTGCTTGGTCACACGGACTGACAGATGATCTAGTTCGCTCGTCGCTAAATTCTCTCCTCGTTTTGAAGTCTGAAGTCTGAATCCTGAGGCTTAGATGTGTACGCACAGGGGCTCTTGGTTCATTCGTAAGTTAGCGATCTCCATTTCCTAAACAACGGCCTAGTCTTCTTTCTTTCTTCCTTCATACCGAGGTATCCTGTTGGATGATATCTAGCTTCATCCTTAGCTGATCTCAGTACTTTTGCTAACATTGCTGGTTTGTTTCCCAAGTCTTACACTTAGTTTGTTTTATGATTTTATCCGCCCAAGCTTATTTCCCATATATTACTTGTATCCAGTCGACTTCGGATTATCGCTCGTTTGTGGCGCTGAACACTCTCGTTATCGTGTATTAAATCTCGTATATTGTTCTGGCCCCCCTCTGCATCTGCATGGGTTTCTCATATCGGCTTGCACCGAATATCTGGAACCAAAACGTCCCCACGCATAGATTTCAATCTCGGCGTCGCATTGAAGATTCCGCTTACATACTGTTCCGAGCAAGGGTATCATCCACACTTGGGGCTGCCTTTAAACGACCCACGTTATCCCTGTCCCTTCGCCTTAAGGGACTGCTGGGTCTGGTCCCACAGCACTCATATACCTTGTGCTTCTTGGTCCGCACTGTAAGACATATAAGTAGTCTCGTTCGCACACTTACACTACTACTGGTCGCCGGGTCCTAGATCTTGGGGTCACCAGAGAGATGGAGTTGATGGAACTTGTCGACAACGAGCCGACGGCTCGACCCTTTCAGTGCGACTGGGATACGTGCAGAAAGGTACGTACAGACATTTCTTGGTCACGCATTGTCATCGTCGCCGTCGCCATGGTTATGATCCGAGTTACTCATACGAATGCAGTGTTTTAACCGCAAGTCCGACCTCCAAAGGCATTATCGGATACATACGAATGAGAGACCGTACTCCTGTACAACAGAAGGATGTGGTAAAAGCTTCATACAACGCAGCGCCTTGACGGTCCATATCCGCACTCACACCGGCGAGAAACCTCATCAATGTCAACATGCTGGATGTGGCAAGCGTTTCTCGGATGTAAGAACTTCGTCGAACTTTTAGTATTAAGTAGACCTGCTAACCCGTTCAGTCTTCGAGTCTGGCTCGACATCGACGCATCCACACGGGCAAACGGCCTTATAAGTGCGCTCACGAGGGTTGCCTCAAAAGGTAGCGCAGAATTTATTGTCATCGGAGGTAACTGCTAACGCGCCTTATAGTTTCTGCCGGAAAACAACCATGGTCAAACATCAGAGGCGTTCCCACCAGAGGGGGGTCCATTCAGAGATGGAAGATTTTTCTTCTGAGTCGGACAGCGGCGAGTCTCCGTCTACTCCCAAGCAACCTGGTATGTGGCCAACAGGCCACTTGACAAGCGGGCTTCCGGATTTGCAGGACCACGCCGTCCAGCGAGCGTCGTCCTTTGCCGACTTTGGTCAAGTAAGCCAATACGACATATCGCAGCAGCAGTACGGCCACCGGCACAGTATCTCCGGCGGAGGCGCCCACGAATACCATAGCGAAATACTCCGGTCGTTTCAACACCCCGCACTTCAAGGGCTTCAGCGCACGGCCAGCGTACCCCAGCATCCTTACTATGTGACAGACCAGAACAACCCTGGCATCGCGACAATGAACACGAATCCGATGCCACAGTACCAAATACCGAGGCAGCAACCTGAGCGACTCCCACTAGAAATTCCGTACAACACGGCGAGGAATATGGTGAGCTCGATACAGAATAGCCCTGATAGCTTCACGACTGCAATTTCAGGTCATAGCCCGACAGGTCATGATAGCTATTACACGCACCAGTCTCCGCATGCGACGACGTATTCGCTAAACACAACGCCTATCATGGAGCAACCCATGACGCAGTTCCCTCAGCAAGTCGCCCAGCCAGTTCATCAGCAAATCCATCAGCAAGTCCACCAACAGGTCCATCAGCAGGTCCATCAGCAGGTTCATCAACAGGTCCACCAACCGATCCATCCTTCCCAGCCGGTGCAATCTCAGATGCCTCCGATGCAACAAATTCAGCAAGTCCAACAGGTTCAGCAAACTCAGCAGGTTCATCAGGTTCATGATCAATATCAGCCAGCGCCAACGCAACATGATGACCATTGGTACAACGCAATACCTTACCAACAACCGGTTGAGATTCCTACCATCGGTCAAGTACCGTCTTTCGGGGCTGCGCAAGATTACCCGTGGCTCGTCAAGCCGGATTTTGACGAGGACACGTCGACGCAGATGCCAAGTTCAAGAGTCGATGACTTATGATTTGTCGAACTCGGCATATGTAATCCGCACATTTCCGTTCTCTTTTCGAACGTCTCTCGAGTAGTTACTCGGTAGGCGTTTCTTTATTCTAATTAACAACCTTAATAATTCGATAACGAGCCTCCGACCTGCTCTTGTATTATATTGTCTCGTTTGTTGTTTCCATGTCAAATTGGGATATACCACCAGGGGGGGTATGCAGGACCAGATTACGTATCGACTGAGATTCGATGGCTATGATGGGGGGGTAGCCTTTTGTGACGACGACAGACGCAATGCTTTTGCATTTGCCGTTCTACTGAGTTAACGGGTTGTCTATTTCGCCGTACAGGCAGCTACTTCGCGTAGGTGTCCTATGTACGGGCTTTGCTCCGGCCGGCTGTCATCAACCATTGACAACCGATGCCGTTGTGGACAACATCACAATATTCCAGTGGACAACTTCGAGCCGATTCGCCGTGCATCTCTTTCATGCGCCATGGTCGAATTCAGGATGCCATGCCACGTCACGACACCATTCCCTTATTGTTCCCTAAGAGTCGTATAGGTCATTTGGTCATTCCTTTTCGTCCAGTATGTTTGACGAACGGCCATGTCATTTCTCTAAGTCTTTTGCATTTCAATAATTCCGTTAGCGATAATTAGGAGGATGGGCAACTGCAAAGCTCCGACGACACGACCCAGTGGGATATGGACGAACAATATAGCAGGCCATGCAGCGACTTCTGGATCCAACAAATCGATATTGTTGCTCGTACTTATCAACTGGGGAGTGTAGCTACACCATTCTAGGTACGGCCAAGTTTAGATGAGTGGTGGAGATTAAACAAGGAGCATGGAGGAAGAGGGTTCCGGAAACTATGCCGATTGCGCCAAAAACTCCTAATAGTTGATTTTGCACCCGGACCCAAATCAACTTTGACGATGTCCCGACTATCCTTTGACGATTCAAAACATAATGCCGTTCACGGTTATCCGACCGTCTCCTCCAGTTCGTTGAGACGGAGGGACGTGCCTAAGCCCCAGGAGGGGATAAAAGAAAAGAACAGTGATGGAATTGGAAAACCGCGCATCGAAGATCGGATATCGGTTGGATTATCCTGTGTAATAATAGGATCGGGAGGGTTTTTTTTTGTTTTGCTTTGTTATTTTATTTTACTGGGAAGCGAGGGTTTCCGGGCTTTGCGCTGTTATCGAGTATGAGGCGTGTCTTGTATTATTGTTGCAAAGTGTCATCCGCAAGTTTTATCCGCGATTGATAACCGGGGCGTTGGAGGTCAAAAAACAATGCATGTACGATAGTGATGCGTAGTGTTGTTAGAATTGTATCGAATAGGGTTGTCACTCGCCAATGGTTTTGTCCGAGTGATGTATGTTTGAGTAATTATATGTTTGCAACGTAGTGATGGGGTTCATGTCTTGGCTAGGACTGTAGATACTGTAGATGCTGTAATGTTGGTAGTGTAGAGTGGGTAGATTGGGCAGAGACGGTGTTGTAAAATCTTTAGAATCGATCAGAATCGATCAGAGACGGAGGGTAATAATGAGAGGTTTATGTGAAAGGTCAAAGGCAGAAGCAAGGCTTAGGTAGCGCCATATTTTTTTTTTCTAGACAGAAGACACACCGAGCCCTTTTAAACTCCCCTTTAAACTTCTTCATATGCATGTACAAGTCAGCCTAAATAAGGTAAAATATACCTGGTCACATTTGCAAAAATGCCAAAAATGCCACCGAGCTGAAATGCAATCCCGCATCCTTCAGAGTAACACTCGAATGGTCCTTAGGCATATCTAATACTAGAGACTTCTTCGTTTAGGTATGTGGTATGTGGCGTTAGCCCCTCCACGTGCAAAACTAGAGATCCGCCTGGAAAACAGATTGTATCTCGTCATCCACTAGGTACGTTACATTGCATGTCGTTCCTACATCCTTACATTCTACATACAAATTCCTATTTTATTTTTCTGCGCAACGGGGCGAGTGAGAGCCTTCTTTTAACATGTTCTTTTAACAAGATGAGTAACCAAAGTCTAATACATAGGCACCCAGGGTACCTACATGAAGGTTATACGAAGACGCTTAAAAGGGGGGCTTAGGTGTAAGTCGTGGACAATAAGGAGATATGCGTCATGCAATATCCAGCCCGGTTAATTTCACTGCTGTAATCAAAACGCAGTCCTTCCCGTTTTAATAGTCTTCAGCACACCCTCATCTGCAAGCTTCTCCCACATGTTCCACAGCATGAAATCGCAGCCTCTCTTTGCAATGACACTCACCGTAACCGGGATCATCTCCTCGACGAAACTCACGTTGCTCAAGTAGGGTACTTGTCCGATTGGAATTGTCATGTCGACGCATCCGTATATGGGGCATAGACTAGCACCATTGATACCCGCAGTCGGCGGTGTCATAGCTAGGAAGGCTGTCGTGTTGGGATCGCTGTTCAGAGATTCCTCCCGATAGCTCGGCAACCCGCCTGTGCCAATGTCCCACAGCATGATGCTTTCGCTGCACGATTCCGGGGTTGAGTACAGTATCTCCGATTCAAACCAATCTACGGCCGCTCGCTTAACACTTAGTGCCTGGCTATACAGTTCATCGGTGTACAACGATTCGTTGTACGCCTTCCATCCGAGCCGCTGGGCTGGGTCGATCGGTGGGAAGCGACCCTCATATCGTTCCCCCCATGCTGCAATCAGCGGTTTACCCACCTTTTGGTACTGCGTCATGGAGTTAATAACGCCCGTGGCGTTATTTAGAGCGTCGTATTTGGGAACTTGGTCAGTTGTGTTACCAACAACCGCAGTCAAATTAAAATCTTCGACCGTCATCCCAAAGACTGTCGTCAGGTTTCGGATAAACCCCTGAAGTACCTCCTCCGCGGCCGGGTTCTTCAGGGGCAAGTAGTCCGTGAGATACAAGATGCGCTTTGGGAAGCTATACGAGTCGGATGCTTTTAGGGGACTTAAGCCTGTGGTCGAAGGGTCCTGGCACATCTCAGGGACGTACCAGTTCTTAGCGAAGCGTACCCAGTCGCGCACGTCTCGGGAGAATACGCCTGCTGTGTCTGTCGCCGCACCGATCGGCATGACTCCAGAAAGCGTCATTAGTCCTTGGCTCGGTCGATTCCCGTAAGTCCCAGACACCGCAGCAGGTCGTCTCATTGAGGATCCAGTATCCGAGCCGATCGCAAAGTCAAGCCAGTCGTATGCAGCTACAGAGCAGCCACCGCCAGAAGACGAGGCAGAGCATGTAAGCCAGCCGTCGCCGCGGGGGTTGAATGGGTAATGCTCGTCCTGCCAGTCCCAAGGATTCGCACCCGACGCGAACTGCGCCAACTTATACTTGCCAATGAGAACACCGCCTAAATCAACAATCCGTTGGACGGACGGTGCGGTCTCGTTCGCAACCTCGACGATCTCTGCCCATGCCTGGCTGCCACCAGATGTGATTAGGCCCTTTATGTCGAATAGATCTTTGATCGCGACTCGATACCCTGCGAGCGGCCTCGCGTCGCCCCAGCTGTAAATACGGGAGGGCACCGGGATCATAGGGTCCCAGAATCGGGGCAGGAATATTTCTACGGAACTGAACGTGCCCTCCCCGTCATTGGAATCATATGCGCCATAGAGAAAGTTGCGGTATGAGTCGCGGTAGAGTCGGTACACTGCCCCGAACGCTATCGAGTCATCCGAAACCAGCGCGGCGTATGGCCCAGCAGCGAGGTTGCTAGTACTTGAGCCCCCGACGTAAGTTACTGCAATGTCCGTGGAGTCTTAAGGATGGTCAGCTCGAGAGTTTCTCAGGGGAGTTACGCGGGCCGTCAAGATGGGATGATCCGAGAACTTACAACAGCTACTTTCAAAACTACCGTCTAAGAGTAAATGCCGTGGTGCAAGATCGTTCAGGTATCCAAGCGCACTTGCATCGAGGCTCTGGCTGTTGCTCGTGCCATTATTCACAATGTATACACCCTCCAAGAAGTCCTCAGAGAACACGTCGTCACCCCCTAAGTAGCTCGTAACGATGTCCTGCAAATACTCGGCAGTCACAACTTCGCTGTCTGCAAATACGACGGTGAATGGCACCAAGGAACCCTGCCGGTTTGCCGTAGTCCGGTCGTTCCCGCCGAGAATCGTCTTGGGATGTCGAATGTTTGCTAAGTAAGTCTTGTCGCCAAGCCCGAACGTGACGTCGCCGTGTTGTGTGGTTTGTATGTATTCGAGAGGGGCGCGTTTCACCGGTCTCGCCAATATCAAACAGGCGCATAAAAGGAACGATATACATCGATGATTTAAGCCGGAGTGGCCCATCTTTTAGCTCCGACTGGGTATCAGGTATTTACCTGGTTGGGCATCCTTCGTTATTGACGGTGTGAGTATGATCCCCCGCCCGGATCAGGATCCATCTGTGGCGGCCGCCCGCGGTTTATATATTTCTATTTCTACACTTTATCTATAATATCCAACAAGCCGACCGGATGATATCTTATCTTCGCGTAGCCTTCCACAGCTTAGCTATTCCTTTGAATACTGCCCCGACTCGTGGGCTGGCTTATCACCAGGACCCATCAGAACCCCGGCAGCCTCCAACCGACGTCGTATTGCAGTCGACTAAAGCTATCTTCTTCACCGGTCTAATGCAAAATGAGGTGTTGTATGCAGGTTTCCGGTGGAGGATTGGCAGGTTCCCAATATTCCCGTTGGTTACGGCCCTGGCGGATGCGACTTGGCACTTGGAGTTTGCGGTAGGTAGCGGAAAACAAAGGCTCTTATCAAACGTCAAGACCCCTCCATAGATATCGCGTCTACCTATTCAGTACCTGCATGCTTGTTTTCGTTAGGTTCATTATTAATGGACATGTAGTTGTATAGTAGACTAATATAAGAATAGTCGATTCCCACGTTCAAGTACTCGATTCTTGTTTCTAGGTTAGGTAGTTAGAAGTTATGATAATAGGTAGTTACCTCTTAGCCCTACCATGTGTTTCTACCGTCTGATAAACGAGGACATGGGAAATGAAAAAGGGAGGCTGCTTTGCAAGGTTTGAATATTTAGTAACTAATTGATGAGTGAAGGCCATCTTATAGAATCTACAGGTAATCATGTCAGTTCGTGAGAGTAGTATCGTTGACTACTTAACCTAACTTGTCTTATCCTGTAAAAGGTCTTGTCTTGTAATTGCGAAGGGGCTTATCGTGGCTTTACACTTACTTGCCGTTTATTTACGCATGTGCCATGTGGAAGTTCTCCGAGCTTGAGAAGCGAGCTGTCCCACCAGGCGGCCTCTTTATGCCAACCAATCAGCCTATGTAGAATCTCCCTATGAACATCGTATTCTCTCATATTGCGTCTGACTCAAAACATGCTTGAGGACTAGTGTACAGAATCAAGATTTAGAATTATGTGCCTGAGGCTGTGTCTTCGGGGTCTACGGACTACGAATAATATAAAAGTGGCCATTACCTCATAAGGAATCAATAAGAAGGTGTATCACTAATACTTAACCTAGCTTCTTTTATTATCTAGGTTAGTTAACTAACATAAACTTGATTTGAATAGGTATATTTTTAAGCGAAGGGTTGATTTGGGCTTAGCTGTTATTTATATGATTGGTATTTTAGTAGCGGAGAGTCGTCTCCGGTCGGCATTTATTAGTCGACCGGCTGCTTCCGCCTGGTCTAGAGCAACTCGAAGATGTCAAAGAGGATCCGGGAATTAGGAACGGACACTATGCACGAAATTCTCCAAGAGGGAGCCGCGTGGCAAAACCAAAATCCCATATGTCCCAACATGGGAATCTTCAAGATGTCGCTCTCCTTTGGAGGTCTTTTCCCGTCTTTCCCATCTAATTTGGTTTCCTTCTATTTATACGGCCGGCTTTCCGTGGCCCTTCTATGCTGCTATGCCTTTCGCTCTCTTTTCCTAGCCACCATCAAACCATGGCAGCGGCACCATCGCTGAACTCGTTACCATACGAGGTACGCCAGACGATTTATTCTCTTGTGGCGCGGCAAACTAACTCTAACGACTGGCGAAAAGGGCCAGTCTCGACTATTGCGCATTATGCAACGGTATCCAGAGAATGGCAAGAGGAATTTGTCGAGCCTATTACCTTCAAGGCCATACGTGTGACTCCGAGACGGCTCAAGTCCTTTTGCCAGATCGTAACCTCACCGCGGCGCAGGGCAATTGTCCAGACTATCTGCTTCCATGTTTCCCTCGACAAGTATGACTCTCGCCTTGATGGCGAGCCGGAAACACCGGCAGAGCGACGGCGAAGCACCGAGATCTTGACCATGGCCCTTGGGACTTTCTTTCGGGCAATGACCCAATGGCAGAAGAGTGATACCTCTCCCCTCGGTCTGGACCTTCATCTTCGTGTCGACTCACCTAGTGATGCGTCGTCCTTGGCCAGTAGGAATGGGGGAGCACTCGTGACGGGGCGAGCTCTAACATCGTGTCTGGAACTTGACCTCGACGTCGTATCATTACCACACATTGACGTCTTTGGCGGGTTTCGATGCACCGGGAGGCACCTACAACCGACATCTATACTATTTATTGTGTCTAGACTTCAGACACTGGAATATCTTGATGTCGAACTCAATCATGACTCAACACGCAACCGAGATGTCAAACAGAGAAATAGTACGTGGTATCATTTATTGTTGCTCATGGAACTGTTCATCTTCCTGATGTCACTTACAATGAATAACTCGATTTTATTATCAACACCCTTGCTAATTCCATGGACACACAATTAGGCTTTGCTTTGGGCCTCCAGAATTCCGAAACAATTCGAGTTCTCTGTCTACGCCGCCCCAGCCCGATGCTAACGCCAGTTTACGCACCCCCAAAACAGCCGTGGTCGGCCTTTTATGACCACATGCGGACGTTCAGTCAGCAATGCGAATCTTTCGAATTCGACGATTGCATCGACGCTGTCCAATTCTTTACACCATTCCTCCTTGGGTCGGGCATAGCAGAGCCGCCTAAGGGCCAAGAGGCGCCCTTCTTCCCGCGGTTGAAAAGGCTTAACGTCCGCAACTCGTACATGATGAAGTCACCATATTTGCGTGTCACGAATAGGGTTGAAGCCTTAGCGTCCGTCCGTAACCTTCTCGCAGCCATCGGGCGGGCGACCCGCCGTATGCCAGCACTGCTGTTCGTTCGCGTCTGCCAATACGTCCTTACTGATGCACGGTTGGAATGGTTCGTCCTTATATATGAATACCATGCCGATAAAGTTGTGATGCGCACCAAGGGTTTCAGACCAGGGAAACTGATAGCCAATGCTTGGAGGGAGTCGGCTGCTGAAAAAGGCACCAAGCTTATAATTCACCATGAGAAGGACGATCTTAATACGCCCGAGCTCTGAATCATTTAGGCCGTCAGGGGTAGTTCATTTTTCAATTTTGGAGCAGCGAGGAGTTGGTTGATAGGGAGGTATATTGTATGTCAAATTTCACGTGTCGGTAGAATTATATTGTTGAATATAGGTAAATACGAAGGAAAACGAATCGCGATATATTTTATTTTCCCATCAGGTACAACCTAAGTCGATGTTAGCTATGCATTTGCATGGTGGTAAAGAAGATCAAATAGTTTCATGTGTTCTCGTGAATTTATTTCGTACGAAAAGAAATATTGCTTGTTAGAAATATGAGATATACTAGAGTAGAGCCTCCTCGTGTTAATACTCGTCGTCATGATATGCTACGGGCTGGGCTAGCCGATTGTAAAGGCCGAAAATCAATTGACGACCGGCTGACGTGTGTATCTTCTGTATAAAAGAGATTATTTCGGCTTTAGTTAAGACCTATTAAAGTAAGTGAACAGGTACTTACATAGAAGACTGAAATCGGATTGGTGACATTACCTAAATATTAACCTAAGCCAATAATAATTGCTATCACCGAAAAAAGCTTGGCGGAGAGAACAAAGCTTGACTTAGCGGCGCTGCTATCCTATCCATGATGGAACCCCGCGATGTTGCCATATGTACATCTACCTGTTAATCACCCTCGGATGAATAGGAGTTGGAGAGGGGATCGAGATACATACATACCTACATATAAGGTATATATATATACACTTGGTTCAACCTCATAAACAGACAGTTCTAAACAGATTTATTAAAAAGTCTTCTTCCGTCAACATCACATCTAACTCACTCATATATCAATTAGTTCTACTACAAGTCACCGGAAATAAATCTTCAAAATGCCCAAGGTGCTACTGACTGGCGGTTCCGGGTTTATTGCCGGTAAGTTAAACCCGCGTAAATAATTATCCTACGTAACCCAACGCCTAACATAGACGAATTCCCACAGCCCACGTCCTCGAGCTTCTGCTCAAAGGGGGTTATGAGGTGGTGACGACGGTCCGCTCCGAGACCAAGGCCGCTCAAATTCGCGCCAAATATCCCGGCGCGAAACTCTCGGTAGCCATTGTGCCGAACATCGCAGTGCCCAACGCCTTTGACGAGTTGATAGCCAACACTCCCGGAATCGACTACGTGCAGCACACGGCGTCGCCCTTCCACTTCAAGTTTACCGACGCCCGTACGGAACTGCTAGAACCGGCTATCAATGGCACAAAGGGCATCCTCCAGGCCATTGCCAAGTATGCGCCCAGTGTCAAGCGCGTTGTCGTCACCAGCTCCTTCGCCGCCATCATGTCCGAGAGCAAGATAAACGACACTGCAAAAGTCTTTAGCGAAGCAGACTGGAACCCGAACACGTGAGTTGTTGGTCCGACAGCATTCTTCTTCTTTCCAAGTATGTAGACCTTCGAGGGCTAATTGGTCGTAGGTACGAGGACGGACTTGCGGGACCTCCCCCCACATCCTACCGCGTGTCGAAGACGTACGCCGAGAAGGCAGCCTGGGACTTCGTCGAGCAGGAAAAGCCCGGATTTGAACTTGCTACAATCTGCCCGCCCATGGTCTTCGGTCCTGTCGCGCACCACCTGGACTCGCTAAAGGACATCAACACGAGCGACCAGCGGTTCGTGGACCTGATCCAGGGCAAGTGGAAGGAGGAGATCCCAACGTCTGGCATATGGTTGTGGGTCGACGTTAGGGATGTCGCGCTCGCCCATATTAAGGCCATGGAGATCCCCGAGGCGGCCGGCCAGCGCTTTTTTACCACGGCGGGCTTCTACGACAACGTGCAGCTTGCGCGTGCTGTCCGCAGCGGGTTCCCCGAACTGGCTGACAAGCTGCCTGACGACAACGTCAAGCTCGCCCCGGGTGCTGCGAAACCAGCCGCCACCTTTGGTTACGACAACTCGCGCACTAGCAAGGCCCTGGGCATCGATTGGATTCCTGTTGAGAAGACTGCGGTCGACACTGTCAAGAGCCTGCTGGAGATCCCGGCTTGAGCGAATGGGATTGGTCGAATAGATGGAAGGGGAAAAGGGGCACTAAGATCCTCGGGATTCTGACACCACGATATTAAGGACTCGGCATCTTCTAATGCACTAGAAAGTTACAGACTATATCTAGGTATTATATTGCATACGAGAATAGCTAATCAACTACCTGTCATCGTTGCACCTTAGATGAAAACCAAATATAATTGACGTCGATTATTTAGCGCCTGCTTTAGCCAACATCTGCTCCAGCACCCTGGTAGCCTCATACGTATCCACGAACTCCATGATCTGCGAGACACGAGTCCCATCTTCCGAGAAATTCAGATCCCAAATCACTTCGACCTTGCTAGTAGATCCGTCGGCCGTTAAGATAGTCTGCTCGCTCCACAGGGTAGCCCTGCGCTCAGTCGTGTCGATCACGATCCTGGTGATCTTCTGAGATACGTCCTTCATGGTCTGGAGCTCAACTTGCATCTGGGCCTCGTAGTCGGCATTGGTGATCTGGGCCTTAAAGAACTGCGAATACCTCTGGATGAAGGAGAGGGGTCGATACATCCGAATGCAGTCCTCTGTCAGAATTGCAGAGAACAAGGACGTGTCCCTCGTTTTCACCGCGAGAGTGTTATTCTCTACAAAAGCATTTGCTGTCTTCTGTAAAACTTGTCTGAAATCTGCCATGGCGAATATGGTATTGGTATTTGTAATATTGGTTATGAGCTGACGTTGGATTCAACTAAGTAAGCGCCCTCACTATCGACTGCGCTGAGTAGCCCCTGGAAAGATCTGGCAGTTAAGATCAATAATAAAGATGAAGCACGGAAGGAAGAAAAACTGGTTGGATCACACAACCGGAACCGATACCTTTTTAAATAGTTGTAAAACTAATACACATATCGTGTAAGTAGACAGACCTAATCGAGTTGTCTGACAGCAAAGTCCTTAAGCTGTGCCATGTTCTTGCGCATCGTATTAGGGCTAAAGCGGCGAAAGGAACCCTCTGGGGCAACTTTTGGCATACTTGGCATTAAAATGCTGGAATATGATAGGGTACTTGAACGACCATTACTATTTCACCCGAGAGTACAGCTATTTTCCAATAAGTGAGGAACTAATTGATGCGTGGGTGCTGTCATTCAAGCCAGCTAAAGAGGAATAGGGGTAAGCAATGCACCTCATTAGTCCCAAAACAAAAACAATTGACGAACTTCATGGTCACTTATCTACCATGGTGATCAAGTACCTAACCTAGGTATCTATCATTGATTCGCAAAGCTAATCCACAGGCTCACCGCATACCTAATAGACGAAATAAACCGTTATAGGCACCCCTGCAGTCTAAGAAAATGCATAACCACCTGGCTGTAGCTTCACTCGAGACCATCCGCCTGTACTATACTCTTAGGTGATCATTTAATCATCTATTGTTTGGTGGTACAAAAGTTGTAGGGTTCGCTCGGAAACCGCTTCAACCTGCCGTCGTATCCATAGCATCCCCTTCTGATACTCTAACCCTAGCAGCTGCTATCCGCTCGGCTTTCCATTCCTCAATCCGGGCACGCAACTCGTTAGCTGGAGTCACATCGTCGATAGTCATCGGCTTTCGAGTGAAGGGATCCAGCGGGTTAGAGAGCAATTGCTGCACAATCGTTGACCGATCAACGATATTCTGTGACGGTAGAATGACTGGATCAGTCATCAAATCACCTAACAGGGGATCCTCAAACTCATCAGGTACTTCGCCCAGATCGAGTTCCGCTTGATCTAGACGTTGCTTAGCTTCTGCGAATTTTTCTACTAGAGAAGTCCAAGTAGAGATGACTTCGGGTGCCGTATGAAGACTACGTTCCATCACCCTGGTTGCTTCCTTAAAGTTGTCTGGTTTGTATGAGCGACCGTCGGCAGCAACTGCTTCGATGAAGGTAGGTTTCGGTGATAGGTTGATGTATATGTCTATGAAGTCGGACAAAAGGGTCTTCGGGTCGAAATGATATTTCCTGGCATCCTGTACTTTCAGGTTGCCTCGTTTCGGACCAACTAGGGACTCTAGATTGTAGTTTAACATGCCCGCCAACCGAGTTACTATTTCGGGCATGGTAAATGCGTCGCGTAATGCCGCTGTGAACAGTTTCATCATTCCCATAGTATCGTTCACCAACTGCATCCAGGACTGGCACTGCTGCTCAGCAGTTTCCAGGTCCGCCCTGACCTTCTCCTTATCTTCGGGAGATAATGTGTCCTCATGTAATTGCTTCTGATAGTCATGTATCGCAACGAGTTTAGTTAATGCTTCATCTAATAAGTACGTCGCATCGTTTAGAAGCAGGTTCACGAATTGTACAAAGAATTGACGGTTAACCCTAGACATGGTTAGACGAAGCCACTGGTCAGTCAGTATTGCTCCGACATACCTGCTTTCCTGGCTGAGCTGATCTTTGTAAACACTGTTTGGCCAGATGCACTTGATGACCTGGAATATCTCGTAGCGGATATTGAATTTATCGTAGAATGCGGAGCTGACACCACTATGTTCACATTCTAGTACTATTAGCATACGGTAGCCCGAACGATACCATGTAACTCACCGATGTAAAATTTCATGAGTGAATGTAGGAGGTGCTCATTAGCAAACTTTGATCCGACCAAAGTATCTCCTAGAACCCCCCTACTAAGATGATACAACGGCCATGTCCCAGAGAACAATAACGTGACGAGAGACGACTTCAGGTAAGGATTCTTGATGTATTCCGAGGACCTCAAGAAGGTAATGCATAGTGTAATTATCTCGTCCCCAACGGCGGATACTAAAATGTCGGGCAAGAAACTAATATGGAAGTAAGCGTTAAGCTAGTTTGGACGGTCTATTGGGGATACGTACCGGAAAACAAACTTGAAATTCTCAACGACATCCTGGAGGGCGTATTCTGGGAGACAGCTGAAGGCCTCGGGTATGTCAGCAGGGAGAGGAAGTGTAAAATCTTTGCCTGGTATGTAGTCTGTTCCGCTAGCAATTCGTAGAAGCCACACAGATACATATCTCATGAATTGTAAAGATAGTGTCTGCATAGACGAGTCTAATACGATTCCTTCGATAGAATACTTCAGCGCTATATGTCTTTCAACTGCATTGACAGCATTCTGATGATGTTGCCTTGCTACAGCAAGACGCAATGGGTCCTAGCATTGTTAGCAACAGCAAAAATGATTTACACTAGGGAAGGCATGGCTTACGCTCTGTAGCTTGGGTATCTCCCCTTCGATCTGTTTTATGACGCCCTCAACATACTTGATATCCCTGTCAAGATCCTTGAGCTTCGAATTTGTTGCCCCAAGGCCATAATGATGGGCGGCTAGGGTTAAGAAGAAAACTTCCGAGATGAAATTAGAAGAGCCTGGGACGTGTGTTTTATAGAACGCTTCTGAAGTCGCCTGATCGGCGTTGAGCTTGGTTTCATCGCTCATGTCGACTCGAGGGCTACGTCGTAAATAGTCAACATCGATCTTATCCACCTTAGAGAATGTGGTATCCATGAAAGGTTGACATAGTTGGTCTAAGATAGCTGTCACGTTAACCATAAAACCATCTGAGGCTACGTCTGTCGGCTTGACTTGAAGAGCACGCCTTTTATGGTTTGTGTTGACCACGAATGCAAACCAATCGAGAATACTATTTCGGGCACTTGGGCTTGCACGAACAAAAGCATTTGTGATGCTTGAGAGGTCACCTTGATGAGCCTTTAGTGTCATCTGAAGGGCACTCTGGGATGATTTCACATGGCCCGCATCGATTGTTCGCGGACTAACAAAATAGGTCTTAGTAACCTCAGTCTGCAGTGGCGATATGCGAAAAAATGGCCCTAAGATAGTTTCGGTTTCGCTTGCCAAAGCTATTTGCTCCTTGGACATATCTGGTGTAGGCTTTACTTGAAAGCTAGGGTGCTCTGCAAGTGCGTTGAGCAAAGGTGAGAATCTTGCGTATGTAACCAAACACTGTCGTTATCAGCACACATGTAAATTCCGAAGAAAACGATAGGCTTACATTGATGTATGGTCTATAATCATCATTCATAGTCATCGTGGCAAGCCTCTTACTCATGGTAGCCATAGCATCTATGAAGATAGCTGCAACAGTATCATCTTCCGGTATACGAGAAATGGCCTCAGCAAAGAAATCTAAACAGATACCGTCCTCATTATCGTGGTGCCGAAGAAGGTATGGCACTAGAGAATCGTGGTTCGGATTAGGGTCACGGCTGCTGGTAGTCAGTACAAGAGACGCACGCATACAGTTTGGGAAATAACCTACCCGAAGTATTCAGGCATAGTAAGCGCAAATATGCAATTGCTCATGCACAGCCGCTTAGCTTCGTTCAAGACAGCTTCTTTCTCGGGTGGCGAGGGTCTAGCGGGCTTAGTAGCCTTCACAACGCGCTTCCAGCATGGCAGCAGGTAGTCTAGAAGCGCCTTACTTGTAGATACATATCTGGCTGCTTCGAGGATTGCCGAGTCGATTGTCGAGGCAGTTAGTTTTATCGGCTCACCAGATTGTTCCAACTCAGCTTTGAGCTCTGGCAAGTAGGTCAGCTTGGTACCCCTACTATCGGTCGTGTGAGCCTCGTCAAGCGTGATACGGAATATATCGCCCAGCACCCGATTTGACCAGTTTTCTAACGTCTCTTCTTTTGCGATATGTATCTTCTTGGATGGCATAGCTGTCGTGTTTATGTCAATAGCTGCATATGGCCTCTTGGAAACACGTTTGTTACCTGAATCCTCCGCGATATTATTTCCAGGCTCTGTCTTGTTTCCCCCACCGAGCTGGGAAAACGGGTTTGTTGCCAGAGATTGGCTTGTGGATGACGAAGAAGAGGCGGAGCTGGTTTGTGGATTCGGCAGAAGAGTTGGCCGAGTGTTCTCTTGGCTTGCCACATTTGGCTTTGGCAGAGTAGCCGGAAGCGACGAGGCCGGCGACGCTGACGAGGTCGGAGGCTCAGGTTTGGTAGCATCTTCTGGTTTCGGGCTAGACGGTGTCGCATTTAGACCACCAAGCTTCGCAAGCCGCCTTTTGCGCATCTAATGGTAATAAGCAAGAATAAGTTAGCTTCCAAAACAATTCGAGTATCGATGACTGTCGCATACCTGCTCCTGCGGCGGCAGGGTCGGTTGTGATTGTTCATTCGGATCCATATTAATGAATGACCATGAACAATAGAGGGGTTCTTAGACGGCGAGAAGAGGTGAGAAAGAATAGAGCTCCAGAGGAACTATGCTGTCTCGGCCAAGTAAATACAAGAAAATAAACGCCGTCTATAGACAATGTTGATGTGTTGTCGAAAGTAAAGGTGAACGTATCGGTGATAAGTTACGTACAGTACGCTACCTAACCTAATGTCTTAGCCTAGTTGCTTACGCTAACAATTCAACTTACAGAGGTGCATAGATGGATTATGATGGAATGAGGCAGTAGCCTCAGATGCCCCTCTTAATAATCCTCCAATGATATTAGCCAGATAAAGATCAAGTTAGAAAGGTTATCGATAACGCTATCTTTATGCCAACTCATTGTCAATGTTAGGTAATACAGATGCATTGAAGACAATTGGCGGGGTTGGTGGGTTCTATTGTCCCCATATTCTCGTCATTCTCGTCATTCTCGTCCCCCACCATAGAGATTATGTAATCTTTCCTCATTATTTACTCCATGTGAATAGCTTCATTGTCTCATCCCATTCTATTAATTCTCACTAATAGAACGGAGACTTGCAACTGCCTAAGGTACTTACTGTAATAATACCTATGTCATCAATCTCTGCAGCATATTTCTATACTACACATTTACAAGGTAAAAAATACGAAGCCTGATCATGAAACACTTATGAAAGCATTTGGCAGATCCTTAATGGTAAATCTCTGAATACGATTTTAGCTTCCACATTTCGATATCAACGTCTTAAATATCTTTTCCTGTCCACTAGATTTGGGAAATCTAAACAGACAACACATCTAACTCGATAATTACTGAAACCATAACAATGTCAACACTTACCTATCCGCTAACAAGGGCTCTATCGAAGTGTCTTTGTCTATCCCTATGCCTGACTTAGTTGTCCTTATTAATTATCTCACGGCCTTATGGTAACCATCTTTCTATACCTTGATAAGGCAATGTGTTAGGAAGAAATCAATAACTATGGGCGATTGCAACTATTATAATACCTATCCATCCACCTACGTAACACATTCACCCTGTACCAATTTTACAAGCCGTGTAGAAAAAGATCCCCCCTGGAGCTACTTCAGGCCTACTTTACATGAAGATATTGTCCAATTGAGACATTTACCGTGTCCCACCGTTGGCAGCGCCGTGGAGTATTCTATAGCAAACATTCGTAAAGCTCTCGATTTTCTCTTGGTCTATCCACAACCACATAGTAACACAATGTGTCACATTATCCTGTGGCTGTTCGCCTACACTGTAAAGCCATTGGTTAAATAGCCCTTCATCATTGGTTGATCAATATCTGAACCTCATCTTAATTCCTCGCCACCCTTTTTAGATGCTTAGGAAAGAACTTCAACCAATGGACTAATAATTTCTAGTCATTATCCTGGATGTATCCCTACATTAATTCAATTGTTATATTGTAAGGCTTTTAAATTGCACTTAGAGAATATGGGCTCTTGATTTTATAACTACCTACACATTAGGTAACCTAATGTAATTACGTGAATAAGATGGCTAGAATCTAGATTCAGGTTTGGATGATACTATACAAAGATCTCTCTTCGCGGTAAAGGCTAACAAGCGGCAAATCTAGATCACTGACTACTTGATATAGAACAGAAAAGCATCCTCGGGGGTCATCTCGGCTCCCACAAGAAAATTTGCTTGTGCTGTGCACGTTTCAGTCACCAAGACTCAAGTCTTGCAAGGAACGCATACCTGCCTATCAGCTTTGCGGCACTTCATATGATATGATTTCGTATCCAGCCCTTGGATAACATCTGCTGCTTTCCTGTTGTACCCACATCATTCTTCCAGATAAATTCTGCGGGTTCGCATATACCACTGGAGAAGGCGTATAGCCGCAACCTTGCTCCCACACGAGACTCATTATCGTCCGGCACGGGAAGATGCAGGACTCGTGTGACACGCACTGTCTTATTATGCTAGGAAGTTGGATGCACTCTATCCTAGATCGTATTCTCAGCGCAACGGCGTCCTGTTGTGCGAAGCGTCATCGCATTGCGCCATGGCTTACAATAGCCGGAGACTGATAATGCGATTGATACGTATGCACATGGCAGATATTATATTGCAGGCGCCACAAAGGCAAGCAACACTTTGCTAGCATGGAAGTTTCCTTCTAGCTGCAAAGTGCCTCGTCGAATAATTTGATACACTTCACCCTCCTTTACTCCTCCTCCATTACTGCTATTACCAATCCTTTATCGAGTTCCCTAATTATGCCTCGCGTTTTTCGTCGTTGCTTGACTTGCTCGTGTAGGTAAATATTTAATATTTTACAATACACGAGACCCTGACCGATTACCATGGACCTCCATCGGAGAGCCAACTTTAACCAGTTCAGCGTCAGTGGGAGGGGGAATCATCGTGATAAATATAAAGGCAACGACCCAAATCCAGCCGATATCGGTCTTCAAAACCCGAAAGCTTGCATAGCCGCTTGTTTTAAGCAGTTTGTTGATGGATTATATGAAGACCCTCGCAAGAATCTCGAAGATGTATGCAATCGGCTCTCAAATGTTCGGCCTAACACGGAGCTCTGGAAGTTGTATTGTTGCGACTCAACATTCTGTGGTGTATGGACAGGTAAAAAGGGGCAGAGTCGTCAGTTATCACCTAATACGTAAAGAAATACTACGATATTCGGCTGACTCGATTCGCTAGCTAATGTTGACTTGATTATTAATAAATGTCAGAAGTAGGCTGAACATTATCAACTATAACTATAAACATTTACGATCATTAACTCATATAGTATCGGTAATTACCTGATCTACGATCCAGGGCCACCTCCGCCTAACAAATTCAACTGCAACTCAGCTGCAACTAGTGAGTCTCCCTTTAACCTGATCTATTATCCTCTCTAATCAGATCTCCGTGGCTAGAGCTTGGAGAACCTGGTCTTCGAACAATACTCCCAGGTAACGACCTGCCATCCATCATAGCTACGATATCTAGTTCGTCGTCTATAGCGGCAGAGACTTCGTTAAGTTCAAAACTCAACTCGACCACATCGAGTATCGGTACGGTGCCAAGTATATCGACAGGCCTTACGGAAGGTAGTAAGGCTGCGATAGGCATCTGCTCAAGCCTAGCGATAATAGCGATTGTCTTCCTCGGAGGCTTCCTAGTAAGCCGACATCGACAACGCTCTCAGAGCTTCTTAGACGACACCCCGATTGCGCCTCGTCTTGGTCGTTCGTCTTCTGAACCACAGAGTGGCTCACATACACCTTTGATTACGCCGCCACCTTCAGCATCATCAAAGGGTCCGCCATTAACACCCCCGGCGCGCCTCAGTGACCGTAGGTTCCTCCCGTCACTTCTCAAGCAAGGCGATACGCCAAACTCCTCATCGGTTTTCAGTGTAGATGAGAGAGCAATCGTACCAACTACTCTTAAGACGAGCACCGAAAAGAAAACTACACTGTCGCGAAAGGGCCACATGACCCTGAATGACGTTTCCGAACCTCCTGTCTCTCTATCACCTCCAGCAGCCATACACTTCGCACCTCATTTCCTGCGTGACAGTAACAGCTCTTACAGTAGCGGCCCTATAGGAACGTCGATTCCTATAGGGCCTAACAAAGGTGGCTCAGTGCATTCTGGTATAGCAAATCCACCTGTATTTAAGTCACACTCGCCGCCACTGCCGTTCTCTCCTACTCGCCCTCTAAGACCACATGATGAACCCATAGAGATTCCTCATCTGGTCACCCCTGCTGGGCCACCACCAAGCCGCGCGCTTCCAGCACCGCCCCCGTATTACCCAACATCGCCGACATTCACCGTGTCGCCCATATCATCTCCAGGATCGCCTATGTTGCCCTCTCTCAAATCACCAAGCTCTGTGAGAGACAAGAGTTATGTGTCCGATAATATTCAACGAGAAGAAAACAAGAAACAACCAGACGCCTCCACGATTGGTCCCACTTCGCCAATATCTTCACAGGGCGTTGACAAATTGACACACCCATGCGTATACGATACACCGGAGAGCCGGGGTAGCAGGGAGGGTAAAAAGGGGGGACATGGCGGCAATGGAAAATTACGGGATGGCAATTTTGGCAGATGTAAAATGGAGGAAAATGGATCCACGGTATCTCTGCAGGAGTTGAGCCCGGGGAAGTTGGGAAGCAAGTCCTGACTGTACGGGACGGGTTGGGTAAGATGCCATGGAGGAATATCAAACATGTCTAAGAATATTGTTCTATTATCAAATAGAAGTTTTATTGTGGCCTAGTGTCTGTTTAGGCACCATACGGTGCAATATCGTCTCATCTGGCTTGCTCCTATGATATTTCAACCCCCTACTCTAATATTTACCTACCTATCTCTAGATTTTCAAGTTTTTAAAAATCTACGTAAACGTATCTACGATCGATTCAATATCGTCGACAAACCCCTTAAAAATATCATTTAGGAATCCTTTAAGTACCTAACCTAAGGTACCTAACCTAAGGTACCTAACCTAGAGCTTTATGTGCATAATTTGGCCCGTGCATCAAAATATTTCTAGCATAACAGGGCTCCCAATTTCTTTTCTCCAATTTCATTTAATTCGACTTTTACTTATCGTAAAAACGAGGGAAAGCTACCTCCTTCATCTTTCGCTTTATTGTTACCAATCAGAATGGCACAAATACCCCCCATTCCCGAAAGTTTTACTGGAATTCCTTGGAATGCCGGTATGTCGGGAGGCGTCTTCCATATTTCAGATTCTGCTGTCATAAAAAAGCCTATTTCCGATGATCTCTGCAGAGAGCAGCTAAGGATTGAGGGTCAGATCTACCAACGCCTCAAGTCACACCCCTATATTACAAAACTACTTGCAATACACGAGAAGGGAATTGTTTTGGAGCGTCTACAATACCCTCTCCGCCAACGCCTCCTTGATCTTCAGAAAGACCGGCAGCAGCCAACCCCGCGTGAAGTGACCCGGTGGGCGTTGCAGGTTGCAGAAGCGCTCCGATATATCCATTCGTGCGGCGTCAAACAAGTAGACATTGGCACATATAATGTCTTACTGGACTGGGATGAAAACGCAAAGCTCTCAGACTTCGCCGGTTCTTCTCTCGACGGGTCTGAACCTACATTAGCACCCAGCGTACATTCCACGCACCCGAGGCTATCTATTATGCAACCATCTGTCCAGTCAGAACTTTTCGCGTTTGGTTCTTTGTTATATGAAGTCGAGACTACTTATAAGCCCTACCACGACAAAAACGAAGGAGATATTGAAGATTTATTCGAGGCGGATGAATATCCAGATACAAGCGAAATGATATTAGGAGATGTAATCAAAAAGTGCTGGATGACACAATATTCAAATGCAAGTGAGGTGGTAGCAGATATTCGAGTGATTCAAAATCTTCTAGGGGCTCCTAGTTATAACCCCCTAACCCACGATCACATAAACTGAAAAACCAGGTGTATTCGCACATTATCGGCGAACGAATCTGGAAATTAACGTTTCCCTGTAAGTACCACCAGATGAGATTTGTAGTAACTTATTAGAGACGATCAGAATATAAGATTGGTGAGAAAGGGGTTGTCACAGTTTGAGCAAGCCCTAAATGCTCAAAGATATTACCATAAAAGAGAACCGCGGTGCCCATGATGGAAAGCTACCAAACATTGGCTCTTCAAACTACAAATCATTGCACCGACATGCATATTAAGAAGGGCGAGTGGCGTTTAGCAAACAAAGACCAGCGCGAAGTAACCTCTCATTGTAATTTATTTAGAGGCGTATGCGGGGATTATCCTACGTCCCTTACTCCTGAAATGGGTATTTCCTAAGATCATTCCCCTATGAACTTCAACAGTACTGGAACTTCAAATTTCATCGCGAGTCGTGGTAATTTTGAAAAGGTACTAAAATTCAATTAATTACGGGCGTGAGGCATGAACACTTATTATACCTACCTAGGTAGTATTAACATAGCTTATCGAAAAGTACTAACAATATTTATGTATCTTTTATAATCCTACCTGGGTACCTATTCGACACGTTTATAAGAGATACCTATGGTATTATGCTAGAAAGTATTGCATATTAAATAATGGCTTCGAATTAAAACCCCCTAAAATCTTATCTAATCGTTTAAGTGAGAAAAGTTGCCTTTTAGCAATATCAGAATTTCATCTTTGTTGCTCACGTGTCATACGTAAATGTATAGGTGCTTATGGGTGGGTAATCAAGAGATTGAATTGTTCATGACTTGTATGTGCTGTTAAATCAGATCATAGCCAGCCAACCCTCTGAATCCTCTACGCATGGGAAAGTATTGAAAATACGTAATTCATAACATTACCTAGAAACGACCTTGTGTTAAATAATGCCTAATCAATAAAACAACCCGTCTTGTCCTATATTAGCCTCTCGATCGCCCACGTGGGATCAATAAGAAATTCCATAGGGCCAGTATAAGCTCGGATGCATAAGTCTAGGCATGCGGCCAAGTCGTAGCTAGCGGCTCCGCCAAGAGCCTCAAACTAACGACCTGACGACTCTTCGCGCTTGATCAAGTATAAAGAGCTGCCAAGACCCCAGCCAAGTAGGACCCCATTCTTGGCCAGGCTTGACTACTCGATCTTTGAGGCCACGCCATATTGCTTCTATTACAAGCTCTGCTACATTAAACCGAAAAGTCAAAGGAAGTCTAAGATGGTCGACGTTGGTCTGCTGATAATCACGGTTTAATAGACCCAGGGGACGCTGTACCAATCGAAATTAGGGGTCAGCCTCGAGCCTGTGTTCATAAAAACGTGTGAAAGGCGAGGACTCATACTCAAGATTCTCAGAGTAAGTTGAGATCTAATAATACTTAGAGGTAGACGAACTTAATCAAGATGCCATAGTTCTTGGCCGTCTTACAACAATGGATCGAGGCAGTTCCAAAGGAGCTGCATGACAAACCCTCACATATATGATATAATAGTCATCTGTATTGAGTCTTATGAAGCTGTAGCCTTAGTCTAGAGCTCGATGAGCATACATAATCATTGATATACAAGCGTACTCACATACTAGCTGAAACTCAAAGGTCTGAATTAATACGATGCCTAGCAAATTTCAAGTAGATGGTAAGGATTATGTAGTATTAAAGATTTTGACCTGCATTTTTTTTCTATCATCGTTCGGTCCAGTTCTTATAACGAGTCTCGGCAGACGCTAAAATACGCCCATACATAGTGAGATATTCAGAAGGCCAAGAGCCAAGCGCCCGGGAGACACCCAAAAGAACTTTGACCGAAATTTCAGCCCACCCCCTTCCTCGACTTCATCGGTTGCGGCGTCGGTCCATGATCAAGTTAATGACCTTCCTTCCCAGCTGCTCCCATCCTGGAAAACCACGTTGCATGCATGCGACTTCGCATTGGCTATGCGGCCTGACGACGGGTTTGCACGCTGCCCTGGACATTCATGGAGGTTTGCTGGCTCAATGGGTGGCAATTCCATCATATACGCCTTCAGAATGATGTAACTGGCCCTATCTGGTTTTGATCATGGCTCTGATCGGCCCAGCTGTGGCTAGGGATATCTGGAGCTGAAATAATAGTATGTAATATATAACATGTCCCCCCCTCTCCAGAGTTACAACCCGTACCCCTTAGCAGCTTCAGCTCCAGGGAACTTTACTTGCCCTACTCGTGATATTTCTTTTATATTGCCAGGCAAGATGGCGTTAGCTCAATATGATTATCTTTTTGCTATAGGCTTAATATTTGCCTTCCTTGATGCTTGGAATATCGGTATGACTCTTGCTATGCTGGTTCTCAAACGCACCCCTAAGTACCGACACTGACCTTACTCAATACACAGGAGCTAATGATGTTGCCAACTCGTGGGCGACTTCGGTCGCTTCTCGCTCATTAACCCTTTTTCAGGCCATGATAGGAGCCAGTATCATGGAATTTGCAGGATCCCTCGGTGTTGGAGCCCGTGTCGCTGATACTATCCGAACCAAAATCGTTAGCCCCAACCTATATAATGACTCGCCCGAAGTGCTCCTACTCGGGATGGTTTGTGCCGTTATTGCTTCCTCTGTCTGGCTTACTTTGGCCACTAGGATAGGTCTCCCTGTGTCTACTACCCACTCTCTTATGGGAGGTGTCATCGGGATGGGAATCGCATCTGTGGGAGTCAGCAATGTCACATGGGTCGCACCAGCTGGTACTAGGGGTACGGAGGTGATCAACACTGGTGTGGTCTCAGTCTTCCTTGCCTGGATCATTGCTCCCGGACTCTCGGCAATCTTCGCTTCCATCATATTTCTCATCACTAAATACGGAGTCATGTTGCGCAAGAATCCCGTCATGAAGGCTTTTGCCCTAGTCCCCGTCTATTTCGGGTTTACCGCGTCGCTTTTGGTCATGCTTCTGCTCTGGAAAGGCGGTGGGTATACCATTAACTTGAACGATAATGAACTTGCTGCTGTCATTGTCTGTTGCGGTATTGGCTGGGCTGTTATTGTTGCGATATTCCTTATGCCCTGGTTGTGGCGCGTGGTCGTCAAGGAGGACTGGGAACTTCGATGGTACCACATTGCGCTTGGTCCTCTTCTTTTGAGGCGAGGCGATGTCCCACCGCCCCCATCAAACTTTCAAGGTGCTATTCGTAACTTCTACGAGGGCCATCTCACGAAGGAAGAGCTTGAAGCCAAACGTGCGGCTGCCCTAGCTCGAAACGACGTCGAGGCCTCTGGCACTAAAGAGACTGCCAATGAAGCCAACATTGCAGAGGCTATCGTCAAGTCTTCGAAGCACTCCGACTCCAGCTCAGAAGAGCTTGCTAACGTTCCGGAGAAGAAGTCGCTAGTCGGCCCTAAGCCTGAGGGCCTCTCTTGGCATTCCGGCCAGATGCTATTTTGGTATCTTAAGAAAGGATTGTTCAATGGTGTTGATCAAGATGTTGTCAACATGCAGAGAAAGAAGGGTGTATTGTCTGGGGACCTCGAGGAAAAACACGCCCGGGCAGCTCACTACGACAACAAAGCCGAGTTCATGTATTCGTTCTTACAAATCATGACCGCTTGCACAGCTTCTTTTACGCATGGTGCCAATGACGTTTCGAAGTAAATCTGCCGCCCCCTTTTCTATCGTAGACATATTGCTTACACGCAGTAGTGCCATCGGACCTTTTACAACAATCTATCAGATCTGGCAACAGGGACAAGTTCCTAAGAACCCTGAAGTGCCCCTTTGGATTCTGGCTTTCGGCGGTGTCGCCATTGTCATTGGTCTCTGGACTTATGGGTATCACATCATGGCTAACCTTGGCAATCGGCTGACGTTGAACTCACCCTCTCGAGGTTTCTCTATGGAATTGGGAAGCGCTGTTACTATTATCCTCGCTACTCGGCTTAGTGAGTGAACACCCGCTCAACCCTCTACTCATTTGAATAGACTCTCTAACCTTGTGGAAATTTCTAGAGCTTCCGGTATCGACTACGCAGTGCATTACGGGCGCCATCGTCGGCGTTGGTCTCTGCAATGGCGACTGGCGGGCGCTTAACTGGCGAATGATCGCTTGGATCTACGGAGGTTGGATCTTGACTTTGCCCTGCGCGGGTATCATCTCTGGGTGCCTTATGGGGTTCGTCCTGAATGCGCCTCACTGGCGCTGAGGATATCGATGCTGAATAGAGATATTTATGAAGACAATTCCGCACAAGAGCATTATAATTACCGAAAAAGTCCTACGAGGAAACTATTCCAAGGGTAATGAGTAGTGAGGTCTTTTTGTTGACAGTGATATATAGGTGTAGGTACCTATAATATGCCCTTTCGTCTTAGTTATGTCGCGTTTTATTTCTGCAGTCTGATATTGTCCGAATTATTTTCACTTTAGACTGGAAATGATGCTTCTGAGTAGTGCATTGAGTCTTCCACAAGTCACGTTTGAGTGGTTATGAGTATGTCCAATTATTTTGTACTTGTTCACATAGTACACTATACATATGATCAACACGGTTTCCGTCAAATGTAGCCCCAGATTTGTATCAAAACCAATGGGGCTTTGCTGTCAAAATCCATAGGTGGCCTAAGCAGAAGGGAATCAGCTCCGCAAGCCACGAGCGTAGTCCTTTTGGCGAGAAACCCAGAACGTTAGTATTGTCTCCGAACCAAAGTTGTAACGCGAGTACTGTCACCAAGGTAGCATCTCTCGCGAATACGGTCCAATAAACTATCCGCCTGCTCGCCGCGGCCTTTGGTGCTTTCGTAGATGCGAGAAGCATAGATATCCCTAGCGTAAAAGTTTGGGTGCCTAGGAGTCGGCTTAATAGTAGGGCTGAAGGCGGAATGGGCGCTGCTACCGCGACGGACAATGGGGTTTGGGGTGAGATTATGAACACCAAACCCCCTGCGAGCTTCATGATACCTTCAACTAGGATCAATGATCTCAATGGTGATGCGGTATGTGTTGACATCGTGCCTTGAGTAGAAGACTCTTCTTGCCTATAATGTTGGCTAATGAATGAAACTCTCGTGTATCTTTTAACATTTCTATATGGTGGTGTGGCGAATCACAGATATTTATGACGCTTAAAGAAGAGTAATTCAGCCCTACGCTTTGGCATTCGGTACGATAATACGGTAATACCGGCTTATAACCAGTTCCGAACTAAGTCTAGAGCACGATTGTTCCATGCCAAGACATCTCACGATCTTCAAACACCGCTTAATTATCAGCCGCATACATAACTTCTAATTTCTACTTGGTATTCGCTAGGTATATCCTTTCTAAATATTCTCACGTTATCTCAGACCCAACCGCTTCGAAAAGATAGTCTGACAGCGCGATGTGTTTATTGGTCCAGGATGGTCGTATTCATTCGAATAGAGATCTCCATGAATATATTAGTCTAAGGTTTCAAAAAGAATAATCTGACTAAGACGCACCTTGTCGTGGCATCCGAAGCCATGCGCCGTCTAGCCTAACGTGCTGATCGACGGGACGTTATGTGAACTAAATTTACTTTTTCGGGTCCCATACCAAGCTTGCTAGGTCACTTTGCAGGCATGGGAGCTGATGACATGGCGTTCTCTAAGCTTTAATTAAGTGGGAGAGCTGAAAACTGCCAAGGCCGTTCAGCCACTTGGATAGGCGACGGTTACGGTAGATGGCCTAAGAACCATGCCCGGTACAGTAATAGTGCAGCAGTAGCGCCGCGATGGCCTCGCTCCGCCACGAATGGAACGGGAAGATATTAGATACGCATGTCCTTCTGTAACATGATGGGAAATATACTCTTTTCTTTCTTTTGGACTGACGGTATCCTCCTAGGACATAATAACACGTCTGTCTGGCAATGGTCCGGAAGCGCTCAAGGGATCGCTAAACAAAGACGACGTCATGTCGCACATCATCACGGCGCCACGGACGGAGAGGGTAACGTTTGATGCCCTGCCCCGATTGCATACGCGGAATGCGAGCTCGGGAAGTTATGATGGACCCTACGAGTACGATAATGATTTGACTCAACGGCATGAACGACGATATGATGGGGAATATCCCACATATGAAAGAAGACATTATGATGGTTCGATAGGTTCAAGCAGCGAGGAAGAGGGTCTTCCTAAGTATGGTGGTGGGCAGTCGTGGTCTAGTAGGGGAACGGACTATACTCAGATTCCAACTGGCTACAAGCCTGACATGATAACCTATAGCGAAACTACTCTGGACGTTGCGCCGGAAATAGATCGAAAGCGTCCCAACTATAAGCCGTCTGCACTTAGATGGCCGTTCTTAACCGGTTTACTACTTGTAGTATTAACCCTCGTTGGGCTGATAGTGTGGGCTTTGCATGTTCTCCCTGTTCTCAACAATGATCTCAACGTCTTAACCGAGGGAATTCACGTAAGAGAAGTTCAGGAGCTGTCGTCTTATACAGTCGTTCGGATCGCCTTTACAGACATTAGGCCCATTCTCATACCTACTCCTCTACAGGGCCGTGCCGAAAATGCCTCTGAGCCTACGTCTTCGCATACATCCGAGCATACATCACCGACGGTAGTCGCAACACCCGCCGGAGGCGACTTTGGACACCTCGGTGATCAAACTATTACCCAGCCAGCGGGGCCAACAACAACACCACCGGCGGCTCAGGACACTACTAAGCCCAAGACCGACACTACGTCACAAATTTCTACAGCCTACTCCAAGCCGGAGGAAGACTTCGGCCATGTAGGTGGGCCTGTTACTATCTCGGAGATGACATCGTCGCTGTATGTGCCTGGGACAACCAACTACGGCGATGTAGGGTCGAAGATAGTGACAGAAACTATACCAGAATCAGACTACGGTGATATTGGATCGACATCAATATATGAATCCGTGGCATCCACAAACCACGGCGGCATCGGCACGATTACGATCTCAGAGACAGTACCACGGACACCAACCTTTGTAACGCCAACTGCCACCGTTGTGACGAACTCAGAGGGTGTAATCACGACTTCAACGAGCATCCCGGAACCCATCTCAACACCTCAAACGACTACTCTCACCGACTCCCAAGGCCAACCCACAGCCACACAAGAAACCAGCGTGCTCGTCACGCCCTCCGTCATAACCCAGACAGATTCGACTGGGAAGCCCGCCGCAACAGCAACATTATACCCGATAATTCCTCCTCCATCGGACGATGGCGAAGACAACAACAGCAACGTTGTAACGAAGGTCTACCATATCAACCATGTGCAATACTTCATCGGCAGTTTCCTACCCACGCTCCTAGCCATCGCTCTGGCGATCCCCGTCCGCATCCTCGACGTCAATGCGAAGATCCTGCAACCATGGCACGAGCTGGCGCATGACCGCGGGGCCTCCGGTCGGGAGTCGCTATGTCTGAATACTTCAGGCCTGCAGTCTATTACCGCAAGTTTGCGCTCGCTAGTTGGTGGCCAGGCTCTCGTGTTCCTGACGACCGTGCTTGTGCTCGCCTCTGCACTGCTGATCCCTGTCTCTGCTGAAGCTGTCAAGTTTGACTTGCGCGGCATTGGGTGCGTCGCGGGCAGCGGAAATGCCAGCAATTGCGCCTATGTGCTCAGCGTGTTCGACCAAGCGGCTAAGGGTACGGCTGTATTGTTGGCGTTGATGGGCCTGGCGACCTTGATGCTGATCATAGTGTTGGCGCGATGGCGCTCTGGAATTAGCACAAACCCTTGGAGTATCTGTGGAACGGCATCGCTGTCGCTGAACCCGGATGTGCGGCTCCTCTTCACGAGCCTGCCTGCCGGCATTGACGCGGGTAAGATGCCTAAGAGTCTTCTCGAGTCTGTTCTAGAGGATCGGTGGTTCAAACTGGGGTACTTCTACGGTGCGAACGGGACGGTTGAGTACGGAGTTATGCTACGTGAAAATGCGTATAGTAATAAGTACGCTCCAGGTCAAATAGGGGGCGAAGAAAAAGAGCCGCAAGATCATCACGCAGCACCGACGGAACCGAAGCATCACTTGCCTTTTCTTATGTTAGGGTATATAGGACGAGGCTTGTTCTTATTTATCCTATGTGGGCTACTGGGTCTAATATTATACTACAACAACACTGGCGGAGATACAGCGTTCGAGAGGTTTATGGATAGCGAGTCGTTCGGAGTACGGTTTTTGTTTACCGCCGTCGGTGTTGTTATTAGTTTCTTCTGGGCCTCATTCTTCAGTAGTAAGCTTTCTCTTTCTTCTTTTGTAATCTCCAAATCAGAATCCAAAGCTAACGGCGTATGAAGGCATCGCTATTCTAAGCCCCTATCAGCTCTTGGCCAGTTCACCCCAACATGCCCGGCGATCAATTCTACTTGCGCCACCAACCAATGCATTCTCGGGGCTCCTATCCTCAATACGACGACGTCACGGTTTCCTTGCCGTTGTTGCGTTAACTTCCATCCTATCCGAGTTCCTAACTATCTTCCTCAGCAATATCCCTTACCGGGTCACCCAGACCTTCCTACTACATCAGGTCTGTACGTGGTCTGCTGTTGGCATCCTCTGCATCATGGTGCTCGTTGTCGTTGCCTCCTTCTTTATCACTGTATGCCATCCCTGATTCTCTACGCGTATATATGAGTACTGACTGTTGCAGTGGCCGCATATGCCTGTCGATCCAAGTACCATCGCGGGAGCTATGTACTATGTATGTGATTCGTGGATGCTTAGCCGTTTTGAGGGTTTAAGTACATTAAAGCGTAAGGATAGAGACTGGCGCGTTAATGAGATGGGGCTAAAGTACGAGTTTGGGGAAATCAGAGGCGCCTCAGGCATAGCGCGAATCGGCGTGGATGCATCGGCATCGTCTGGGGGTATGAGTTGGGCGTAATGAGCTTGAATTAATCAATCTACCTGATATATCTATACATACCCCAGTCCGATTATATGGCATAGCACAAGCTGCATGTAATTTTTGTGATGTTTCTCATATCGCCGTGATATCCCTATTGCTATTTTAGTCTCAGTTTCTGAGTATAGACTGATATTTTGGGAATATCGTCAACATATCATGCCTCTCTTGAATTATTTGCTCTATATACACGATGATCTAGGGGCTGATTGACATGTCCTAGAAAAGTTCCAGCCCAACAAGTGCCCGGGCTCGGAAGAGACAGAAACTTATTCTAAACGAAGCAGATGGACTATGTAGAAAGATAGAACATGTCGGTGAGGTCATGCAGGTTCGGTATGCAAGTCACACTCCTCGCCCCGAAAAAGGAAAAGGACAAAATCTCCTATTGAACCCGGGGACCGGAGGATTGGCTCGGCATGCAGCTGAGCATGCTTCATACCCTCTTTCCCCTATAGGAAGTGAAGGACACACAAACCTATCCCATAGGGCTCGGATGCAAAAGGCTTAAGCAAAGGGATTCCTACTATTGGACCTTGTTCCCACTACTCCCGACCAACGGGCGTCGACTGAATATGTGCCCGATACTGTTTAGCCGCCGAACATCAATTAAGCACCAAGAACGGTCATTGTCGGATCTCGTCTCTGATTGGACGATGCACGACATGTCCTCTGACCTTCTAGGATGGCTGGATGGTAAGAAGCCCCAATTGGATAAACAGAGCCCAGTTTCCAGGTTTGCAGCAGGGATAGTTTTTATTCTCCGAGCTTATTGATTTGTGTGACGAACCCGTGCATCGCTGTTAGCCAGGGGCTATGAGGCTAGCGACGAGGTGAGATGAGGAGGCGAAGGGGTCATATCATGGCTCCTGAAGCGATCACGTTGACATTATTTCATACTAGTTCGGCCGATCATCTTTCAGACTGACTTGACCGATCATATAAAAGAGGATAGGAGAGGTATTTAAATATCAGCTACCTTGGTGTATAAGATCATTGATGAAATTTCCTATAACTATACATAAACATTCTCACATCGTACTTACTATTCAACACCGCCAATCTTATAATTCAACTAGCTCAGATTAATTCACAGTATCACCGCGCAGTATAGTTAGTAGTAACTAACATATTCCAATAAACCCAAGATGCGCCCTCAACGAATCCTCACCTCCCTCATCATACCCACCACAGCTGTGAGCCTTCCGACAAGCCCAGCCAACCCGCACACCAGTGAATCTTCACCACCAGCACCGCGCCGCACCGCGCAAACCTGTGGGCTCTACAAATTTGCCGAGGCCCCTATAAACCCACCGGTGTGCTGGGCGTGGTACGCACAAACTTCGCAACCGTCCGACTACTGCGGCGCCAGCACTTTCAAATCCGTCGCCTCTGCCTCATCGCCATCAGCATCCTGGCTTGACTCGTGCGCCTCCCTACGCAACACCCAGCTCATCTCGCCAAGGGACTTCTTCCTGGCGGACTATGCTACTGACAAGTTCAATACGCTCCTCATGTCGGGCGATTGCAGCTTCCAGGTCCAGCCTGCGACACCGCCGTCCAGTGACCAGGTTTATGTTGGAGGCAGTGACGTTGCTGACATCCTCGGGTCCGCCATAGTCGCCAGTCGAAACACGGGTGGAGGTATTGGCGTCGAGGGTAGCATGACCTGCTCACCTGGTATTGTACGCTGGAGGATGGTACCTGTGTAAACGATTAATTCAACTTGCTGATCAAGTGAAGACACCCCCCCTGGGCCTTATTCGATCCACCTTAGCCAGCCTAAAATTCAAAGTGCAAAAGAAAGTACTAAAGCTCAGTAGTATCAGTTTAGAATAATTTCTTCACGGCGCAATATTGACAAATTCAACCTCAATCCTTGTTCATTCTCTTCAACATGGGGCCGGCCACGCGATCCAGTCACGAATGAGACTTTCAACATTGAAAACGATTAAATACTTTTGTATTGCAGCAAAGCGCCTATAGCGAGTGTTTCTCCACGTCCCGTTGACTTTCTTTCCCTATCCAAACCTTTACTATCCTGACCATCTCCTCAATGACAACGTTTCTTCACCGTTAATAGCTATAAATCAATAAACGGGAAATAGTAAGTTGAATTACGCTGAGCCGAGGTCGCGGTGATAGGTGGTTCGAGGAAAGCGAAAAACCTTAGCACAGCATCGATCGTGTAGCGGGATAACCATATACAAATGCAAATAATTTTATCAGATCTTCCTCTGCTCCGTCTGTCCTCATTCTGTTCTGTCCTCCAGTGAAAACAAATCCTTGCTCAGCAACGAAATTACTCTTGCTGTCTTCGTCTTCGTCGCTTCGTTCGTCATTTCCAATCGCTCCGAAGCTATGCCGGCCTTATCGCCGGGGACGCCCCGTAGATGCTCTTTAGAACAGTAAATTAGTTGGGGATCTCCCAGTCTAGTCGGCCAGCCAGCATCGCGTTGCCATCTAGTGATGTGCATATGCGTCATAACAGCGTAACCATCGTAAAGAGGTCCTCCAGGCTTGACAACCCCCCTCGGAAGCCGTCAAGACCTCAAGACACCTCGGAGGGTATAGGAGTTCGAGTCGTGATGCCGTGAATGGTCGCCCATAAATTGCTGTATGGTGTATTCAGAGATGGTTCATTTGTCGATCATCGTGAAGAGGGTATTGTAAAATGGAACGATGTGCTTCATTGTTCCCCTAGACTTTTTTTTTCGGTTCCATGCAACACTACAACCTTTCACCATCGCAAACTCCATGATATGTATGTTGCTCTTTCCCAATCCAGGACGGCCGGAGAAACTCTGATGGAAGGTGAATAAAACAGTATTCCAAAATCAAATGTCATATTACAAAATATTAGTTCAAAACAACGAGACGGAAAAGAAATTCAAAACGCAATGATGCAGGTCGAACCGTTAATCGAGGTGTAAAAATCGTGCTGCGACAGGGGTTGAAGCATAGCGTCAAATCAATGAAGGGAATAAGTCTATGTCATAAGTCGTCTCTCGTTGTGTTATGCTTGTGACGGAGATCCAACGCTCGTAGCGAAGGCGTATTGGACAGATGATGGGGTTTGAAAGCGAGGGCTTTTTTTTTATGGCTTTCCAGAAGGTCGTGATGGGAAACTCGGCATTGACATCGCACCAGTAGATGAATAACTGATCGAAGAGTCCGGGGGCTATACAATTGATGGGTTATTGCTATTCCGTACGGCAGCTTCTGACATTAGACGGTAAATAAGCTGGATCAATGGAAGCGCGCAGTACTGCGGCCTGCATCTGATGAATCTGTACGCGGTCTTAGTTAGTAATGGATGGTCTAAGAGTGCTTAACATAAATACTAACCGCTGCCCCTCTGCATGTGTCCACGACTTCGTCCGCCAAAACCTTGACCAGCTTCTCCCCATTCTGGGCCGCGTGGTTGCCTGTCAGGAGCGTTACGGTTTGCCGCTCCATTAGCTCCCGGTCTCTGGCTTCCAATAGCCCCGGGCGTTTCCCTAGCGCGTATGTGAGAGCCGTTCGAATCGTAACCTAGACTCATAGAACTCATGTTTCCCGCTAACAAAGCGTCTGTGCTCGATGTAGCATTTTGACCTGATGTCGGAGTTAAATTGGGCGGCGTGGTCAGCGAATTTTGGGAAAAATCACCATAACGGGCCCCAAGGCCGTTTCCAAGGCCAGCATAGCTCGAACCAGATGGCGCAGGGCTCGGGCTATGCGTGCGCAGGTCTGCGAAACTCTTAGCCGCCCTGAGGTTGTTCGGTATTCCATTGTCCGGACTGCCTGGCAATTCCAACGTAGGACCCTGCCTACCCAGCGCATGATAAGCACTGGAACCTATGCGAGATTCTGTAAAATCGTATGTAGCGGCACGACTTAACCCGCGCCGGTGATCCTCCCAAGAGACATTAGGTAGCTGGCTCTGAGCATGAGCAGGAGGAGAATTCTGCGGCCGCTTCATGATTTGAATCTGCCTTCGATCAGCTTCCCCGACGGACCTGTGCTCCAAACCCATGTTATGAGCGAGAATATGTATCTGTCGGCGCTGTTCGGGGGCAACATCCGGCGAGAAGATATGAACCTCACGAGACGGGTCATTTTTAAACAGGGTCAACTGTGTATAAAATTCCAGAGTTGCAGGATCATTCAAATCGACGTCGCCTACAAATAAAGAACTTAGTAATAATATCTTAGATGAGAAGTGCGTGGGAAACTCACGTAAAGGCGAATTACTTGGCTGCTTGTTGACGCTGACACCAAGAGCCTGCAAAGCGCTCTGCTGGTGCATAGGAAGCGGCGCTCGATGCTGTTCTTCGAGCTGACCTCGTTTCTCACGCTTCTCACGATCAATCCTATCACGCTCATCCTGCGGTAGCATTTTTTTATATTCAACCCGCAACTTGCGACCCATAACTTCCAATCCATTCATCTTTTGAATTACAATAGCAGTATCATCAGCTGTCGAGAAGTTAGCAAAGGCCAACCCTCTGAATACGCCCTTGTCGAAATGATAATTGAAAGCGTATGGTTGCGGGAGATTCATGGAAGCCATGAGGCCTTGGAGAATCTCCTTTCGACATTGGAACTGTATGTTCTTTATCACGATAGCGGTAGGAATAAGTTGCTCGGAATCGGACGCGCCGGGAGTGGCCATCATCCCTCGAGAATCCGCAACAGCGCCAGCCATATCATGTTCGTTTCCGTTCATCGACATACTTGGATCGTACAGCTGAGACATCGAATGAACGCCCAGTCCGGATTGATCAGTCCACGTCTGGAAGAGAATCTTCGATCAGTAAAGTTCTCATCATTTTTAATGTACGCGAAAGGGGCACTCACCGTAGGCAGAGCGGCTCGCCGATTTACAGCCCTCACCGCTAACCTACCGTTTCCATTCATGGGGCCGTTCATGGTGGCTACTCCGCCATTATAGCCCCACGTTTGGCTATTTTCTAACATGTAACCTGATTGCATTGCGCTTGGTGCAACGCGATCAAATCTCGATAAAGATTCATAACCCGCGCCGCCGATACGGTCATCGTGCCCGTACATCGAACCAGATGTCATTTGCTGACCAAGAGATTCGAGAGGTCTTTGACCCGATCGGTTACCCCCCAGGCCCGAGGGTAGGCCAACAGTAGCATAACCTTGTCTTGTCGACCCAGGCGACCTGTTCGCTGTCGTGGGATAATCGTAATACATCTCGTGTTGTTGTTGTTGTTGTTGTTGTTGATTCATGATTGCCACAATAGTATTGAGGGCTGGTGCAGCTGCTGTGGGGAGCCAGCAGGCTGCAGCTCCCTTTCTACACGTATATAAACGGGCGGAAACGCCTAGTTGAGTTCTGTGTCAGAGCTCAGGACCTCTGCCTTTAGTCTCCGAGAAAAGAACGAGCACAAAACAAAGCGCCGTCGTGGGAACCGTACTCCTTTGCAGAGACGAGGATTGCTCGTGCGTAAAAATCGATAGGAAGATAAATAGGGTCGGTCGAAGGGGCAGCGACGGTTATGGCTGGTTGGCTGAAAAGTTAGGCAGGATTGGCTGTGCAGTAGAAATGCAAGAAGCCGAAACGAAGATTAGGTCGGGTAGTATGCCGTCACGCAGCTCAAATACCGAATAGCTAACTCCTGAGAGCCAGGTCGCCAAATCTCCCTATATATGATAGGTCCTAAACCTCTAGAAAGGGGACTCAGGCCTGTCCTGATGTTGATGCGGTGGAGAAGAAAATTGGCCTGCAGCAGAAGCAGGTTGCAAAAAAGGCGGCGAAGAAATGCGGGCTTGACCGCAGGGACCCCCCAACCTAGGTAAGTTAGGATTTTCTTTTCCTTGACTTTAATTTTTAATTTTTACTTTCCTCCTAGCCCACCAGATAAACCAAGGGCTAACCTGGGATTTCAGAGGATGACAGCAGTACCCTCCAAAAACTCTACTCGTTCTGGCTGCAAGGTTTCGTCGCAAAAGTATAACGAGTAATAATATATGGCCAGATAAGTAAGTTTATAGCGATCAGGTAGCAGAGAGAAATAGTAGGTAGTGGCAGTGTTTGCACGCGACGCGCGAAGAGTTTAGGTCCAATAAACCGACTTTCCAAGTTGGCTATTTAGGGGGGTAGTAGAAAAGTAAGCAAGGGTATGAGGATACGTAAGGCGTGATGGATCAACCGGGGAACCTCTCGCGGTCCAGGGGTGACAGCTAGAGGCCTCGGCGGAAGGAATAGGTAGGTAGCGATAAGATTGGATAGTTGACCGAAGTAGAACTGAAGCCGGTGCCTATTAAGTTGAGACGGAGAGATATTGTAATATGTAATAGTTGGTCGAAGGGCGGAAGAAAGCTATCAGCTTTGGAATTGCCCACAAGTAACAAGTAGGTAACCAGTGTAATAAGTTTTGGGGCTACTCTTAAGTGGCTGTTAAAATCAGGGTGTAGCTGAATGAGATGCAAGCAAGACAAAGACTGAGAGACCAATCAGAGCCCGAGGAGAGAGTGAGGAGGTACCACCCGGAGGAGGCCGCGGGATAGATGATGGCGAAAGGAGAAGGGAAAAGAGAAGGGGAATGGATTATGGCAATACGCCTTAGAAGACAGCGAGGACCATCGGATAGATAATATGATGAGTTATTAGGTAGTATTGTAGATTTTCGAGAAGACGAAAAATATGTCCAGCTAGAATTTTTCTTCCAGAGCAAGGCATGGAAACTTGGCACTCGAGAAGATCCCAGGGGCGATGGGGGGCTAATAGGGTAGAAGGTGGATCGCGGATGGTTGATGGAAAAAAAAAAAACAATGCCAGAAGCTCAGAAGGAAATTATTGGCTTAGCGGTGATAAGGAGTATGTACCGTGCTTGCGCTTCATGCTATCAATTTGCGCTGCCAGTTTAGGGGCTTAAAGGGGAAAAGTCTCGCTAGGCAGGTTACGAAGTACGAGGTAGGTACGTAAACATGTGTATATAGGTAAAATTAAATAAATCATATACTGTGCTCGGAGCTTAAATTGGCCTATTCCTCGGAACGCTTAGGCCATCCTCAAAACCCCTAAGTCTACCAATGCGCACAGTGTAGCGCAAGATCACTATACACCGTATATTAGCATCACCTACATGCACTAGTGCACTATGTACCTAACACATACATACATACCTACCTAGGTAGGTAAGGTACCTAAGCCCTAAAGTGGCAGGCATAGAAATGTGCCTACCTTGGATCAACCCTCATCAACAATCATCGTCATCATCATCATCATCAACAACATCAAGTCCGAACAGAGCATCGAATATCTCCACGGTTAACATCCAGTCTATGCATAATGGCATCTAAAATAACGAATCTATACATATGTTGAGTATTCAACAGAGATTCCTATATCGTTACTCGTTACCAGCTACCAGTTGCCAGTAGTCAAACTCGCTGCCGGATCCGAGACAGATACCTGCCTCACTTATACACAGTATCACCAGCATTGCTCCCCTAGCCCACCTAAGCTATGTACATATGTGGCCCCGTATGGACACATTTTATCTGGGTAGCTTATTAATATCAGACCGGTTTATTACAAGTCCAGACAACCCATCTGAGAAGGCCCTGCTCCTAGATAATCGGCCATCTTGCGGGTCTTATCACGGGACAAGGCTACCGAGCAAGATACAAATTAGAAGCCTCGTGAACATTCGCATCACACCCTCTTTATCAACCGCTCCGCTTTTCGACACAACGTCAAGTGACCTTTTCATCTTGCTCTCTCAGCACATATAGAGCACATATACATAGAGCACATAGATGCCGCAGTTATCTATGTATTAATCGCGGTAGTTTGGTCGCATTTGCATAGTTTGCAAGGGGCTGTGCAATGCTACTCCGAATAGTTGGGCTCTACATACGGCCGCCATATAGGTAATCAAAGGCGTAAAACATGCATGCATGGCGTCGAGATCATACAGATCCCCAAAACGGCGGCTACAAAGGGACAAAGACGACACCAATAGTCTTCTCTTTTTTCCCCAGTGGTACGATATTGAGATTAGCGAGCAAATATTTTTGCACCAGACCCAGCTACAGGCCTTTCTTCTATCCAGTCCTTTCGATCTCTCTAAAGGTTCAAAGTACTACTTATTATTTACCTACTCAGGTAGATACGGATCCGTACATTTGATTCATTTCCTAATATCTTGGTTGGGGTTCTATCCTACGAGAATAATTCCAGAAACGCCAACCGGATCAGATTAACGTTACAGCCCAACTTTTAACATATTAAACCCTGGCAGATGTTGAATCTATGTGCTCCCTTATGACCCTGTATCTGGTGATGGAATGTGCCTGATGCACCTATTTCATGTAGATCACAAGCACTGCATTGCATGGCCGCTGATCAGAAATACGTACAGTCAGTACCTAACCTACCTACACGCGCAACATGCAGCGGATGTCACCATTCAAGTTCTTTAAATACGTAATCCCACCATAGCAGCTTCTCCCCGCGCGTTAACAAAATGGGATCTCATTTCAGTCCAATCTTATGCGGACAGCAATGCCCAATTTTACCTATCGAGCCGCATACCGCCCATCCTATTTGCTCAAATAAACAAGGCTCTATTCTGCTTCGTATGTATGTATAACTAAGACTTATGTAGAACAAGTAAATGTCCCCATCGTCCTGCTTCCATGGTATTGGCATCCTTCGATATCCACGGTAGGTATTCCTCGGCCTATCAACTCTCCAGCCTACCGGCTCGTCTGTGCGTTCACATACCCAGTTCCCAGGGTTCGTTCTAAGATCAGATCGCAAAATGGCCCCAACCTCCCCTGTTGAACCCCTAAGGATTCGAAATGATCGTTCACCGTGGCCAGCGAATCAGAGGCAGTTCTACGTCTGTTTCGAGAAAATCGAGGCAACCCTCAATGGGACCTAGAATCTTGGCACATTCTGGAATTCATCCCCATCCATTACAACAATCCTCAGTTACGTAGGTTTTCTCCTTTACCAGGTCTGCGTCATTTCTTTTCTTACCCATCACAGCCTCTTTACTCCTTAGTTTTCTTACCCAATGTCACATCAATGACGTTCTAAATCTCTTAGCAGTCGTTGGTAGGTTAATTACGGCACGTCTTCCTCTGATACGATTTCCCGGTTACTACAACTGGCCATAAAGGTCTACCCATGCCGCACTCCAATAGATCAATCAGTTGCTCCGCCCCAAGTCCGTTTGGCCTGCGGAAGACTAACAGGTAACGGAAGTTGCTCCGTAAGGTGAAAAAAGGAATTTATCCCAAGAACAGCAGCACGATTTGCCATGCCTATCCAAGACATGAGTAAGGCCGGTTCCCATCGAGTTGGATGCAGCTCTAAGATATTGCTGCAGAAACGATCAGTGATTAATAATAGCCAGTTTTCTTTACTGTCAACGTACAACAACCGTGTTTTGTGTCCGTATGGATAACTGGCAAGTTAAACGTGGTGCCGAGACGCCGCCCCTGAATGTATTGATAAGTGGAACAGCTTCAGTATCGACACCTAGGATATTTAAGTGATCAAGAGTAAATGCAGTTATGTTACGCCCTGCTTGTCAATGCCGTAATACGATAGTACCAACAAGGATCACACATATGTTGGGTATGTAGTCAAGATGTTATCAAATTTGATAGTCCCGTTTCTTAGTCTCAGTGGGGGAAACACTAAGCTTTGTGTCTCGGGAGCTGACAGCGCGAAAATAGCGTCGAGTCAGTCATCCAATCGGCAAGTTCCCATACTCTTTCTTTCCCCTCTCGTTTTTAAAGGGATTCCCACGATAAATGGGCTGCATAAACTTACATCGACGTTCAAAATGATATCGTCACGGCAGGGAGAATTTCTAACTTGCCACGTTCTATACATGGATTGCTACAAAGGACTTCCTCTTGGACTGAGGTCTCCTATAGGAGCGGGACACAAGATAAATACTTCTTCAGAAATTTCTTTGCCAAGGCAATAAAACGTTCTTACTCATATCTTAAATCGTCTGTCGTGATCCAGGTTAGTGAATACTCCAACAAGGTGAGACCCCTTTTCATGTGCTACCAGATTGACATCAATACACTCTCATTCCAAAGCAATCTCGCGGAAAACGGGTTCCTCCACCAAGACGAGCTAAACATATTAACATATACCGTGCCGCTATCTATCTCATAGCTACCCTTTCATGGTATAGAACCATTAATTAGTTACCACATTATTTTATAGAAATGCTACCCAACTATCGCGAATATTTACTTGATTCAGAGACTAGTCTGCAATACCATCTGTCGGGGTTTTCCATAACCCCTGATCAAAATTATAGGGCGCAGGAAGCTACCAAGACGATTTTTCAGATTCATTGTAAAATGCTGGCATGAGGTAAGGAACTAAACTTTAAATCCGGGAGGTAAGGAAGCATAATTGATAGGGTCTCGTTAAAAACAAATGAGTGATAGACCTTAATACACATAACTAGAATCCATTAAAACTTAAACCTATGTAATGCCTATTTTAAATGTCGAACAAGCTACAAAGTTACCACTATCTTCTAATTGTTCAATTTAGGTTTAACACCAATACTTCTAACATTAGTCTTATGTATACAAAGGCTTATGATTACCTTAGATATGTCTAGCCTTAGGACATTGAGTCGTTTCTGCGTATAAGCACTCTATGGCGTAGCTACATGATGACACTACACTAGTTAGGAATATCCCCGGTGTACCAAGCTTCTTAGGGTTAAGGAGCACAGCCCACTACTATGTACATGCACCTCACGGGTCGTACATTCTAGTAACTTACCTGATGACAAACTCATTCCTCAATTTTAAAAATAGATGCTCCAATTACTTCACGGCGAACGAATAAACCTTCGGCAATACGTTAATAGGGACTATTGTGTTCGAGTTCATTAATTCAGGCGAAACCAAAAGCCCCAAGCTAAACTCTGGCAAACAACATCTAACCTAATCAAATGCAATATGCAGAGGTAGCCTAAGGTTCTAAAACATATCTGGAATCCAGCTTATTCAAATATCTAGCGATAAAATAGGTAAAAGTTTTGTTCATCCTCCAACCTTGTTGAATGTAATGTCTCTAGCTGTCCTACTTAATGGATCGGTGACGGATTCTCTCCGCGCATGGAGAGACACAGCAGGATCTGAATAGGCATCTTGCATTCGCAGCCGGTAGCACATTCAACATTAGCTTCAAGCATGATGCCTAGGTACTTTTATATCCAATTGGCGATGTCTGTACAACTCCAAGTCGCCGTTCAAATGAACAAAAATCGTTACTTCCTACCCAATCCTAAGCCATACACTAGCCAGCTACATTCGCAAAGTTCGTTATGTTGAATTCTGTTAGTTACTTTAACAATTACTATAAACGAAGGCTAATAAGGACAATAGAACAAAACTATGCGACCCCGACATTTAGAACCCTCACTGTAATATCATTTCATAAAGGAATGACAAGAGTCAGTTGGCCACACCAAACTACGAATTAAATATCCAACCCCGCAAGTCCGATCGTAGGTTACTTCCTTACTTCTACGGAAAAGGTAGGCAGACTTTCTGACCTCTCCTTCAAATTGTACACGATCCACACAGAAGATTCTACAGCTATTGAAGACTATATCTTATCAAATAACCCAGCCATCTTCATCCCCATCCTTGCTAGATTTCACGATGGTACAAACCGACACGCTCTCGAATCCAGGGTTGTCCCACTATTCTCCCGAGTAGCCTACTATAAAGTAGAGTCTATAACAGCAACTCTTACCCTCGGCACTCTCCAGGCACGTCAAAAAGCACATCGTTCCGGTAACGAAGTCATGATTGAGCCTTTGAGCCTATGGGCGCGTACATTCTACACTTGGATAAGACTCCGTTTGATGTCTATAGGGTTAAACGAAGTGCCACCATCGGAGGATCTACCTAGTCATATTAACGAACAGGAAGTCAAACTTACTGATGCGAGGAGGCGTAGGTGAACTTGGGTCTAGGAACCCGGTTAGCCGTAGGTCGTGCAGCTTGTTGTTTCTGTCCCGCGCCGCACTGTACAGCAGCTGGCCGCCCCGCAAGCTGGCCATGGGCGCGGGTGACGAATCATCCACCGCGACTATGCTACTTGACGGCGTGTCGGCCTGTGGGGGAAATTTGACCTACTTATTGTTAGGGGTCAATCCCTTATCCAAAAAGATAGTACAAGTGAAGCCATCAGTGTCATCAGCGGTGCTATCCACATTGACAAGCACAGCTCTCGAGGAAAGAACTGGAGCTATCGTAACAGCAAGGTTGTTCAAAAACATCATGACTATAGGCGTATGAAGAACTAAGGTATAAGCCATGGTCGTGAGTAGTTCTTGAGTAATTTGCTTATACTGGATGCGCGACTAGACAATCACCAACATCATTTTGTCCAAACTATTGGAGGGCTTTATCTCCACTAAGATTTGTTTGCATTTGCAACCTTACTATTTCAACCGTAACGGCGCCAATAGGATTACCATGCCACAAAAATTTTGTCCTGGAGCTAGCTTTCTTTGGTCTAATCATAACGACGGCAGGATCGGCCTTGTTACTTGGGATGAGGTGGCTATCAACAACGATGTTAGTAAGACCACCTAAGCTACACGCGAGGTGCATTGTGTACGGCTCTAGAGTAAACTTAAATGCATGTTGCCAAACATAGATCCGTACAGACTTTCAGTGAATAATCCTAGTCTACGCTCATACTAGTTTACGCTCATAAGGAAAGTACTACTTAAAAGTTGGCTATTCTAGTCCTGATCGCCTAGGTCAAGCGGTACAAACTGCTATAAAATTAGAGATCTTTAATTTCGAAACCGGGTTTTTAAGTCGAAACACCCTTACTGGGGCCACCCTAGTAGGGGCTACCCATTTCCCATACAAAATTAACGATTTTGCATATTTATATTTAATTTAAGAAAATAGATAAAAATGTACGGTTTGTAATTTTAAATAGAGTATTATATTTTTATTATATATAAAAATTAAAAAAACGTTAGGGTTAATATTTGTGGTGAAATGAGTATAAGAGTATATATTAATAGTTATATATACAAATTTATATGTAAAGCTGTTAAGGGATATTATTGTTTATAATTTTACCAATTAATATATTATAAATGTAAAATGTATATTGTTAAATACGTAATATTTTAATATAACTTTTATATTTAAAACTAAATATATAACTTATTTATTCAAAAAGTTATAAACGTTTATAAGGTTTTATAATAATTTAATAAAATTCTTATATAAAATTAAATATTAAACTTTTTAAATAAATAGGTTATATATTTAGTTTTAAATATAAAAGTTGTATTAAAATATTACGTATTTAACGATATATATTTTATATTTATAATATATTAATTGGTAAAATTATAAGTAATAATATTCCTTAATAGCTTTATATATAAATTTGTATATATAACTATTAATATATACTCTTATACTTATTTCATTACAAATATTAACCCTAACGTTTTTTTAATTTTTATATATAATAAGAATATAATACTCTATTTAAAATTATAGACTGTACATTTTTATCTATTTTCTTGAATTAAATATAAATATGCGAAATCGTTGATTTTGTATGGGAAATGGGTGGCCTCTACTAGGGTGGCCCTAGTAAGGGTGTTTTGATTTATATGATATTTGTAACATTTAACATCGCTCATTTCGAGCAACTATTTGTAGTTTATGTAGTTACGGGTTAAAGCAAATGTTATGGAAAGTGTTAACTATCCTATGTTTCTTATCACTCTTAGATATTGGGCGCCCAGTCACTCAAATATATGTTATACTAGAAGTCACTGTTGATAATGAAGTTACCTAGCTGCACTCTGTTGTATCCAATAGTAGTCCTTTCTACTCGGTTTAGCATCTATAACAGATACCATCCGAAAAGAAGCTAGCACGACAGCACATAATGAGGATTTCAGAGAATGTCAGTGACCAATATCAATTCGCTAGAGACAACCCATAATTCATATGTAGAAGTCGTTGTATTTTGTATAAGTACATGTAAATTGTTGCTAAATGCAACGAAGATTATATCAGTAAGCTTCGGTGGCAAGCATTAAAATTATCGAAAACCTACGGGAAAGGGCCAGAGCTAGCCGTCAGGTATTATTTTGCCGCAATGGGGAAACCTGAAGTCTCGAAAATTCGTAGCCGTGCTAACTAATAACCTTCGCACATTACCATAGATAAATTCTTACCGCTTAGCTATCGTAACATAGATACCTAGGTAGGTAGCATTTACTTCTGCTCAGGCCTCAAGCTGTAGAATTGGGTTCTTTTTCTTCCTTGTTCTCTCCCCCTTTATACATCGTTTCCCCTTTTACACGTGAGGGCCCTTCTCCCTTTGTCATTTGAAAATGTAACTAATTAAATTTGAGATTTGTCTATAGTGTAGCCTTCTAATCCCATATGTAAAGAGTTAGATGTATAGTATTTCCGAAAGAATAATGCTATAGAATTCTCTTTGAGATTATTTAAAAGTTGCATTTATACATAACTAGCATTTATAGGCATATCAGAGGTTCAATGGTGTAACAGGTGGGTTGGTACATAGATACTTCCAAAGTTACCTATAAAAAAAAGATCATGTGGCTGTGGAGTAATGCAAGCCACACTGCTTCGGCTGATGGGATTCCACCTAGATTGACGTATGTAGATCTTCATCCAAACGACCACAGCTAATCTACATATCAAAGTCTACCTTTTTATGCGAGATCCTTTTTGTGCAGCACTTCCCCATTTGCTTTGAACTACCTCGAATCTAGAGTCTTAATCGCCTACTTTAATCTGAAGCATCGAAATGGCACCAACGCAGTTTAAAATGCGGCATGTATGCTGCCGTCGCTCTTCGTCAAACTTCATGCCGCCATCCCCTTGACTACCTAACCTTGCTGGCCTACCGCAAGTAATTGATGTCTCGTCACATTCACACCTCTCAACTCCTGGTGGCTTATAATCGTTTGAATAATGTGAGTAAATCAACGAAGTTAATACTACTCTTTTTTTTTTTACTTCTCGGTCTGCATTAGTTGGTGTAAGCACTCTTCTGATATCTTCCCCGGCATTCATCAAGACGACTCTCTCCTCTGGACAAGCGGCTGATAATGATAGCCGGAGATTTACCGGCAGTTACATCGTAGCTGGATGAGGCTTAGTGTCACGGGAAAGCTAGGCGCTATGAGGTGGGGTCATTTTCTATCTTTGGGGCTTCCAGAAGCAAGATTTGATGCCTACCTCAGTGCCTTTAGTGCCCATAACGCAGCCTAACCAACTGTAATAGAGCATTGAGTCAATCCAAATAGGCAAGCAGCAGCAGCCTACAGGCAACTCACATCGTTCCTTTCCGCCTACGATATAGCCCGCCCCTTCCAACAACACTGCGCCGCCTCTCGATTTTCCAGCGCCTCCGACCCAAATGCAAGAATAAAAAAACACAAACAACGAAAACAATTTTCACCGACAAACAAACCCGACGCGAAAGTTCAACTATCCACCCCAAAACCGACACCATCTTTTATTCGTCGCGCCGAAACCCGTTCGATTTTATTAACACTAGCAAAATATTGATTTCGCGCACATTAGTATAAACAATGGCTGGTGGAAAAGGCAAATCATCTGGCGGCAAGAGTTCGGGTGGGAAGACCTCGGCTGCTGAAGCTCCCAAGAAGCAGCAGAGCCACTCTGCTCGTGCTGGACTTCAGGTAAGATGCTATTTTGTTATATACCATTGATGCATCGCGATCATTTTCACTGGTCTGGCATGTTGAGATGCCTGTCTCCGCAACATCGAGATCCCGTCGATATCGCCGCGTACCCCTCGATTCGCAGAATGACGCGCACCTCTTTCTACACAACACGTACTGTCCAACCGCTCGGGACTGTATCACAATGACCAGTTTCAGTCCCGGCCATAGATGGAGCTGTGCGGATGTCACTGGGCCGATGATATTTTTCGTCTTCATCTCATTACGTGTGTATACCAGACTCATCGAAAACACTCGCGGGCATGCAATGCGATGCGATGCGATATTGACACTATCCTTTTTCTTAAAATGCAGTGGTACCTTCGCTTTTGTTTGGTCCACATCTACAATCGTGCTTTTTTAATCATGATAAAGATATATTGCTCTTGTGATCGAGTTTTGCTAACAGAACGTCATAGTTCCCCTGTGGTCGTGTTAAGCGTTTCTTGAAGCAAAACACACAGAACAAGATGCGCGTTGGTGCCAAGGCTGCCGTCTATGTTACAGCCGTTCTCGAGTATCTGACTGCCGAAGTCCTTGAGCTCGCAGGCGTGAGTCATCCTCTTTGTTTTCCCTGTGCCACATTGCCATTATACTTGCATGAACTCTGCCTCGTTTCTGGTTCCACAGGCTACCATATGGGATAGAAGCTGACTATTACTCCTCGTAGAATGCCGCCAAAGACCTGAAGGTTAAGCGTATTACTCCTCGTCATCTCCAACTCGCCATCCGCGGTGACGAAGAACTGGACACGCTGATTCGCGCAACTATCGCTTTTGGTGGTGTTCTACCCCACATCAACCGTGCCCTACTACTCAAGGTCGAGCAAAAGAAGAAGAACAAAGCGATCGAAGCATAAGCTGCCCGCGATCTTTGTGGTTTGGAGTTTCCAGTGTATACGCTCTTTCGTTTCTGGGTGTTTCTGTTACGTGGAACGAGATTCTCTGCCTTCGGAGGCAGGAAGCGCGGTCTTGCAACCCTAAGACGGTTGATTACGACGGCATAATTACGGAATTATGACTGCGCTTAGTTTTTTTTTCCCCCGGCTCTGAGTTGGCTGCTTATTATGACATCTCAGGAGATCCGAAGTAGGTCAAAAGCGCTCATTAGGTGATGCTGGCAAGGCGTGTAGCTGGACGTGCTAGCTTTGATGATTCATCCGTAGGGATGGGTTGGGATACCGACTGCTGTGCTAATACTTTGAGGTCTTGCCAAAGGCAGCAAATAATACTACATTGCTTCGATTTGTATAGTACTCTCGGCAGCTTGATATATGACGCGACGTTGTATTCTCATGAGGAACTCTTTATAGCGTGTTCTTCTATCGAAGTTGAAAATATGCTTGACCCCGGGTTTGTACTCGTTATTTGTTCTACGTGACATTCGGAAATCAACATTCGGAAATCACCTTTCCATACTTAATGACTTGGAGGACAACACAAATTGCATCATGTGTTTAAGGACCTCGGACCTTATGTTGTAGAATGTGCCATGGTATATTCACTTTCAACATTGTTCACAGCTACTCTGAAAGGTAGTTACCTCATATGTATAAGGTATGTTAAGTAGAGGTATGTATATATAAGTACAAATAAATAACCTATGGATACTATGGAATAACAGTGCAAGACTGTTGTCGTAATTTTACGTAAGCATTTTTTTTTCTATCACACGTACTACTATACTATTAGGATTCTAAACGATATATCTAGAACAAGAGATACAGTTTCGGCTGTCCATAATGTTACTTTGTATATAAGTACAAGCTACGGTATAATCAAGCCAGTTAGTGCCTTTTTAATTTACACAATAAATAATTTAACAGTCAAGATTTATAACGCAAGATATTTTAAGGCAATACATTATTTTATGTGTTTACACTCCCCGAGAGGGCAAGTTTAACAATTAGGCCAGTTTATTATATTGATTAGGTATGTTTTAGCTTGAAAAATAATGTGTTAGCTTATTCTCATTAATGTATTATAGGTCCTTTTACATGTACAATATCATATCTGCGTATTATATAAAGTGCATTTTTCCTAGCATCAGCTCTTCGTGCTATATGTCTCAACGATCTAGGGGTTTAACAAATACCCTAAGTCAAAGCATATGAGGATTGCACACATTAGTCCATCTAGAACTAGTGATCAAAATGCTGTCTCATACATACTGGTAGTATGTACGTTACTAGGTTACAGGGATATGTGGTTACACGAAAAAACTATAGCTACAGCTTTCCGCCCTAGATTTTTAGTAGCCTAGGGATTCACTAGCTGGAATTTTGTATATCATTTACGATATACTTGCTTTAAGATTGCATCACAGTTTCCTGGACATACAATATTAATTATCGCTTGTTAAATCTTAAGCTAGACATGTGATCTCATCTAAATATAAGTGAAATACCTGCAATATAAATAGTGGCTGTCTCTTTTACAGTAAGAGAACTATCGGGTTATAAGCGTGGCAGAATACGTACCTAGTTAAAATATCTCATCGTAAAAGATTTGCTTTATACCCTGTCACGAATGCTTGAACTTTCTTCAGCTGATATCCCTTGCCCCCACTGGGAACAGCTCCCGGGAACTTCCACGTTGACCGCTGCTTAAGGGGTTTATCCACACTAGATATATTAGGTAGAATTTCATAATCACGAGGCCTACTTTCTGGGATTCTGCATCACTTTATCCGTTTTAGGGTATTTTTAGCACTACTTTGTAAGAACGCTAGTTATTGCTGATGATAATCGTGATAGATGGATAATTTTAAGACCATGTACGACTTTCGCTCTCTTCCCTTTCTTCGAAATCGTGGCGTCGTATAGCTTGAGGAATCGTATGATCGCTCTTATCCAGCCATCATATATGTCAACTCACGCGATCTTTTGCATCACTGAGTGGGATAATGTCAACGAGAGTCTCTGAAATCGCTAAGATCTATAACGTCGATGAAGGTAGTAAATACTTGAACCTGCCTATACAAATATCAAAATACCTAGGTAGGTTAAGTATATACCTAACCTAGAAAACTCAGCTGGCTTGTTCTCTAGGTTACACATGTATCACGGAGAGAAACGACAAATATCATTAAACTTTAAAATATCGAATCAAGTAGATATACCGAATACGACAAGTTATTTACGTAGCAGCAGGCGAAAGGTCCTTGAAAACGTTGAGATATCCTTGAGGTTTAAGTGATTTTAGCTACCCACCTTTCATATCCTTTAAGGGCTTAGAGGCTCTTACTAGCTTTACCAGTTTAGAATTATGTCCACGTATTAATTATATAGGGTTGGGAACGGCTGCATCCGATCGGCGCTGAAACTCGAACTCCTGGTTCTAGAAGGATTTGTGAGATTTTAGTTGATCCATTACCACGGTTAAATTCGACGACTGTCCGAACGTTTGGAAACCAATGAAAGGCGACTATTTGCGGTTACTGATGCCAGGGCAGCTAGGTCATTTCGCGCGGTGAGGAATCATAGTTCTTTGTTATATAGGCACTGATGCTACATGATTCTCTAATGCATCGTGGGAAGAAAAAAATGTAGGGTAGCAAATAAAGCCACGTGGCAGACCTTTGATAAGAGCCTAATACAATTGGGCACTATTATACTACTTTTACGTTACTGGTTTTTTTTTGGGAGTGTGGTTTTTTTTCGCTTGAATTAGGCGAGTGTGGTTAAGAACTGTTTTCCTGCTACCGTCCAAGCTTTCTGACAAAGCACTAGGAAATAACCCGCGATGAGGTAATTAAGAGCTTCCTGGGAAGCGAAATGATGATGTCTTTTGCTTTTTAATATACCCTTGTCTACATATGGTGTGCCTGTCCTTGTCCGGGGCTGGGTGTCTACACTACAGATATACTAGGTTACATAAATGCCTGCAAGACGATCAGCACCTGGCGGTCAGTCAAAAAGTGCTGTGCATACCTAGGTACCTATTTTTTTTTGGCTATAGTTGGTTAGTTTAGTCAATAACTCTTTTAAGCTTATTTAAGCGAATGGCGCCTCTTATAGTTTAAGGTTGCATGCATTTGCTTAATTGAAATTTGCTTTTATAATCGGTATGTAGGTAGGTAGTTAAGCTTATTCTTATTTTCTCTCTTTCAAACCACTGGGGTAAGATCGTGAGATTATTTAACAGGTATTACCTACCTAAGTACCGGGTGTGGAACATCATCGGCTGAAGCTTTTCGCCATTGTTTTAAGAATCAATTGATGCTATCTGAGACCTGCAGCTGCGCTAACGCAAGACTAACTGGCTTGCACTTTTGACAGTCCCTGGCAGCCCTGGTGGCCCAGTAGCCCTGGTAGTTGGTGCCAGCACTAAGAGGGTCCGCCAACCCAGCACTTGAATACTCTAGGTTAGCAAGTTGTCACATCAAGAAAAACTTGTGGGGACCTCTTGTAGCGATGTGGATAATTCGTGGTCTACATAGTACGTTAACTATAGAATGAATGCAACATATTAAACCTAGGAACCCAGGAACCCAGGAACCCAGTAACTTGTCCCACTGTATATTTATTAGGGCTTTGGGTTTTCTCGTCTCTCCAGTAAACCTCAGACCTCATACTTCTTGATCCGGTTATACTTTAAAAGGGCTAATCTGGCAAGGCAGAGAGTGAGAGAAGTATTATCCAAAGTTGTGCGGGCGGCGAGCTGTGCTTCCTGGTGTATATTTCGCTGTTTAGGATTGGAACCTTTAAAATCTACTTATCTCCACTTCGCTACCATTTCGAAGTCAACTTTGCGTGGGAATCGTTGATAAGACTGTTCCGCTATACTAAGTGGTGAAAAAAAAACCACAGCCAACTTCTTTGCTCTTAGCACGATGGGGACAACCCGAGATCTCCGCGCGGCCCGCTCGAATCAACCCGAATGGATTGAATTTCTGGATAACGAGATCGCTACAACTGACTCGCAAAGCGCCAGGCATGCAGTCGTCAAAATCTTAAAACGAACCATTTTTTCGGCGAGGGGGTGTTCACCTTTAGATGCGGCTCTGCAGATAAATACTTACTATGAGGAAACATATATGGCGGCCAATCCAGCGCTGAAAGACCAAGGTGACAAAGGCATGATCGAGTTCCTTACCGGACTTTACGGAGTTCTCTCCGACTTGGTTTTAATCATACCCTACCACCACGGTTTACAATATGCCATCATTGACTTACTCTTCGAACTTCGAAATCAACCGTCCAAGGAGATCAAGATTGAAGATGTACGCGGGTTCCCTCTATTATACGAATTATTAACCTTTACTAACACCAGTACCGCAGGAGAGCTGCGTTATCTATAATTACGAACCCGTAATCGAAAGCATGATGGTCCAGAAATGGGAAGAGCACTCCCGTATGGACCCAAGAGCTCCCCACAAGCAGCCAGTATCTTGACACGCTAACTTGGCTTATAGCAAAACATGACACTAGACCAGAGGAGCTTGAGAAAAAGTGTGCAGAATGGGTCAACATTTCCGCCTTCATTGCCCGCTGTATCGAAGCTGGTTTTAACGACCATTTCAAAGAAAAATGTCAATTCCCTTGCGTGGACATTCCGAAAGCCCTCGAGGAGGAAAATCCCCCCGGGGTTAGGCGTAGCTGCTTAATAAGAGTGGCAGTGCAGTACATCATGATAGCAGGCCACAAGATATGCCAGCAGAAGATCGGAAAAGCAAAAACTGAAGAACAACAAATGTGGCTCGCAAGGTGGAAGATCTGGGCAGAGAAGTTGCTTCAACTTGCCGAACAAAATGTGCTTGAGCCAGGCCTGACGTCCGAAGCACGAGAAGCCCACGGGACCATGGTGGCATTGCAACCTCACTTGTTCAAGTTTACACGTTAGGTAATGAGATTGCACGAGTCGTTCGGGCGAGTTATTCGCTTCGAGGATTTTGGTTTGTTGATGAGGTGGCTGGACCATGATTTGCTACTTCCTATTTTTTTTTTTTTTTCATATGTCTCCTGTATTTCCACTTTCACCGTGTTTGCTTTAGTGGGCGTTTATGTATTAGATTTCAATTCCCCCTCAGTGGATCAGATTACGTTGGATGGTTGGTACCAGGGCTCGAGCTTTTTCTAGGAGGCGTTTACGAGCGTCTTGTGTACCCAGATTCTTGGCAGTGGCATTATTTATTCGAAGGAGTCTTCACGTTACCGGGGTTTATTCGATATTTCTATCTAGATAGACAACAGATTAGGCGTGGAAGTGGGTAGATTCGCTTGATACGTCGAATTGAAGTAGAAGATCATTTTGAGTACGTAGTGTTCAAGGCGGAGTAGGGCAGTGAACCATGGTGTATGTAACTAGTATGAAAGGTACCTACCTACCTTAGTTATTTCGTCTTTGCCCGTTAGAACTATTCATCCGAAATCAAAGTCTGTTGCAGTTTCATCCTAAGCTTTTATTGAATCGCTATCTGTCTAGTATTATGTTCTGAATATCTACCTAAGGTAGATGATAGGTACACAGACTTCTTAAGATTGTATCGAAATATACTTATTTAAATATTTAAAATGGATACATAGGACTACGAGTAGTAGATATCCTTATTATTAACAAAGCCTCTTTGACATAGTTATCCATTATTGAACGTGTAGATCAACACGTGCTCTACTATAATAATATTTAAACGGTTAGTTAGTTAATTATATTAGATACTAGCTGTTTCATTATTGTATGTCCTTTATGGGGATCAATTAATAGATTGGAATATGTCTACTCGAATTCCAGGGGTACCTTATCGGATTTATAAATCTTTTTCACTTCACACCATTTACAAAATAGTAATCAATATCCTTCTAGTCACTATAACCTCTACCTATAGAGTTCAAGATACGTAATATATATACCTAATATACCATTACCTACAGTATTCTGCTAAAGTATGCTTGTCTAATGTGACTTAAATTATGGCAAATGGAGGTAGTTAAATATTGCGGAGCGCGTGCGTCCTCTATGGGCTATGATAGTTCGGACATGAAGCGTAGGGTGACGTAGAGCCAAGATAGGCCTATGTGTGGTATCAACCTGGCTATTTGTCTGCTAAATCCTTCTACACCTCTAGCCCCCGAACTGTCTTTGTCTTATAGTTAACCCTCGACAGCACCGCCATCCTTCCCCCTTTCCTGCTCCTCTTATTCCGCTTTGTCGCCTGAGTGCTGCTGCTTTACTATCAACGACTAATAGACCTTCCTTGTCTGTCTGATACTTACCCCTTTGTTATTGGTCAATGAGCAACGCACCAAGCTATCACCTCATCAACATCACGCGTATCATCTCTACAAGGAGTGAATGAAAATGCATGTCCTACAAAGGGTGTAAGATAGATTACCGGCGTATATGTCCTTCGGATCTACTAGTGCCTCTACTTTGGGTCGAGTGAGTCAAGCTATATATGAATATAGACCACCTTTGTTGCAAAGATCTAAACAAAGTGGCCATCTCTTGTATAAGTGTATGCTACTTCAATGTAGAACGACGTTTGTAAGATAACTGACTGTATATATTGGATTGGATTCGATTCCAGAATTCCTATTCTAGCACAGTTGATTTCCTTATTCCGATTTCTCTCGTGTTTCTTTTCTAGTTGTGTTGTTCTCTCTGAATCAGTCATTCCTTATTGCACACTCTTTGCTGAGACCCCTAGTCTCATCTAATATCGAAACCAATTACTCTCATTACTATAATATTTTCTTACCACAGACCCTAGAGGTACTGTACAATTCGACGAACCGTCATTGAGTTATTCTTATAAAGTTAGGAAACGCAGATTGGGTATCACTAGTCACTGCTTTTTTGCTGTTCATATTTTGCAAGCAAACAACTCGTCTCACATAATAGCCGTTCAACCAGCCGTCCTAGTATCCTATATAATAAAGCAAAAATAATAAAGGGGAAAAGCCATGCCTTCACGCAGAATCTTGCCGACGCTCTCCATATTTTCAAGGAAGTCCACGACTCCGACAATAGCTCCCACTTCCTCACCATCATCTGATATCCGAAATACTTCTATTCCCTTGACACCGCCTGCTCGCCTACATCTTCGACCCATCTTGCCCTCAACACCAGATGGCATGCCTACACCACCTCCACCTCCTCGGAAACCATTCCCCTGGTTGTGGCAGTGCCACTCATGTGACACTGTCTACCGGATCGGCTGCACTCGCCGCTGTCTTGTCTGTTCTCACGACTATTGCCTCTCAGCAACCACCCCAAAGACACGTAGGGGCAAGAAACGTCGCCGTAGTGGAATGTGTGCTTCTGAGTTCGATTACAACGGGTGGGCAGAATGGGGGGCGTGGCGTCGGAAAGTCCTCGGCATGGAGACTGTCGGCCAGTCAGAAAAGCGCCGTGAGCAGGCCTTCCTCTACGAATCACATAATTGCATGATCGACTGTAACTACCCTTCTGAATGTCATCATGTTAGATATAAGCTACGAGCACAGAGATTCAGGAAGACGTTACTCGAGGCACTTCCAGAGGAACCCCAATCCCCACCAATTGTTGCAAGTGTGCCAATGAGCCCTGACGATGACTTACCTCTGAACGAGGCGAGAGCAGTGCTAGAAGAAGAGGACCAGGGAAACGAGCAGAGAAGCCCGACAAGCCCTAGAAGCCCGCTCGGTGAAATGAGTCTCCCCGAGGATGAATCTGAGCAAAAAGAGGACAAAGTATGGTGGGCCGACACCGAGGATCACGATACAAATATCCAATCTACACAAGAGACTCAGAAGCTTACTGCTGGGCTAGAGGGGCCAGGCGAGGCTAATTCTTCCGCTGCTGGTACTGAAGACTTCAATTCCGAAACTTTATACGCTGCCCTAGCAGAAGACGAAAACATGATGCCTCTTGACCTGGTCGACTACGTCGCAAGCACACGACGCGAATCAAAACAATCTAGTCGAGAACATCCTAAGCATAGCAGTGAATTAACTGTTCGGAATTTTACCGACGCGGATAGGTGCGAAGACTGGGAAGAGTCAACGGATAGTGATTCTGATAGTGGTTCTGTGTCATCCTTACATTCTTCGTCGTCGTCACTTGATGGGGGATGGCTACTGGCTAGTAAGTTTGTGCCTGCTCCCGAGGCTGGCAGTGAACATGACGAGAATATGTCTGGAAAGAAATCAGAATAATCAAGGCAATAGTCGAACCTGGAAGTTCGTTTTTGCAGGATTAGCAGTTTGATATTAGCAACAAGGACTAATATCAGTAATTTCATTCTTACGTAGCGAACATGAGTTTAAATGTATTACATTACATATGAGGACATATGATACCATCTTTATATAGTTACCTACCTAGGTTATGTTATTAATGTTCTTTCGCAGTAATAGAATAGAACCATCTACCATCTAACCTAGACGTACTGGATTTATGCACTCAATTTGGTTATGAAAATGTCATAGACTTCAATGAAAAGCTGAAATCACTGTAGATGTTAATGCCAGCGCTCCATTAATAACCCTATCCTAAAACCATTTAAAATAAAGAAGAGATGAGTGAAGCAAAATTGTGGTTGGAATAGAAAATAGGTACTTTGTACCTCCCTATGTACCTGAGTCCCTTGCGTTTTAGTGGAGTCGGACATTTTTATATCATGTACATTATATACCTAGGTACTTCTATTTTTCAGGTACCAGGTACCTACCTAAGGTAGCCCTACCAGGCCGGAGACGCGTTAAGTATTTCAATTTACGCGTCTTTCAACGAAGTTCTAGGATCCAATTGAACAGAAACATCTAAGCTCCCGTATACGTTTAACACAACTTAAAGGAGGCTTTTCAAGATTACTTACTACCAACAAGGGGATCTCTTATTATAGGGAATATTTGTGGCTTTTAAGAGAAGTAAACGCCGACGAGAAAAGTTACTATAATAGGTACATCCTAAAGGAAGTTTTCCATTGCCGAATTTCACGATAACGAGCAGCTACGGCACCATCGCCAACCCTTAAAATTTCAACATGTCCGACTTCGAAGATGAGATGGATATTGATGCCCCTCCGAAATCTAACGATATCACATTTTCTTCCGATAACACCGCCAAGGGTAAACGCAGTGCTGCAAACCTGCCTGTTGAAGCAGAAGACTCCTTACCATGGTAGGATTATCACAACGCTTCTAAGATATCTCTCACTCCCAATTGCTAAATTGAATGATAGGGTTGAGAAGTACCGACCTGTTTCCTTATCTGATGTCTCAGGCCACCAAGATATCCTAGCCACTATTAACAAGTTCGTCGATTCGAACCGATTACCTCATCTCCTTCTCTACGGACCCCCGGGAACTGGCAAGACGTCTACCATCCTAGCCCTTGCGAGACGTATCTATGGAGCAGAGAATACGCGACAGATGGTCTTAGAGCTGAATGCTTCAGACGATCGAGGTATCGACGTCGTTCGTGAGCAGATCAAGACCTTTGCCTCGACGAAGCAGATATTTACAATGGGCGGGGCCTCACGCCCCGGTGGCATGGCAAGCTATAAGCTCATTATTTTAGACGAAGCTGACGCGATGACGAATGCCGCCCAGATGGCCTTACGAAGAATCATGGAAAAGTATACGGCGAACACACGATTTTGCATTATCGCCAACTATACCCACAAGTTGTCGCCCGCATTGCTGTCTCGATGTACGCGCTTCAGATTCAGTCCTCTAAAAGAAGGTGATATTCGGGTCTTAGTGGATAAAGTTATTCTGGAGGAGGGAGTCAAAATCTCAGGCGAGGCTACAGACTCTCTGGTTAAACTGAGTAAAGGGGACATGCGACGAGCACTAAATGTGCTCCAGGCTTGTCATGCATCTAGTAAGCCCTCTCAGCCTTCAGAAATATCATTGCTACTTAATACTAACTTAACAAGGCACGCCGATACGGCTAAAAGATGCGCCCAAGGTTCCCGAGAAAGATATCGTTAGGGAAACCATCACGACTGAGACTATCTACAATTGTATAGCAGCCCCGCCTCCTGATGCGATCACGAAAATTGCCAGTACGCTACTCGCAACCAGTGACGTAACCACTTGCCTATCGACGATCAATACGCTGAAGGTAGCTAACGGCCTCGCGTTGGCGGATATAATCACAGCACTGTCGGAGCAACTAGTCAAGATGGAAGTGAAGCCTGAGGTCATGATTAGGTGGCTTGACGGCTTAGCGGAGATAGAATACAGAGTGTCTGCTGGTGGAAGTGAGGCTATTCAAACAGGTGCCGTGGTAGGTGTAGTAAGAGAGGGTTGTGAGCTTATGGGATGAAGAATGAAGTGAATATGAAAGAACTTGAGGGTTGATAAGTGCATGAGGTTCCTACTCAAGTATTTAATGGATGAATCTTGGCTCATGCTCACCCTTATTACGCTCGAATTAAAGGTCCTTCACTTTTCAGTAGTAGTCCGTGCCTTACATCAACATACCTAAGGTATGTACCTATGATATTATGCTTAACTATAGTCTAAAATGATAGAGCGATCTTAAGCGAAGCTACATGAAAAGCACTTGGTAGTATGGAGTGCTATAGCGGTAATATATGATCGATATGGTGCGAATTTGGTAGCAACATGGCTTTGACCCAGACTTTCAGTATTCGTATAATAGGTATATATTGTTAATTGCATGCCCCGCAGGTTATACGCAGGATTCTGCACGTGCATTAAACGGACTTTGTTTCGCGTAGTTGAGTTTCATAATTAAGCCACGAACGATATTGGCAACTTTCTAACCTTGACTTTCATGACTCAATCGCTCTTATCCGTGTACCGTGTATCGTGTATCTCATTGGCGTTACCATATCTGATACTCCTACTATCTACTACACCATATTATATCAGACTTATCTATCCAAGATCTCTCTTTCAACCATTACAACTATGTACGTGATGATCCCGGAGATACTATGCTTAATCTGCTCATACCTCGATATTGAGGATATCCGCAGATTCCGACTATGCAGCAGAGCTTTTGCAGACGCTGGTGCTTGCTTCGCCTTCCGAGAGATTGTATTTTATCTGCATCACCACGACTTTGAGATGCTCCGGCACATTTCTCTGCACCCTATTGCATCCAAAAATGTCCGCTCGCTGGTTTATGTTGGCCATACTTTAGAATCGCCTAAGAAATCCTTAGATGAGTTTCGTAGATACTATTCTATCATTCGAAGCGGAGAAAAGATCATAGCCCAGCATATGAATGAAGCACCGCCACCACGTATAGGAAACCAGCAGCTCCCGAGGCTCTACAAGAATTACGATATCGCTATGGACGAGCAGGAGAAGATGCTGAATGAGGATGAAGATATCTCCTGCCTCAAAGAGGTCATTTATCGCTTTTCGTCGCTTCAAGAAATCACCATGTCATCCGACTTTTGGTTTGGGCGTGGCACTCACAAGACTCCATTTGACGGATGTCTAGTCTCACCGGCTGATGAGTTAACACCGATGGGATGTCGGCAGCTTGATTCTCTCCTATCTGCTGTCTTCGAGGCCAACATCAAGTTAAAAAGACTTACTGCCGGTGCGTTCAGCTGGCAGTTCTTCCAGAAGCCAGCCGCTGAACTCCGAAGTGCCCTTTCCTTTTGTTCTAACCTTACATGCCTCGAGCTATGCATCGATACTGGCGAGGATAATTTTGATGACAGCGTTACGGAAGATCTGCTTGTCGGGACAGAAGTTCCACAGTGTCGCCGTTTATTAGAAACGGGATTATTGCGCGACTTTATTAAATCGTTACCTCATCTACAGACGTTATATGTTGTTTTTAACTGGCATTCGGAACAACACGGATATGCTGCACGGCTCGAGGATATAATGGAGCCAAAGCATAGATGGGAACATCTCGATAGTCTGACCTTGGGAAATATTACCTGTGAACGGCATGACCTAATGTCTATGCTCAGAAGACATAAAGGCACTCTTAAGGAGTTATGTCTCCGAGATATTCGGCTGAGAAGTACGTCATGGCAGTTGCTTCTCCCCAAAATTCGGAAGACGATGAGCCTAGACTATGCTTGCATTTGCGGCGAGTTGTATGGACAAGAGGAAGACGCGCCATATGCAGAATATTGGGATCTTTCATTACCAGAAACCTTCGAGAACCCGCTCCGTGATGATGTTAATGACTACTTGGTCAATGATAACATCAGGCGCTGCCCTCTTAACGATTACAACAGTTACCTTGATTGATGCCTACTAACAAGAGGCGGGAGTGCTACAACTAAGACTGTCTCATTGATAACCCTGTTTGAATCGTCGCGAGAATCTTAACGATATGATTTTGCCATAAGGACCTCATAGTGGGCAAATCGATATCTTCTCAACTGCTGTACTTATGATTGACTGCTGGAGGTAGTCTCGACCTTGTAGTCGGAGTTTATCGTAGGAAGCTCATCTGAGTCACGAGACTGATGTCTATGCCCCTGCAAGTCTAGCCCTTTCTCAAGTTTGATAATTTGGGTAAGATCTGAGAGTAACAATATTCGCCCTCGGAGTTTATGAGGGCCGTGAAATATGACTGGCATTGATTAACTTTGAGTGGCAAGAGGGGTTACCGCCGCATACTATACAATGCTAGTACTGTCATGAACGCCGGTTATATACAATGCGGTCCGGTAAATACTAACTAGTTTAATGAGCCTCCATGAGCACAGCTATGACGGGGTATTCCTCATTGTATGGTATCCTATCACACCCTCGTGTTATCCTTATGCATTGTCCTTCTTTCTGCCTACTGGGATGGATCATTTATTAACGATTACCCTGACATCGAGCCTCAGGTGACGTTCAAACTCACATCCATGGCACCAAGTCAGAGAAAAGTCCGGGGAGTCTTGGTACGATTTTAGCCGAGTCCATATTCACCAATCTGACCTTTCCATGTATTGGGGTTACCGGCTTCTGACCTGAGCTCATGGGATAACCTTGTGAATACCACAATCAATAAATCTCCAAATATTCTAACGTCACTCCTCTTATTCTACCCTTGCCAACAAGCGACAACCGTTAATGGTAAGAAAAAGCAAGATTGTGCTAATTGGCTCACATATACATTTACCCGCGCTTAGTGAGAGTAGATAGTCGTATATTTCTGACCTTGGCTTGAGCAATGCCGAAAGCGGTCGTCGGCATGGAGGTCTCTGTGTTGTTTACACATCACTCCCACAAACAGAGCGGAGCTAGCTTCTGCGGTAGTGCTAATATAATACGAGCACCGACTGTCTCTTAAACTCCATGCGTGGTTCTCGCGTTTGCCGGTCGTTCGGTTCCCCCATTCAACTGGCTATCAAAATGAAGTTGTTTAATTTCATTACTCTGGCAGCTTTGGCCGTGCTAGAAGTCTTTGCCGCGCCCCCTTTCCACCAGTCGTTAAGCGCCGAATCTTCTGTACTGAGACGAAGGATACCAGACACCCATATCCAACATGAGAAAAGAGCTGCAGTACAAGAAAGATCCTGGACGAAATTGAAGAGGGCAATACCTGATGCTATCTTACCTATGCGCATAGGTTTGAAGCAGCAAAATCTCCAATCAGGCCACGATCTGTTGATAGACATGTGCGGTGGCTCTTCTTATTCAATATATTCATCCAAAATAGCTAATAAGATTCCTAAGATCAAACCCTAAATCAAAGAACTATGGCAAGCACCTCTCAGCAGGAGAGGTTGTCAAATTCTTTGAGCCGGCAGAAGCAAGTGTCAAGACAGTGAAAGACTGGCTCATCAAGGCGGGGATTCCGTCTAATACCATCTCGCAGTCTAGCAATAAACAAGTGAGCTAATACACTATCCTTATAACATGAATAACCTTGATGAACATCTGACCATAATTCGTATAGTGGGTACAATTCGATGCCCCCGTTAACAAAGTAGAAGATCTCTTAATGGCAGACTATCACATCTGGGAACACGTAGATACAGGTGCTAAAAACATCGCTTGTGATGAGTGAGTGCAGCGATAGCATAGGGTACAAGCAGCGGGCTAATTATTCTTAAGATATCACTTGCCAAAAGAGGTGAAAGAACACGTTGACTACATTACACCTGGTATTAAGCTGATGGGCTACGGGAACACACAAGAGCCTCCATCGAAGAAACGGAGGGAAGCCGGTGTACACTCCATTCATCGTTTCGGCCAGCCAGTTGATGAGGGTGAACTTGCTAAGCTTAAAAGTGAGAGGAGCAAGAATAACCTCGCATCCCTTAAACGGACTACAGGGCCGAACGTAGAGGGACCTTTACGCCTTGCGAGCCCAGTGGAACCTGCAGATGTAGCAAGCGGTAATTTCACGCTGCCTGGTGGCTGTGATAAATATATCACACCGGATTGTATCAGGGGTACGAATGTTTCTCTTCAGTAGATGTTCTCATAAACTAACTAAGAGTCTTAGCTCTGTATGGCATCCCGAAAGGGTCCAAGAAACACCCAGATAACAAAATGGGAATTTTCCAATCCCTCGGGCAACACTACACACAGCATGATCTCGACACATTCTTCTGGAGCTTCACGGAGTAAGACAAATTTCGGTTCTTTACGGACGTTATTAAAGATGCTAATAGCTCATAGTGAAATCCCGAACGGAACGCATCCTGAGCTCTTTTCCGTAGACGGCGGGCAAGGAGCTACAACAAATCTTAGGCTGGCCGGCTCAGAATCAAACCTCGATTTTCAAATGGCGTACGGATTGATCTGGCCCCAGGAGCCTGCGCTCTACCAGGTCGACGACGAGTGGTACCAGACTAACTACCAGTTTGACCCAGAGTCATACTTGGGCTTTTTTAACAGTATGATTAACCCGCGATTCCCCTATGTGAATGATATTTTATATGGCACTTGCTAATGGTCTACCGTAGACCTTTGGAACGCAATCGACGGCAGCTACTGTACCTTCGAGGCATATGGCGAATCAGGTAATTGTAAACGTCCCGAATGTCGAGACCCTGTGTATCCGAATCCGCATGACCGTTCTGGATACAGCGGCCAGTTGATGTGCGGTGTGTACAAGCCGACAAACGTCATCAGTATCTCGTACAGCGGAGCCGAAATTGATCTCCCAGCGTCTTATCAGCAGCGACAATGTGCCGAGATTATGAAGCTCGGCTTACAAGGCTCTACGATCATCATCTCATCAGGCGATTACGGCGTCGGTGGCTTCTCATCACCCGGGGCACCTTCTGGCTGCTTAGGTCCCGCACATGATGTCTTCAATCCGCAGTTCCTCGCGACCTGTCCTTATATCTTGGCGGTGGGATCGACCGTCCTGCAGGCTAATGGGACTCCTGGTGTCGACCCCGAGGAGGCGACGGACAGGTTCCCGTCTGGTGGGGGATTCTCTAACATCTACGATGCCCCGGATTGGCAAATGGATATTGTCAATAAGTATATCGAAGAGGCTAAGCTCCCATTCGAGGGTTACGAAGGCGGTGGCAGCAACTTTAGCAACGTTCACGTCGGTATAGGGCACTTCAACAAGCTAGGGAGAGCATATCCAGATGTCTCGGCTAATGGAGACCACTTCGTCATTTCGAGCGGCGGCGAGCTACTTAGCATTGGTGGCACATCCGCTTCGGCGCCACTCTGGGGATCGATCATAACTCTGATTAACGAGGAGCGCTTAGCGGCCAGTAAAAGCCCGGTCGGCTTCGTTCATCAAGTCCTGGTAAGTTTTTATAATATCTCCTCGAATCAATCTCAATAAAGATATCTCCTAACCTCCTAGCGCAGTATTCTCACCCCGAAGTCTTCAAAGACATCACAAAGGGCGATAACCGAGCATGTAAGACGACTGGATTCCCGGCTATTGAGGGATGGGATCCTGTATCGGGAATGGGGTATGTGTTCACGCGCACAATTTCTGAAGAATAAGTCACTAATACGATATAAATTCTAGTACTCCGGACTACCCCAAGCTGTTGGAGCTCTTTCTGAGCTTGCCGTAAAGCCTACATATCTTAAGCTTATCTCACGGGAGGGAATCTGAATTTCGTAAAGAAGTTAACGGGACTTGGGTTCTAAGAAATGTGAATTGTTCTCATATACGTAGTCTCTGCTTGGATAATGGACGTATTACTTCTATTCCCTTGATTTTGGAGTATTGAGGATGGAGATAATACACCATCATCATTAGGCTATGCTACACTATTTCATCCTCTTCTTATTCGAGGATTCGTTGGCTTGGCTACTCAGCTCATAGTTCATCATGTGCACGCCCCCCATCTGCGCTCATCGTCCCATCCCATGGCTCAATCTTGCCCTGACTGATATCCATCAGGAACGCGCCTACAACCTCGGGCGCGATATCCCGCCCTCGAGGATACGGAAATACTTTGCCGAACATAGGATTCTGTACCGACAGCGCGGGGAATATGCCGGGCGCCAGGCCCAGGGGCGCGGCCAGGTCTCCGTATTCATTGGCGTCTACGGTCACGAAGTTTAGATACTCTTTGTACATCTTGGCTACGGACCGCATGGCCGCCACGTACGCTTCCCGCTCCGCGAATAACGAGGAGAAGTAGAAGACGAGCGACTTGCCGGACTATTTACGCATCGTGTTATTAACGGCTCTTAATATTCGGCGTATTCAGCTATAACTCACCTGCAGGTACTTCATTTCGTTCGCCCGAGTAAACTCTCCGATCACGGGTGTGAGACAGCTCTCAATGAGCCGAGGTAGAGCGTCAATGGCCGTTAAGTCTGAAATGGTGAATTGCTGGCTGTCCCGGTTGTTGTAGCACGTTACTGTTGTCGGTTTGTCTGTTTCCGTTGATCCAAAGGATAGGCGGTCCTGGTACTGGGAGGCGAGTGTATCGTACAAGATCTTGACATGCTGGTCTTGCGGATTTATTCGCGCGACCACGGCGTAGTCATCATTGGACTGGAATGCTACTGTCTTATCTTCAGAGCCTAGGGCTGTAGTGGTGGGACGAACCGCCCTTTTTAAATATGAGAGTATCCTGTTGGAGTCTTAGTCCACTGTTTTGAGTCGGTACGATAGAAAAGTAATAGAAAAGTGAGATTGTTGAGCCGGTAATCACAGATACTTACGAGGATGCCCTTCTAGGGCCTCGGTACGGCGTCATCTTCCCGTGGCCATCGAAAAATCGTAAGGCGGGATATGAGATGACATCGAACTCCTTACACAAGCTTGCAGCCGAAGCGCAGTCTACGCTTATTAGAGACTTCTTCTCTGACTCCACCGCAGACGTCCATTCTGGCTCTAAAGCTTGGCTGGCGGCTCTGAATAAATCCTATTAGTCTCCAAGATATGAGGTATGATTGATTATTAGGCTGTAGGTAGCTCACGTTGATGGTTCTATAACTATATTCACGTTAGAATTAGAGATGTTGCTAGTATTCAAAAGATAGGTAACTCACAGGCAACTAGAGCATGGTTATGACCGGCTATAGCTCGACGAAACTCATCCTCGCTGTAATGCTCCCATGCTACGGCTATTCTAGTGCCTGCTAGCAGATATATGAGTTCTGTACTTCTGATCCTCATCGTGAGTTTATTTAAGCGTCACTGACGTGGTCATTCCAATAAATTGAATGGGAACTCATAGAATCAAATACTAGTTAAGCAATTATACTAGTTGTGTATAGCTGAGTTTACCTTGCAGATCAGGGGTTAGATCTGACGATGCCCGACTCTATAACCCTGGATCTGCGCTAAAGTCCTCCACTAAATGAGCTTGACTAGGGGCTGTTGTAACGCTAAACAGGGGGAAGCTCCTTTTACGCAGACAGTTGATGTTTCGACTCTGCATGTTCTCCTTACTATGATATACCTAGGTTAGGTAGGTGTGCCAACTGCTTGAGAGTGAAAAGATTTGAATATTCTCGTAAGAAATGAAAGTGACTTTGTTCTTTTTTTGCTCTCTCATAATCCCAACCGTCTGCTGAATTCCTGAACTCGTCATGAATTCATTAAAATCTTTAACATTGCTATCGCTCGCCATTGGGTTGGCTCAGGCACACAGTCATAACAGCGGTGCCCAAAAACCATTAGTATCATCAAGCGATTATACTTGCCAACATCCAGCATATCAGAGCCATATAGTATCCAAGTCGCCGTTGGTCATATATCTAGCAAATTTCATCACAGCTGAAGAACAAGCGCATCTCCAGGAGATAACGTAAGTACTGCTACACTTGTCTGTTTATTCGTATAGTTACCTAGACTTACAGTTTTCAACAGCAAAGACACTTTCTCCCACTCCGCTGTCGCTGATGCATCCGGCGCCCAAGGGCTAAGGCAGACGCGGACCTCGCAGTCGACTAACGTGCCGCGCGACGCCGTGGTCCGGTGCATCGAGGAGCGGGCGCTGCTATTCCAAGGCTTTGACGTGCCACGGACGCACCTCGAACCCCTGCAGCTGGTTAAGTACGGCCAGGGCGAACGGTACCATTTTCACACGGATTGGTACACGAACGCAGCACACGCGACCTCTGCGCTGGGCGGCAACCGGCTGAGCTCTTTCTTCGCGTACGTCGCCGCCTCGGAAGACATCACGGGCGGCGGTACTAATTTTCCTATGGTGTCTGCGCCCCACGATGAGCGCTGGTGCGAATTCGTCGACTGCGATGAGCCGTGGGAGAACGGAGTTACGTTCCGTCCTATCGTTGGCAACGCCGTCTTCTGGCAGAACTTGCACGAAGATGGTACGGGGGATCAGGCGACGTTGCATGCTGGTCTACCGGTTACTAGTGGCTCTAAGATAGGGGTAAGTAACTCTTTGGTGGTATCATATTTATTGCTCTCCGTGGAAAACGCTGATATATTTTCGTAGATGAATATTTGGACGAGGCAAGGTCCATTGAGCGAGGATATTCGAGGACCAGATGTTTAGCGTAAATCCGAGCAAATTATAGCGAATGCTCTTCAAATCTTAAGCACGACTTACACGTGCGAGGTGTTAATTATATGGCTATCTTACAGTATATAGTATGTCTATTGGCATAATGAAGCGGTATAAAACCCCGGGCTCATTACCTAGGTATCCTTTGCGCTGGGCAGCACATCAGAACCCTTTGGGCCTTATTTGTCCGCGTCCCGTTTGCTTCTTCACCCTTCTTAATCAACATAAGCCCGTGACCTCTAACCACAGTTGTCTGCCGGCATCCTGAGTGAGATCCGCTATCTCATTCTCACCACACGGGAAGTATTGTGCAATCCAGACGGCATTATTCAGCTGATCGAATATAACTATTTAATTTTTCCATTAGCAGTCGCTCTTATTTTACGTCGTCGAATTTCTAGTATTTTCCAGTTTAGTTGTACTTACGATACGCAGCTCGGATGAAACTCGTCCCAAGCACCCACGTTGAATTTTGGTTATCCGTCGGCTGGACCCCGAGAGCGCAATAATTATCGAAGTCGACGATGAAGTCGGCATAATTGACTCTAATGATTATATTATAGAAATTAAACCCAAAGTTTACGGAGCCGTCCAAACTTCGGATGTCGCAAGATACACGATAGACTCCATTCTCATCTTGGTACGCGTTCAAGGCCTTCGCAATAGTAGCGACTAGGTCCGCGTCGAGATAGGTATACGTAGATCCGGAGTCTATTAGTACATTGCGTTCGAAATCGGTGTCCGTCAACATTGTTTCGTTCTGCCCGGGAGGAGTGACGCCCAAAGATGTTATATTTACTCGATAGCTTTGTAAGTTTCAGCATACACCAGTTGTTTTTGCCTGCTTTTAGGATTATGAGAGTGCCTTACCCTACTTGTCCAAAGAGCTTCAGTTGCTGGTCCGGGTACGGGTAGACCTCTAGAGGCTCTAGATATCCTCGGAACTTCTTTCTGTCTACTCCTCCGAAGATTATATCACCTAAGGGAGGTTAGTTTATAGGAATGACGACAGGGTCCGTGATAACTCACTCGGACTCCCACCACCTTGGTATCCGACGCCTAGGCTGAATATTGGCACTTCAATATAGCCCTGCGTAACAAGAAGATCCAGCAAGGTTTGGTATCCGGTATTCCACGCCTTGCCGTACGAGACACCCAAAACCCCAGCCCAAATATACTCGCTCCGCTTGCTTACCCCGACTCTTAGATTAGGAAGTGGTAGGTCTATCACCAGTTTTATGCGCGTTAAGATATATGGTCATGTCCTAGTCAGAGTATTAAAAGGGGGGTACGAATACATACTGTCTAATCCGATATAGGCTGTGTCACTGAACCAGACCCCCTCCATATAGCCAGTGCCGAATTGGCCAGAGAACCAGCCATTGAGGGTTTTGGCGGTAGACGACTGTTGCGTGTCGTAGTACCCATATGTCCGACAAGCTTTCGGGTCCGCCGCCTGGTTACAGTCCGGATCCACGAGTAGCGTGTACGATCCGGTATCGAGGATAGCCGAGATTATCTGTCCGGGGGTTCCGAGAGCGACTGCCTAAGGACATTAGTTGCCGCCTCACAATGCGAGAGCTTAGTAGCGTACGTTCAAGCATATATACAATTCCCGCACCATATCGTGCTAACGGCTCTCGTGGTGACCGACTTGGGATTTTAGATGTTTCGTCATTTATGGACACCGTACCGCCAGTTATATTTCTTACCCTCCGAGACTGAAGCGTAGCTCTGATATGCCTTCCGTTCTCGGATGTGCGGTGAGCACTTGTCGGCTTACCTCTCGGTCCCAGTTGATCAAATCGCGAGGGCTTCGGGAGGGAAGCCGACAGGCATAGGAACGGCAGCAGGCCTAGTAAGAGCAACATGATGAGCGCCATTTTCGAGTGATCGCTGGCCGGGTTATTCGTCGCCTCCGAAGAGATGGCTTAGAACTCCTAAAGACGCGCGCTTCCATCCGCCCGTGCCTAGGTCTCTCCCGATGATGACATTGTCAGGCGTCTGCCCTGGATTTTTTGATGGGAGAAATTTACGAAGAAACTAGTTAAATGGCAATTGGATGCGTGCTTCAGAAAACTGGGCAGCGGAACGTCGAATCAATGCTACACGCGGCTGATCTAGATACATTCATACGACGGAAATGGACCAATTAGCTGCTCACCAAGAGCCGGCATACATGAGGAGAGATGTATATATGAGACGAAGCTGGTTCTACCTACCTGGTTGGTATAGCACAGGTTATCTACATAACATGGTTCCCCAAGATCTACGGTTCCAGTCGCACACAGCGATTTTAACCGCAATTATTGTACGTCGGCCATTTCGTTGCGCAGGCAGATCTTTATGATTTGCAAAACGCGGATAAATACCTAACCTAGGTAGGTAGCAAAAAGAGGGAAGGCTTCAAAATTTATTGCCAGATTCCCCCGTTGCCTCCGGAGACAAAACAGTAGAGATGTTTATTGAATCCCGTACCCGAACCACGGGACATAGTCTAAGAACTAGACTTATCGTGGACAAAATAGATGAATCCCTGAGCACATGATGGAGATTCTAGCTGAAGTCCCGTGGTTCGGTATAACGGCTAGACTATTCAGAACGCGGTACGGATGCACAGGAAACAGTTAGCTCATGCAAGCTTTCAATATAACCGTAATATATAACCCCACACATGTAACGTTCTCGTGGTGGCACAGCAAGGCTGCATATGACCGCATTCTTCTCCCTTCTAAGAGCTATGCATGTAGAGTAACCTCTTAGACAGCCATCGTACAGGTAAAGGATGCAACTTCGTGCGTCCGAGCTACGACGGTCCCTACCTACAGTATATCTATCTACGTTGGCATGTAGCATGCTGAGATGAGCGACCCCTTTCTTCGGCCGCGGTAAACGCATTTGATACCGACCTGGCGGCACTCACTTTGGGTTCGGCAGATTTGGTCTCACCCTAGTTACGGATGCCGACTTCGGTTATTCCGCAAATATAGTGTAGCATTGGACATCGTAGAAAACGACACAAGGAAAAACAGGGTATTTCACATAAACTACCTGCATATCGGTCCTCACATCATCGCCAATCTGCCAGCACAGTATCGCCCTCCTTAATACTCGCATACTCCAGACTATCGCGCCATAGCCGGCGGCACTTAGTCTCGTCTTTGGCCTCGGGCCCGACGTCCGAGATGGCCGTGCCGTTAAGGTAGATGCCATTCGGGTACTCGCCAAGCCCACCGTCTGTATCGAAGCACGCGTGTATCACGTCCGCGGCCGACTTCCACGTCGTCCGTAGGTTGCCGTTGGGGCTTAGCCACGTCAGGACCGGCGCGAACAGCGGACCTAGAATCTGCATGATGAGAACTCGCACCAGCCAGCCGCTACGCCGCGCTATGCCGCTCATCATCGCTGCTGGGTCGAGGCCTAGCACCGCGATTTTGGAGAGCGCTGGGTCTTGCGGTATGCGCCGTGCCAATTCACGCCTGGACAATCAATATTAGTCTCGGTATTGACTACCTACCTACCTTAGGTACTTAAGGCGGCGTGAAGAGAAAAGGGGGTGCTCACATCATCATAACCTCGCACAGCTTCGAAGCTCCGTACCGCCTCATACCAGCAACGGGACTTTCTGCGTGTCCTGCGGCAGCACCCCACTTACCCTTAGCAATAGCTTCGGTGCTGCCTTCGGGGTCGTTAAATATCTGATGGAACTCTTCGGATGCATAAGTATCTCCAAATGGTCCCACTTTGTTTCTAGGATCGGTAGTGCTAAGGTGAATTAGCCATGGGTTTATGACGAACCGAAGATAACTGAAGGCTTGATGGATGTTGATAGAGGGGGTCGTGGCTGCTTACTCATGTGTCCAGCTCCCCAGTACGAGTATGCGGCCTTTCTCCTTGTCCATACTTTGGAGTAATAGGAGCGTCAGGAGGAAATGCGAAAGGTAACTGGATTGGAAGGACATGTCAAAGCCGTCCTTGGTGAAGTCGTGCTGGGCATGCTCCTGGTATGCCGCAGACAACACTAGGGCACGGATAGGTGGTATCTCGCCGCTCGAAACCCGTGAATTGATGTCTGCGGCGGCTTGGCGCACGCTAGCGAGGCTTGCTAAGTCGAGGGGGACGAGGTCATATTGGTGGTTCACCTTGCCGGCGCTTTGGAGCACCTTTTTCACGGCATGGGCGTTTTCGATCTTGCGGACCGTGTATAGTCCATGGTATTCCTGAGCAAGTGACGGTCGATGTAAGATCTGGTCAACGATGGCAGAACCCAGGCCGCCGTTGGCGCCGGTAACTAGAATAGAGCCTTTGGTCATTGCTTCGGTTAAGTAAACAACAACTATTAGGAATATGAGTAGAAGCTAGAAAGGATTACCAGATAGAAAATCAAGTTGTTTTAGACCAAGCTGTCATTATATAGGGAATCCTATAGTTGACGGATATAAGATAGGTTACAATGATCGTGGATTTCGTCTACGAGCGGACTACACCAAATCTGGAAGCCTGTTTGTCCGCTTCGTAGCAAGGTATTCGTACTCTCGTCGTCGCCTGGAGTAGAGATACCGCTCACGTGAGCGAAGATTTATAATGCCTCTCTCTATAGAACCAGGTTGCTGGAAACATTTAGAATACTTGTCACGATAGATAGTTGTCCTTGATGAGAGATGCTAGCGTCAGCCCCGTGTAATATCCCGGGATCTTCACATACGATTTGGTAATTGCAACCATGCAAGCTACCAATTCAATACATTATCCGGCCACTATAGGACAATGTCGCCGAAAGTGAGAAGGTACGCGAGTCATTTATGGATGACGAAAATATTGCGTTTGATATAGTGTGAAGCCAAGTCGCGAATCCGGCAACGTGAGCTAGTTCTTGAGCGCATCTCCCTAACTCAAGTTGAGTGATGCTGTTTTTAAAAACCCTGCTGTCTCGTCTTATTTTCGAGTTCGTTCTCACTAGGTTCGAAGCTCTGTGATATCGATGGATGGACAAGTTGCTATGAAGTCAAGCTAACTAGCTGTTGTGAAATTTTCAAAGATGTTCTGTTTGTATCTCATCGATTTCATAGGCACAATAGACAGACGCTGTTATTGTCTAACTAGGGATCCCCAGGGTTCAACCTATTTGCTCTTAAAACGAGACCTTCTATATAGGTAGTTACCAGGTAGGTCAGGTCAGGTTTCTAACCTAGTAGGCGGCAGCTAAAATAATTTGCACACCTTGAACTTGACTAACAGAGACTCAACTTTCAATAGAGCTTATACCATATCACATCTTCCAAAATTAAAAAATTAAAAGATTCAAATAGTTCTCAACTCTAGAATAGTATTTTAGTTTTCATTTTCATTTTCTTTATTTGGTGTACCGCCGTTACTACGAGTATATAATTATCTACGTGTTAGTCGGGTTCGCCGAAGTATGTAAATTACTTTGGCTGTTGCTTGCCTAGATAGGTACCTACTTACCTAGATACCGTGTTGATACCTACCCGTCGGGCATCTGACGATTTAATGATTTCTTCAGTACGACGAAGGGTTCCTGCAGCACGCAATCGCATCACAGATCAGATCTCCTCTCGCATGTAGAACACCGCTTCAAGTCCGCTCTCATACTAAATGGCACCCGACCTGCCGAAGCCAAGCCTCTTACCATATCGATAAAGAATGCCCTTGGCGCCCCGAATCCGGACTTTCATTTCACAAGTGTGCCCAGAGTATACGGAGTGACATCTGAAAACGATATCTTAAGGGCATTTTATCTATGTAAGTGTCACGAGTGCTTCGATGCAACAGGTACTCTACCACTACGGCATACTAGGCGCAGATAGGGTAGATCGCTACTGCAGATATGCTAACGAGCCTATGATAGAGCTCGTCCGGTGATAGCTCATCCCAGCCCACCAGCCCTAAAGTTCGAAAAGAGCTATGCCAAGCTCCCTCCTTGCTTGTTCTTATCTGACGTGCTCCTCAACAGCTACACTACCCCGCCGTTCCCGATGAGAGTTCACAAGCTCCCCGCCGTTTTCTATATACCTACCTACGTGGGAGAAGGCTTACCCGTAAACAGACACCTGCAGTGCCGGTCCTATCTAGCAGGATAGCATGACGGACCCTTGAACACACAAGCACGTTATCTGGTGTCATCCCGAAGCCATGTAGGTTAGATATGTAGAGGTAAGCAAGCCTCGAAGGTAGGGCTGGCTATCTTTGTCCTTCTATTTACCCCTCCTTTGTCCTCCTCGAGCTCGATAGCTTGTCTAGGACTCTAGGTCCCCCTCTTCGTACTCGTCGTTTCGTATGATTTTTACTTAGCCGTTAGCTCTTTTCGTAAATCATACGAGAGGGGCGTGGTGAGCGGAAGCTCGGCTTGAATGATGGCTTCACGTTCACTAACGGCGTTAGCTGCTGGTCTTACACTTGTGAGCGAGGGTTTAGCTCAGTCTGTCAACGAAACTGTCTGGGCTTCTTTTGCGTATGTCTTATATGGCGAGCGCACGCCTTTTCAAGGAGACCTCGTCCCCAGCTTAACTCCCCTAGGCGCACAGCAGCTCTATGCTCAAGGATCGCTATTCAGGGCGCGGTACTTATCCAATTCTAGCTTATCAAATGAAGACAACGCCATAACGACGAATTCACCTATCGTCGGTATACAGCGCCAGGCCCTCGATAATAGCCAGCTTTCTATCTTCAGCATCACAGATGATTATGTAGTCGCGAGCGCTCTAGCCTTCCTACAGGGTCTTTACCCGCCTGTTACTCAGACTTTCGCCTCTAACAATGGTGGTGACAACGCATCCACACTAGCTAACGGTACCGTGGTCAACTACCCTCTGGGTGGTTACCAGTATCCCAATATTCAAAACGTCCCCATCACGGATCCGAATTCTGTTTGGTGAGTTAGTTAAATTCTAACAGAGTTTGCGTGAATGCTAATGGGGTCATTAGGCTTGAGGGATATGCGACGTGTACGGAGTACTGGTCGTCAAGTCTAGACTTTCAGAGCAGCGACGTAGCTCAGAATATGTACAATGCAACATCTTTCTTCTACGAGAGGACTTGGGAGGAGGTATTCCCAAACACGATCCCGGATTCTATGCTAAATTTCGATTACGCATACGACTTGTACGACTACGCCCAGTATGCGTACGACCACGACAAGGCAGTGCGCGATTCTCTCAACGAAGATCGCCTAGCGATCTTACGCGACTTGGCCAGCAAGCAACAATTTAATCTGAATGGCGACTTATCAGTCTCGGGATCGCAGGAGGGCGACATGATTAGGGCCATTGGGGGTCGCACGCTCGCGGCGAAAGTAGTAACTCAGCTCAGGACGCATATGAACTCGGCGGGCTCTACGGACAAGATGACGCTGATGTTCGGCTCTTTCGAGCCATTGCTGGCCTTTTTCTCGTTGGCCGATCTAATCAACGTATCTGGAATGTTCAGTCAGATCCCGGACCCTGGCGCCGCCATCGTATTCGAGCTATTCACCACCGACGAAAACGTAGAATACCCCCGCGAAGACAACTCTTGGGTGCGTTTCCTATACCGTAACGGCTCGGGTCGTGATGTGCCGCTCACCGAGTATCCGCTCTTCGGCCGGGGCAACTCGGAGACACGCATGACTTGGACTGACTTCCAAACCGCTATGGACAAGTTCGCCATTTGGGAACTCTCAGACTGGTGCAACGTGTGTTCTTCTGTTGCGCTATTTTGCAGCGCGCTAAGTCAAAGCTCTGGAAGCTTGGACGAGCCGTCCAGCAGTAGCAACGGAGTTAACCAGAACAACAATGCTTCCCTATCTCCGACAGTTGCCGGTGTCATCGGTGCTCTGACTACCCTTGCAGTACTCGGTCTTGCCGGTGTGACAGCTTTTGTCTTCGGTGGCATACGCATTCGGCGTAGAGACTCTTCGGAGGATGCCTCTCGCCGTCGTAGCAGTCTAGGCGGGTTCAAGGGCGCCGAGAAGATGGCGTCGGACCATGATGTCTCTGTTGCCAAGAACGGCGCGAGACACGAACGCGTGGGCAGTTGGGAGCTCGGCGCGCCATCTGGGATCGGGAATATTGCTACCCCAGCTCCTGTTGCGGTTCCTGGGAGCGGTTCCTTTGGTGTCTCTAGGCGGAATGTGAAAGATGACGATGAAGACAGCCTTCTAGGAGCCTCCCCGGTGGACCCTATAGAGCGTGTTTAGGAGATCCCGGGGACCAGACACGTGAAACATTTTAAAGGGGAGTGAGTGTTAGTACTAACACTCGTTTTATTCGGCTTTTCTTTCTTAGTTGGCTAGTCTCATTCTCTACAATCATTGATACCCAATATCATAGAGACCTAGGGTCTCGCGGGCGTGTTGGATTTGGGGGGAGGGGGGGGGGGGGGGGTTAGTGTGCGTTTATGATTCTCCCTAGGCGTTACATATGGGCTTCGGTGAGGATTGATACCCTTTCTTACGATCGTTATATGGAGTTGCAAATTAGGGCCTAAGTGCTGTTAGGTTTAGTAGGTTTATCACTTATGTCACTTATATCACTTACTCAAGTATTAAGTCTCTAAATTATGACGGAAGAAAATGCAGCATTACTACCTTTCTTCTATCCCTCTTGTTCCGTTTATATTTCAACGTATCGTCTGTGCTTGTCCAGCCATGGAAGCTACCTCGGTACCTTGGAAACCTCAATAGCAATCCTGTCTCTAGGCCGTCAGATGGCTACCGTGGTTCCCTAGCAACGGAAGGTAAAGTTATAATATATAGCAACAGTCCCTCCATCACTCCTGACCATTCAGATACGCTACCCAAAGAGGCCGTGGCTTAGTGGTTTTCATGGTATGACGGTGTAGATAAAATCCCTTCGTGGGGTTTTTCGATGGCGTTTCCGGGTTCGAGTCGGGCACAGGGCGGCAAGACAGGCCATCTTGCTATGTTCAAATGTGCGCGGCTCAAAGCCTAGGGGCCTGCTTTTTTGTGCTTTCTATTCCTTTTTCTCTCTCCTCTCGCTTTTTCAATTTTTCAATTTTTTAACTTTTCAATTTTGCTATGTGTCATAATCCTTCTATGGTAATTATTGTAGCCAGTGATGATTTCTAAAACTTACGAAAACTAACCGCGATATTTAGTTAGCTTACATAGGTAGGTAGGTACTCAGAGTTATTATGTCATCTTCTACTTATTTTACATTAGGTAGTGGTAGCTTTTATGCCTTATTGTCTCCTATATCACATCCTCCTTCTCCTTAACTGTCATCATCATACCACCCCTAGGCTTTGCCTCCATTGACAACTCTTGGAATACGATGTCACCGAAGATGGTATCAAGATCCGTGTAGGTCGACCTAGGCTTCGGGTTAGGCCGGAGCCCGGTAAGTTCGAAGTGGAAGTCTCGAACAGTGAGCAACAGGATCACGCGCATGATGTCTATAGCAAGGTCTTGCCCCAGGCAAGCTCGCGGCCCGCGACTGAAGGTACGGAACCAGCCGCGGGGAACGCCTTCACCTAGAAATCGCTCAGGTCGGAACGCGCTAGGCTCTGGGAAGTACTGAGAGTCGAAGTGCATAGTGTGCCAAGAGGGGACAATGACCAGGCCACCACCAATGGGATACTCGCGGCCTTGGTACGAAACCGTTGCGCTGTGAAGAATCCGCATTAGTACTGCTCACTTAGATAGCTCTGGGAAATAGGGGGCCCTTACCCTGCTGGTGCTTCCTTGACGCCAAATCCAACAGGGAAAAGCCGCATCGTCTCCTTGATCACGCCTGTTGTGTATTCTAGCTCATTGAGTTTTGTTGGTGACTCCTTTAGGTTCTCCATGGTTGTCTCGAGGTCTCTGCCGAACACAGCATCCTGCTCTTCCAGCATTTTCTGGACGACTTCTGGATGTTTTGACAAGAGCATATAAACATACTTTTGGTTAGGATGGGTTAGCCGCGGTAAAAAGTTGAAGGGATATTCTGTGAGGAGGCCATACGCATAGCGTGTCGACGCTTGTTCCCATCCCACCGAGTAGGAGACCTTTGACACTATTTCAGCTATGTAAGTGTATATTACTATTTGAGGTGCTCAAGCAGGGCCGTACTTTGTTACCAATAGTTCTAATTCCCCTTCAGGAAGTTCAACCGCTTTAAGGCCCTTTCGAGTTCCATCCTGTAACACTGTTTCTCGGAGCATCAAATCGAGAATGCTAAGAGGATCTTTACGTGAAGGCACGATATTCTCACTCCTGAGCGCGGTCAAGCGCTCCTGGATTTTCGCAGCAACAGACGCATCGACCCGTTTTCGGACAGACCACTTTTTCAGTGCCACTTGTAGTTTGACGAATGGGTTCATGGAAAGTTGCTGGTTAATTAGTTCGATGATCTACTTCAGGTCTTCGTGGTATGAGCTGCCCTGCGTTTGTGCGTTAAGTGGGAAATTGAAGACGATCCGGCCAACAATGTCGAATACCAGCTTAGACAATTCATTCTCCATGGAAAAGACTCGACGGCCGCTCGCGAGCCTTTTTAGAGCTTCCCTAAAGATCATCGTCTCGTCGGCCATGAGACCTGTGAGTGTTCTGACATAAGAGGGCAAAAATGCTGGAGCCATTGCATTGTGAAGCTTTTTCCACATAGGGCCATTCACGGTTGCGACAAGATTTTCACCGATTATACTCGACATCACCTCCTGGGCGATCCGGTGTTGGTTGTATACCCTCGTCACCTGCACTGCATCCATAAGCTCTGGTTCTGTTAGGATGACCTGTGGATCCGCTATGGGCCATAGATCGAGATACCAGATACCCTTCAGGTCATACTTCTGCGCGATGGCAGTGATATACGCCTGTGGGTGAGTGTTCGGAGGCAGCTGGCTAGCGATTTCGCCCATGAGTTTAAGGTGACCCCATAAGAAGCTATGTGGTGGTTTGGGCTATCTTCTACATTAGTCTCGTGTCTCATCTTTGCTCTCATGATGCTATATAGACGAGGGAGGATCAATTCGTACCAAGTCCTCAAACTGCTGTCTCCGGCGATACAAACAATAAATAAAGTCCAATATAAGCGCACCCAGTACAGGGAGCAAGACAAGAGAAACACCTTCAATCCCCATCGTGAACTTTTTCTCAGGTGGAAGTCTTAGAGCCAATCGATGAAGTTCCCGAGAACAAAAGGTAAAAACAACAAAGATACCCAGGTGCTTATAATATCACAGCCATTACACTTACCTAGGCCCATGAGGTCCCAGCTCAACGGGACGAAGGAATATAGGTGGGTCTAGGTCATGCAAAGAGTACCTCTATAGACCTATTGGCAACAAGTAATTGACAACCAACCAACCTTTGGAAGACACCTATGTATATAAGTAACACGGTAGTATCACATCCAAGATCAACTTATTATTGCTTTGTACTTACCACTGTATGATACTTAAGTATACCTACGTCCGCGGCAACGAAGCCTCCAACTATGGATGATAAAATCAACTCCCTTTCCGCTTGTTCAGCCCTGTGGGTATACTAAAAACAGAGACGGGGGACTTCACAGCTAATCTCTGATTCATGAACTAACTAGTTAGTGGAGTCTTCGCTATAAATACCTATTTATTTAGGTACTTAAACGTACGGATTATATACAGGTACTAGATCCAACAATTTTACAAGAAGCGTTTGTACCATGTACACCTACCCTATCTTCAATTCTCTTGATATACAAGTTTGCCGGATAGTCGTCCCGTAATCTCGACGGATAAGTACAATATGAGTAGAGCCAACAGTATTCTTCCAACATGGCCACCCGCAAAGTCAGATAATAGGTATCCTAGTTGAGCAGACGACATCAGCACCCCTCAATGAGCATCAATCAAGCAGCGCTGGCTCTTCGGCCCCATGAGGAAGAACATGGCAGGTACCATATCCTCATCCGTGAATCCCTCTAAATGGGAGACAGTGGCATTCGGGAACCGGGTAAAGAACCGCGCGGTCGCGAGACGCAGTTCCATCTTGGCTAAGTGCAGGCCAATACAGACTACACGCAGTTAGAAACGGTAACTCAGACCAATCAACCATATCCAAAAGGACTTGTAGGCGTAGAGTTATTAGGAGGGATATATTAAAAATAAAAGCTCACTTCTGCTACCTCCACCAAACGGCACAAACGCGTCCTTCATCGCCCTCGTCGGATTCTCCCATCTTGAAGGGTCAAATTTCAACGGTTCCGGATAGACAGCCGGGTTCCTATGCACACTGTACGCCTGCGCCGACACCGTGTAGCCGCCGGGAATGTAATGGCCGGCAAGAGTAGCACCTCCCTGGGGTACGACACGAGGCAGACCCGAGGGGGCAGCGCTGTATAAGCGCAGCGTCTCCTGAATCACATGATCGAGGTAGGGCAGCTTCTTTAGATCCAGGTCCGTGAATCCGTCCGGCAGCGTGCTTAGTTCTGCCAGCAGCTTCGCCTTAACGTCGGGGCGCTTGCATAAGGTCCATATGAGGTAGGTCAAGGTATTGGTGGTAGTATCGCTTCCTGCTGCGATATACGCCATGGCATCCTCGCACAGCTCATCGAAAGGCAGCGTGTCTTGATCGTCCTCTGAGGCGCGGTATAACTTAGATAGGAGCGTGTGCTTGGCGTCCTGTCCTTGCTCCTCTACTAGTTTGTAGTGTCGGGCTAGCGATTGCGTTGCGTATCCGCGCATGCGGTCTCGGATTCGCATTCCCGTGCTGAGAACCGGCAGCGGGACGTACCTAGTGATCTTCATGAGGAAAGGGAATGTTGACCTGAGACCTCCAGCAAATGCTATCGTTTTCAAGTCGCGGGTGTATTGGTTCTCCTATTGTTTATAACGCAAGAACAGGGTCAGTGGGAAAAGACCAGAATTTGACGGGGACGATGAGGAGTCATGGGTAAGATGCGCACCTCCTTTGTTTCTAGCATGCGGAACGAAGATCCGAAGCTGAGCTCACCGATCACGTCGGTAGCCATATATAAAGCCCAACGACACACATCCTTCGGAAGGCAAAGAACGTAAATTAGCAACACAACATATCTCCCCTCTCTACAGATCAGGTATCAACTTACCGTAGCACCGCGCTTCTCCATTTCTTCGGCCATGCCCTCAATAGCCATACGAACCTTGGTCTCAACCGTGGGTCTATGTAAGGCCAAACCCGACTCCGACATCTCGGATGCGAGGAGCCTTCGGTGTCGTCGATGAAAATTGACATCGGTCGTGTTGAAGATGCTCTTGATTCCTGGTAGGAAGATTTCGTAAAATGGGGACTTGAGGAACTCGCCCTTGACCTGGTATATCTGCTGGACGGCATTCTGATCTTGTATGCTGACCTCTTTGGGGCTGATGCGGACGACGGTGCCTATAATTTTACCAGGTCAGAGTCAGAGATAGAGTAGGGGTTTGAGGGGGGTTTTCTTTTTCATAAAATAAATAGTTAAATAAATAAAAGATTAGGAGCATGCTTGGATGAGGATGAGCGTACCGTATTTTTCATGCAATGAATGAACCCATTGTGGCCTCTGGCCTGTAACAACTTTATACTTCAAAATTGTTTCCGTCCATAGCGTATACCAAGGACCAGGTATTCTTGCCAGGGGACTGCTTAGAATAGTATAGATATACTACGAAGTAGTTAGCTCTCTGACACAATTATTTCGGTATGGTTTGTTTGAGTCTCATACACCTAGCAAGGCTACGCCCACGGCAATCAGCAGAAGCTGCCCACGCTCGAGGCCGCCCAATGCTTCCATATTCCTGTTTTGTGATATTTTGTTTGCTCTTATATCATGCGTATCTTGTAAGTGGCATTGCAGTTAACCTCAGGTATAAGTTAATATAACAAAAGACTAGGTAGTTAACATAATACTTAACCAGCCTCCATTTTGTAGATAGAAACCTTTGTTCTTAAATACTATATCATGAATCACTATATTCATTCGTCAAAGTCTATAAATCGGTTTCACACACTGAAGCGAAAGGCCGAGAGTCACGAGGAACTGTGGAATTGCGGAATTACGGAATTTCAGCAATAAAATGCCCCGACTAATAGACATACCTGCGGCCAATTCCGGCTTTTCAGCAACTATTAATAAAGTCGGCAACATTAATCTATACTTGTGTAGTAATAGAACCACAGTCCCAACTCGGAGGGACGGTAGAGGTTAAGACCGAATTGTCCGGATATTTGATGAGCTCCACCCTACCGTCGTATGTAAGACTCTGTCTTAACCAATTGAAGCCCGACTTATAGTCATTATTCCAATTGATATTCTTCGTCTCCATGGAACAAAATACAGGCATACATCAATATACTGATCCTCTTCGGTATACGAGAAGGCGAGTAAGATGGCCAAGGCTTGGGTGGATAGGTGAATAGGTGGATAGGTTCTCAGTAAAACATGATTTTTAGGAGTCTCGCTCTGTCGGCCTACAATTGTAATGACGAGTGGCTTGTTATATGCATTGTTGCGTAGTAATATGAATATTATCGCGTTAATCAACAACGCGAAACTCAAGCAACAAATTCGATAACTAGTTGGTAGACATAGGTAAGTTACATAAAAAGGCCTTTTCATAAAGGAGCTATTAATTATGCTCTAACTACCTAACATAACTGGGTATCATTATTTATCTTCCTAAAACTCCATCTCTTCAACTTCCATGCTACAGGTCGTACAAGTCTTCACCGTTGAGCCGTCATCTTTCTCGATGACTCGTCCCCATTCGTGAACATGTTTGCCACCGTTGGAAATCGCATCCCCAAACCTGGCTTTTTTGCCAGACGCCGTACCTCCGTCTCCCCCAAGCTTCCCCGTCTGCCTTCGGTACGCATCCGTCCTCGTCCGCTTCTTGAGGTCTAGTAGCTTTTCTTTGAACTTAGTTTCTTTCCGTTTCTTCTTCTCCGCCTCGCGGCGTTCAAACTCAGCATCCAGATCCTCTGCCGAACCCCATTTTTTGTCGCTGAATGCATACTCTTCGACCTGATACCGAAGGAATAGCATCATATCGTGCCAGTGGGACTTGTGTGGGTTTGGTTTTGAGAGGTGGGGCAGCAGCTCTGCGTCTCTCAGCTCCGGTTCTGTCAGAAGGTAATCCTCCCTGCACTCCGTCTTGGTCAGAAGACTGTATTTTTCGGGATACTTCTCCTTGCAACTGTTGCAAATGGCGCACCCGAAAACCTCCTCCCATACGAAGTCGATCTCGAGACTCTTACACTCGCGACATCTCTTTCGGTCCTTTTCATCCCGTAGCACGCTCAGGCCTGGTTCGAATGGCCCTGCTTTCTGCCGTTGGAGCTTCTTCAGTAACTGCCGCCTTTCCCACTCCTGCACTGTCATCCCTTTGGGCCTCTCTTCCTGTCCTTCACTAGGCCCGTTACCCTTTCCGTTACCCGTCGCAGTAGACCCCGACATAGCCTTGTTCCAAGGATCGTCCTCGGCACTCAAAAAGCCACCCTTCGTATCCGTCATCTTGCCGAAGTCGTAGTCGACAAACTTGGTGAACTTCCTCGCTGGTCTGATAGCCCCTTCGTCCTTATCCGCCTTGGCCTGGTCGGCACTGTCGCCAGGAGTAGCCTTGGCAGGCGAGACGCCATTAACGCGGCCATCGCGGCTGGTTGACGGTGTCTCACGGACTCGGGTACTAGATATAGCATCATAGGCGCGCTTACGGGTGTTTGGGACTTGCGCATTATCGGTGGCAATGAAGCCAGATGGAGTGCGAGAGACGGAGGGTGTGCCAGCTGCACGAGCGGCGGACTCGTGTTGTTCACGTAATGCCTTGGCTCGGAGTCTATTTTCTTCCTATCAATTTCACCATAGTTAGAATAAAGTTCATAAGTATTGGATGCAATCAAAACTGTTCTTTCGCCGAAGGGTTGACTCACGATGCGACGGGTAATCTCAGGTGTAAGAGGGGACGCTATAGGTTTAGAGGGGTTGCCAGTTTTCGCCTGCGGTGGCGTAGAAGAGCGCTCCATCTTGCAAAGGAAGTATGATCATGAGTAAGCGTAAGGAAAGTCCAGCTATGGACAAGTTGAGATGGGAAGTTGTTGTAGCTTTGAATGTTAGGGCCATCTTTCGGGATTAGTTCCATAGTCTAAGGGTTCAGTATCATGTAAGCCGGTGACGTCGGGGGTTGAAAACGGTACTACAAAATTAAAAAGAATTCCAATACCCAACATTTACGCCACACCGGACAGCCCGGGATTTTATACGTGTACCCACATGCGTAAATACGTTATAGACCTACAATGCTAATAATAAAAATACCTTAACCTAGTAACCTAGGCTGTTGAAATTATTACAGCAACTAGATACGCAAATCTCGAGTATACATGAATTATGCAATTGTCTATTCGTGATGTACGTAGTCTACATCAGTAGCAAACCCTCCATGGTGTCCTTCGTATACAGCGTCAAAATTATGCTGCAAGTCCTTCCATTAAGCCACTTGTAACATCATTACTCGTCCTTGACACCACCCCGGCCGGCACGCTCGGCGGCTTCAACAGCTTTCTTATCGCTCTGCGCAGGCCCGCTCTGAAGACCACCCATGAGTCCTGCAGGTTGCTTAAAGGGACGCTTGAGATCACCAATCGCCGGCTGGCCGAGGAGGTGGATCTTGACCAAGTTGGACTCGAGGGCGCCCTTGAGCGGGATGATGGATTGGATCAAGAGCGGGTTGGTGTACTTCATGTATAGGTGCATAAAGCCCATCATTGCAACACCCATAATCTGCGATCGGAAAGAGTTCTTGAGTTGCTGCGAGTCGTAGGCTTGGACGGTGGTAGTCACAAGCTTGCCCTCCTCCGAAGATCCCATCGGAGCCGGTTCGACATATTTGAGCGTGGTGAGATCTATACGTCAGTGACTGGTTAGTATAATTGTGTGTATAGTATAGCGTTTCCAAGGGGAGAATCATACCCTTCTTCTTGTTAATCTGGAACTGGACGTAGACGTAGATACCAGCGATGATTATATTGCTACCAACGTAGAGCGCGCGAACAATGTTGAGGACATCGGGATCCTCGAAGGGGATTCGCTTGGAAACTTGCATCATCCCAAGGATGATGATGATGTTGGTTCTACCGAGACTCAGTTAGCTACTACTTCACGAGTGTACACGTGCGAGACAAAATTGATAACACGTACACTTGAGGACTGAGTATAGCCATTTTGAATGCTGGTGCACGTATAAGACGATATAATAAACCAAAGAGAATAGCTGCTTGGGCTAGCAGAAGACGTTGACGAGATTTTCTGTCAGATGCGCGAAGGCGACAAGCGACCCAAAAGAATGGAAAACGTAACAATTGGTGATGGCCGACAATTGGAATCTGTCGCATCAAATTCCAGCGACGGATGTAGAAAAATAAGGGCCCAAGGTTCTTCCGTACCTTAACTAACCTTATCGAATTCCTTATCAAGTTCTGGCCACGTTCCGTTGTGACGGCCTAGGTGGAGCTTACTCATTGCGTAATTGTATTATACAATCTTCAAGGTTACTTGCATATGTATCACTCAAATGCGCTAATGTACCTAAAGTAGAATATACATACCCCACTAGCGGCTGATGATCCGCGATTGGATCTTCAAATTTGGCCGCTTTTGACTTCAATGGTCAAAATTCGAGGTGCGAGGCGATGACGGGAGCTTTCGACAATTGAGTCTCCATACCCTCGCAATCATGCATTCCAAGGCGCCGTCATGCCTTGTCGGCGCTTTTCGGTCACTTACGATAAACCATTCTCCAACTACACGCCCATTGATCAGATCCAGCACCTCGATTGTACCTCGAAAAATTCAATGTTCCCGAAATGTCCGTCTCTTTTCGGCAACTGCGTCAGTGGGCGGCAACTGGCTAGAGCCCAATATAAATCGCAAGACGAAGATGATGAAGGGACGAGCAAGGGTCGCAACCGGCGGCTCTGTTAAGGGAACAACGGTGATGTGGGGAGATTACGGATTACGGATGATTGATCACCATCGAAGGATCAGCGCTCAAAACCTCAAGATTGCGGAGGATACTATCAAGCAGCGACTACGTGGTCAGAAGTACCGACTATATAAGAGAGTGTGCTGCAACATTGGCGTGTTCGTTAGCGGCAACGAGGTCTGCCCTCCAATGTTCCCGTTTCATATGAGCCTCTATAACTAACCTACATTTGTAGATACGTATGGGTAAAGGAAAGGGTTCATTCGATCACTGGGCGGCAAGGGTAGCAGTGAATCAGATCGTCTTAGAACTAAGAGGGATGGTCCACGAGCAAGTTGTGCGCGACGCCTTTCGGTTAGCTGGTAACAAGCTACCTGGTAAGCACTATACTCATCGGCACTACATATTTACGCCATCCTAACATTATATTCAGGGCAATGGGAGTTTGTGAAGAAGGGTGAACCGCCAGTGGTTGGTATTACCAAGCTAGATGGAATTACATTGGAAGATTTAAAGAGACCAAGACGAAAGATCCCAGCCGCGTCGATAAAACCCGCTCCGCCTACGCCAGGCTCAGAAGGTCCACGGACACCCCTAGATCTCCCCTAATTATGAGATCTTATATGTATAACTAAGCTTTAAGATACAATCAAGTCACTTTCGACGTAGTAGTTATGTCAAAGTTATATGTAGATTACGGGAGGGAAGAAAAGGTTACATAGGTAGGTATCTACACTTATCGTGTAAGTACATAGTATGCAAGTGGCACTTGCCGTGAGGTGTACCAATATCTACCTAGGTACCCTTAGGTATATACAATGAAGAAGTTGCGACACAAATTATAGTAGGCCCTTCAACTCATGGTTCGCTCTTCCTAGAGTCCTTATGTTTCGTTACTTCCAACTCTGTATACTCCAAGGTGGAAAACTACAGCCCAATTTCTATTTCTATTTAATTCGTCCCCTCCTATCACAAACTACTAATATAATCTCACCAAGCATCATATTTCCCCTCGGTTCGATGCTACTCCCTGCATATATAATTGTCTCTATTATATTATGTTCTTAGATGTGTATAGCATCAATTGTACCATCATAACGGAAAACTTCATGAATAAGTTGAGCCATATGTTCTACTATGGCTGACTATACTGAGCTTGAGCTCAAGACATTCGAACTTTCTAACGCAGAATCCAATTTCTCCTTGTCTGCGACTTCTCTTGCGTTGATCTCAGACGTACCATCCTCTCAATATTCCTCTGAGAAACTTTTTCAGTCAATTCAGTCAAAAGAGATATGGCTTGTTTCTCCCGGCATATGCCGAATGCAAATCATAGTAGTGCAGAATCAGGTATCCTTGGTACTGGGAGAAACTGAACCTGGATTCCTGGAACATCTAGCCGACGTGATCTGTCAATGTCCAGTAAGTTACCATGATTGGATCTTACTACGATCGCTCATGTGAATCTATCTAGCTTTGGCCTGCCCTTGGCCTTACAATTAAACAAGAAGACATCCAATATCAGCCGCTATACGACGGAGCTCCGAATCTTTATTTCATTATCGAACATCTAGATAAGTCATCTGTACTCCTCTCGCCACCACACAGTCCCACTGCTCGTCTATATGGGATAGAGTGCCTATTCCAATACCAAACAAGTCATTCGGATGCATCTAATACCGACACTAACGAATCTAACATATGCGATTTCGATATGGATGACTATCCTCCCGAACCAGCTTTACAACCGCAAGCGCCAGGCTTAAGTAACGACGCTCATAGGAGCACAGTCTATAATTATTACTATTGGGAAGATCCAGAATTGTATCTTTTTGCCAAGCATTCTCGACGACGATGGAACGATGCAGGCCGCTTAGCCCAGATGGCGTTATACGTGACTATTGGCATCAAAAAACGTATGCGCGGCTTACGCTTGTTCCAGCTGGATAGTCGACCCTCATTACTCGAACTAGCCCCTGCTATCTGGAACGCTCATTATCTCAAGGTTCTAAAAACTCTCTTATAATATTAGAAATTGTCTAACAACGAGATCTAGGCAGTGACGTATCATGCGGCCAATATCCCCATCATTTCGAACATTCTGGCTGCACCATCCCGAAACCGGTCAGCATCTTTACGGGAAAAGAGTAAAAGGTTGCTAATAGATGTAGATAGCACCCTTAGTAACAAACCTTCTACCATCACTGAAACTGAAGCCGAGCTAAATACCTACCGATGTTCCATCCAGCAAAGGCTTTGGGATTTAGTGCAAGCAAAATTAGAGCCGACTATTCGCATCAAGAATGCTAGTATGAATATTGATACGCAACAGCACGAAAACATCAATTGGCCTTTCGAGATAGCATCCTCGAGCATGGGTTCCTTTGAGGAGCCCGAGAATAGCGATTATCTCTACGTCTTGGACGAAACCTCGGCCAATGATTTCGACTTCGATAATACCCATGATGAGAGCCGGTTGCTATATCAATTTCAATATCCCCCAGGAGGAGATCGTAGTAGCCATCCCGACGCAACAGCTGAATATGAGCAGTGGCAGCACGGGGATCAGGATATAAGGATCGCCAACGAAGACCCCCTCGCAGAAGTTATTGACACGATAGAGGTAGAATCCGACTATTTACCAGATAGTAGTCTTCAGCATGATTCCCTTATTCAATCTTCAAGCTTGTTAGAATTACGAGGTGCTTCAACTGTCCGACAACGCATTTCCGGCGATTTTAGTAATTCGATTACGGACGTCAATCATCTTCATACATCCGATTATGTATACGGCGTTAAGGGCATTTGCAATTCTACAGATGAGTTGTCATATAATACTCGACGCATGCTCTGGGATGATATGCAACAACATATGTATAAGAGTGAAAACGAATCTCCCTATGGGATATATGAAGGAGTAATAGATCAAAGTCATGAGCTCAGAGAGGAACAAACGGGTTCTCAGGATATAGACATGTATTGACAATATTGATAAACCATATAACCGGGTAAATACGCAATAATTATGAGTGCTAGACGCGGCCTGCTGTCGTCAAAGCGTCTCTAAATGCTATCCTTATTGTTCTATTCTACCCTTTAACCCAAACACTAAACACTTAGAACCCTGTCCGCTTAGCTCGATGACAGCTACGTATCCATTACTCCCCGTAAAACATGTACGTCTCGATGCATCGTGGTTTCTCGACGAAGGCGGCGGTGGCGGATAGTCGCAAAAGAACATAATTGCCGGGTTCTATCCCAATTAAGAAGTTGTTATAACACTTTCGAATATCGCATCTGAGCTGTCTTACGGCAGAGCGTCTTTATCGAGCTGCCGGTGGCTTTCCTCCTGCTTTCTTGCCCCCTTTGGGATCCTTCTTTTTCTTTTGCTCGGGCTTCATAGTCGCGTGGTGGATGTACCATATGAATACGCCCTCGAGGATGAGCGAGACGAGGACGACAACAAGAATAGTGAATATGTACGGTTGGTCGTTTAAAGTACGGACGGCTGCATCTGTGGCACCAATCTTGGACATGAATCCGAATTGACCACCTGGTGGGCTCGGTAGATTGGGGTTTTGTTGAGACATTTTGAACTGTGCTTGGCTTCGCGACGGTCTCGAAATTGGTGAAGGAGTTGTTCGAGTATTCGACTTGAAGTTGAAAGGGTATCGAGTAGATAAATCAAGCGAATGGACAAGCAAAAGAAACTAGGCGCGAGCAAGACAAAATTATGGTGCACCAGTCACACTAGAAAGGAAGAAAGGAAGAAAAGAAGAAAAGAAGGCAAATTGTAATGATAGCTTCACTTTCGCAAAATTGGGAAAAAGGGAGAAATGAACAACCAAGTTGGTTTGGGTAATGGGTCTGTAATAATAAAAATTACCTAAGGGTAGCAAAAACGTAAGTAATCCTACACAATTGTCTTGTGTTTAGTATCAGCTATGCGACAAGCGCCTCCTAATGCCTAACGTTGCGGTCTCGACTGATGGACTGACGATAAGTAACAATCCCTGTGAAACTCGTGCGTTTCAGACCTGCGGCAAAGTCGATAGATTTAGTATGGCCAATCATTGGTCGATAACGGGGAACGCTGAGACGTCACCCTATCCAGATCTCGAGTGCCATAAATGTATGTATTGTACCTACATAGGAATTTCAACTGACTACTGCGCGGCATCATGCTTTTTAGTCCTATATTCTAAAGGAGGCTTACTACCTAATGTCTCACATAAGAGGCAGGTAGTTATAAGAAATAAGAAAATATATTAAATACCTAAGGTGGATGATGTACATAGGTAATAAATGGTGCCATCTGTGACGTTGTGTTAGTTACAAAGTATACATCAAGTAAGCCGCTAACAGCAATGATTAAAGCTGATTGGTTTCCAACAATCACTAGAAGATGAGCCAATAAGAGGCGAGGACAGAACCCACACCACTGGTCAAAAGACAGTTAGTGTGGGTCGGTAAAACGTAAGGCCGAATTGAGCAATTGAGGGTTGCTAAAAAATAATTTCCATATACTTGATATGTACCAATTGAAGCTCATATCTTCACGCGACCCTATCATTCCTTTTCTGCGCCATCGCAGCCATACTAGGGCGGGTACTTGAACGCTAGGGATGCGATGAGCGTAGCACGACCAGCACGGTGTCTGCTCTCCAGGCGGCTTGCTGCCGCGGCCAAACCAGCATCACCAGCATTACCAGCATCGCAATGCCACCACCAATTTCACAGCTCCGCGCACCTCGCTGCAAGGCGGAAACCCCGATTCAAGAGCATACGAGCTGAGGAAATGGGGTTAGTATCGCCAGAGAAGATCGAGGAGTACGGTAACAAGACGTTCCCTCGTTATACCCCGGAGGAGTTAGAGGTCTTGAAGAAGAGGTACACGCCCGAGCAGATGGCCGCTCTCGAAGCCGGCGAGGCAGCGATCGACCCTAAAGACTTGACGATACAAGGTCGAATACGGAGAGATCCCTACAGGATTCCATACATCGACGACTTCAGCAAGATTTACCCCATCATCGACAAGCGCCCGAAAACCAACCCCCCACCCAACCCGAAAGCGAGGTTTATGACGGAAGAGGAGGATGTGGCAGACCTGACCAAGCGCCTCGAGGCTTTAATACCGAAGGATGTAAATTTTGAAAACCTGCCCGAAGAACAGATACAGAAAATACTAGACCAGCGCATCGATTTCTCCATGGAGGAAGCCAAATATTTCCTCGAGCCGGAAACCATGATAAACACCAACGGACCCTCGAACTCGGCGGTTGCGCCAGCGCTGGGCAAAAAGCTCGCTGGCGTGGAGGGCAGGTACAAGGCACCAATCGACCCGGCGGATGATGGCCTGGATGACCAGGGTATATACCAGGATCTGAAGAGACGGACGGGCTTAAGCGTGCGGCATATCTTGGATATCAACAGCAAGATCCTAGTCACCCGGATGGTTCACAACCAGACCCGTCTGGGTAAGATCCGTAGCACGTGGATTCTAGCTATCGCCGGAAATGGGGATGGACGACTTGGTATCGGCGAGGCCAAGTCCGTCGAAATGGCCGTTGCGCGGCAAAAGGCCAAGCTTTTAGCCATCCAGAACATGCAGCCGGTTCGTAGATATGAGAATAGGACCATCTACGGGAACGTCAAGGGCAAGGTCGGCGCGACTATAGTCCAGATAGAAGCCCGCCCACCTGGTGAGTTATACGCATATTTACCCCTCCCCCGCCTTTTTTACCACCCGGAAATATACTTATTAATTCTTTACTCGAAAAGGCTTCGGTCTACGCGCCTCGCATCGACTCTTCGAGATCTTCCGATCCGTAGGCATTCGCGACGTGGCAGCTAAGATGCCCCGAGGACGAAACCCGATGAACTCGGTCAAGGCCTGCATGCTAGCTCTACAGAGCCAGAAGGATCCTAACGAGCTCGCTACCGGTAGGGGTAAGAAGCTCGTGGATGTGCGCAAGGTCTACTACGGCGGAAACGTATACTAAAGCAAATTATGTAAAAATATCGTGTAGATATGCCGCCCTCCAAATTCAACGAAATATAGTTTATGCGCAGTACCTCCCTGGTGTATGTTTGTATTTGCCATTGGTGTATTTGGGTATCTTCGTGATGGGTTAATAATGTATATGATTCTGTCTATCTCGAGTCCCAGTTGAATCTTTGCCGGTATCGTATCTTCATTCTCGCATATCTCATTGGCGTAATGCCCCATAAACTACAGCAAGGAACAGCTGTTGTAAGCTTGCATGTGCCGATACCCTTCTCTGCTAGCACCGAGCGTACAGGCTCCCTGAAGCCAGCTCAAATTTCCCTGGAAACATATTCATCCAGGCCCGAAGACACGGTGCTTGGGGTAGTCTATTCGTACCATAACTAAGCGGCTCAATATATGGCAGGTTATTTCATGCTATCGTTAATTTCTGCATCTCATCCGCTCAGCCCCGCGTTTGGTCGCCCCAGTCGATCTCCTGCTGCAGCACGATGCTGTAGACGCTCGCCTTGAGCAGCGTGAATACCAGGCTCGTCTTGCGCTCGAGCTCCCGCAGGCCGTCGAGAATCTCGGTCGTGGGCTGTCCGGCCATAGCGTCCAGTACGGTTGCGAGCTATTGCGCATGAGGTTAGCCAGCTGCTTTGCTCCGTCTTATATACTGATACTGGTGTTGTTGGAGGAGGAATGCGCCATGTTGCAATATTGTGCTATGATTGGACCGGGGAATATATATGTATAGCACATATGTATGTACATAGGTTCGCACGTGTGCAGGTACTGAGATATCAGCAGACGTGTGAATGCATGCATGCATGCGCCGACTCGACTCGACTCACCTTCTTCATGTTCTCCGCTAGCCGCTCGTATTCTTCGAGCACCTCTTGCTCTAGCGGCGTGAGATCTGGAGGCAATAGTAGAGGGTTGGGCGTCTGGCCTTCCATCGCGGCGGGAATTGCGATGGTGGTGTTGCCTATGTGTATAGGTAGGTAGGTAGGTAGGTACTAGGTATGGAAAAGGCAGAATGCGGAGGCTGAATTGAAGAAACGCGTCTTGTTAACGGGATGGAGGGGTCATTTTCCTGTGGGGCTAGGTACCTAGGTATTACCCGGTTACCAAAAATGAATTCGACGGGGCCGTTTGGATTGCACAATGCATGCACCTCAAGGTTGTACATACCTCAGGTTGTATGTACATACCTCAGGTCGTACCTAGGTACCTACCTCCCGGCGCTGTGGCTCAGGAACCAGTTCAGCGATAAGATTAGATCTGTCCAATAGCGCATCAGTTATTACCTAATGATAATAAATGCAGATTGACGCCGAAAACGAGGGCTCGGATATACGAAGTACATTACAAGACCCTTTAAGCTTTCAGCTCGCCAGCCCCTATTAAGCATCCCACTTCAACTCTTTACATACCACATTTTTCAGGGTCTTTGTAGATGTGCTCCGCATCTCCGATTCCATCTCCGAACTCCGACGGATATTCAGCATGATGGAAATCTACAAAGATATTGGCAAAGATAATAGACTGTCGTCCGTATCGTTTACATCAGCCGACTAGACTCGATGGGGCTTATGAAAAACCATTATGGCTAAAATAGGGAATTACAGATCTTATGTAGGCCTACTTGGTAGTAGTATATTTATGCAGATGAGACTTAGCTCGGCTTCGTTTGCTCATATTGTCGGTTTCCGACTACCGAGTCTCGGCCGGGTAGGTTGCCAATCGCCATCACCCCTTCACGAGGTTGGGTCATCTGCTTTAGTTCGGTAAATAACTATGCCATTATTTTTATCATCTTCCTGTATGAACCGCCTAGAATAGCCTTGTTTTCCCTGAACCAATCCAAGATATCTACCCTTAGAGATATCAGTCTCATATTCAGCCTCCCTTACGATAATTGTCACGGGAAAGTCATGGTAGAGTCAGAACCGGTGTTTGCTACCTCCTTCCCACGATTTCCAAACCTACCAGCAGAGTTGAGACATATTATATGGCGCTTTGCTTTGCCGCATCGAGTTTTTGAAATCCGGAACGAAACCGTCTCTATCAGGCGGGACGGCGAGGCTAACGTTACCAAAGAGTTGGACCACGATTCTTGGCGGATTCGCGGCTCAGACCTGGTAGCCGTGATATTAGCTCCGCCAACGTTGCTTTCAGTAAATCATGAAGCACGGAGCATCGCTTCGCGGTCTGGGTCATGGAAGTTCGTTGGTAGTCGTCCTCGTGACGTCTACTGCGTGATTAAGCAGATGACGTGGTTTGATCCTTCGACTGATACACTCTGCTTCGATGAGTCCGTTTTTCAACATGTTCAGGATTACGTTACGGAAAAAAACGGTCTCGTTATGGAACATGTCAACAATCCCGCCGTCACCAGGTTTTACTTCGCCAGCTCTCCCGCAAGTCCAGTCTGCGTGAGCCTCGCAGCTCTGTTAGGTGCTTCGGGAAAGTTCTTCGTAAAGCAATGGAAGTATAAGCGGGGTTTCTGGTCCGGCGTACCACAGTATCTATTCTACCACGACAGCATACTGATGCACCTTGGTAGATCTCCCAAGGTGCAAGCGATCTTTGGAAAGGGTATTGATAGATGCCATACCCTTCTTGTTAATGCTCACGACCGTGGGAAACTGCGGCAGCTAAAAGAGCTATACGTTGAGGAGTCAGATCCGCCATACTTCCAGGTCAGTTACGAGACTACGAGATGGTATAAGTGCTAACAGTGTAGGATAGCGGAGCGTTGCAGATTGGCTTGAAGACATTACGGAACTAGATGAGAAGTATATTAAGCAGTCTTATAACGATCTAAAAACCCTTTGGCTTAGAGCTCAAGATGACATTCCATCCTCAGCCCTAGTCATCTCGCCGAATCAGATGAATGTCCAGACAAAATCAGTAATCGGCCCTGGAGCTGTTCTTCACGCCGTACAACAATTCGACCATGGCCACCCCCGGTGCCGTGAAATCATCAAGGCTATGCCGCGCATGGAGCTCGTGGTTCACTTTCGGCTGTGTATCTCCAACCATGATAAAAAATGTCGCAAAAAGCCCAAGTGTCTCGGAAACGGAGAGCCGCTAGAAATAGATGTCAATACGCACCTTGAGCAACCGTAGTTCCAGGGGTTTAATATAATATAATTAATATAATATAATATAATATGTTATTCTAATATTAGCCCGCGTACCTTAAGCTGTCTTTCCATGCCTAACCCAGCTGGGTGGTTTCTTCAGCTTGTAAATATGCAAAGCAGTCATACATGCGCCACCCCAACCAAGCTGTTTTTTCTGCCACTTCCTACTCCCAGCATCTTTGAATAGCTTCTCTACCATCATAGCTGGCTCGTCAAACGAATCTGTACCCATTTCCTCCTCCCCTCTTTCCCCCCTCCCCAGCGCCGCGATTCCAAATCCATTATATGGTAAAGCCTGACCCTCAAGATCGGTCTCGGGTTTCTCTTCGCTGGCATCGCCAATGCCGGTGTTACTACCGTTACTCGCGACCTCGATCCAGACCTCGGCCTTGCGAATCGAATCAGCGTAGATGATCAGGATGGCGACGAGGACTAGAGGTACAGCCGCCGCCCAGAAGACGTAGAACATGGACCCTGTGGGCCCGAACGGGTCGCTCATGGATAGGATGCTGGAAACGATAGATAGTGGGAGTAGAATGCCGCCCATGTATGAGACGCGGTCTAGTGCGTGCTTGTTCTGATCGTCGGCGCTAGAGCTGTTGCCGCTGCGGTTGTGGCGGTGACGGGGGATCATTTCTGATGGGGGAATATTTCTTGTAGTAAAGGGCTGCTTCTGCGGTGGAGGGGGCACAATGCTGCCAGTGATAATGGGACTGGGGTTAGGACTGTGTGTGGAGATAGGGGCGAGGTGGTTCAGTAACGAAACATGTCTATTAAGACGGGAGAGGAGGGATTCCCAGTCTGATTTAGGGGAATAGGGGGTTAAAGATGGGGAGCTTGTACCCTGGAGTGATCTCTCACAGAGCTCGGCGCTGCTCAGGTTTCTTTCTAGGCTCTCCTGCACTTGCCAGTACAGCGCCGTCATCCGATCCATCCCGGGGGATATATTCGAAGAAACCATATCGAAGAATTCGGCCCATTGGTTCACGGCGATGTCTTGCACGAGAGCACGTATATCTGTGTCCTCGTAGGAATTCTCACCCCATTCCTCGGCTAAGCCATAGTAGAGGAGCGACTCAAAAATCGACACGCCTCCGTCTGCTAGGCCGGTAGTGGCGATAACTTGGCCCGGGTCCGAAGAACGATATCTCTCAGTCCATGTCGGACGGTCCAACAGAAGGACTGGGAGATGGGGTTAGTAACGGTCTTTTCGGGATATTACCAGCAAAAGAATTCTCACCATTGGCCTTGGCACACTGCCATAGCGAAGCGCGGCAGAACAGGACCCCTTCTCCGTCGTCCGAGATAACATGCAGAGGCGATTCTTCAACGTTATCCTCGCCTCTAGTACGAGAGCCAGTCGCCGACGAGACCCTCTTTACATCCGTGGTGAGTCCCTTCGGCGCTGTAAGCAACTCCGGATACTCGAAGCGAACGAATCTGGTTTGAGTAGCCCCATGGTCCCGCCTCCGCCTTACCAGCGGCCTATATCTCAGCCTACTAATATGTGCGTCGATGAAGCCCGCATCAATATCCAGCAGGTCCCTTAACACCTGGACGTAGTCCACGGGCAACTCGCGGAGGACCAGGAGCCGGCGTTGGGGCTCAAACCTCTGCGGTTCCTTTTCTTGCTTCTGGATATCAGTGCGCAGCTCTTCAGCGCTTCTAAAGTGCCGCCGGGAGCAGTCGTGCTGACTCCCTGTCCATTCCAGCGCATAGGCCGGGCCTAACAAATCGAGCTTCTGCTGCTCTAGATTTGCTTGCGTCATGGCTGAAACCTCTATTGTTGCTCGAGGTTTCTCTTGTCAAAAATCAAACCACAAAGAAGTCTACAAGAAAGCGAATCTCCGTAAACATCCAAGCACGCTTCGCTTACAATGCCATAAACTTCCCGTTCGTTCGTTAGTTCCACCGTCTGGATCCGGGGTGCATAAATCCTATGTACCTATTAATAAGTTTGCCCCCAAGAACGTTCTCGCGCGAGCGCCGAATGCATTTATTATTCTGACTTGGGTCCCAGGATGACGATCCCTGGGTAGCATTCGGCAAGGCGGCTCTTACTGTTATATATTAATGTGCATACGTTGGTAGTATATATTAGATCAGCACGATTATGAAAACAGAGTAGTGTCCCAACCTAGACAGTCCTAAAAATATGCCTATCGTGTGCCGTCGATCATCTAGTGACGAGTAGCAAGACTACTACCTAGGTTACTACCTTCCATAGGTAGGTAGGTAGTAATAGGAGTGAGTAATATTCAAGTGCTTCTAAGAGCGAACTGGATTTATACGGATCGGATCGGACCGGGCCCTAACGAGGTAGGGAGGTAGCAGGCATCGCTTCGTCAAGAAAGCAGCCTCGTGTCGTGCCGGAGGGTGGTCACAGGGAATACTACATGACACCCACTCGCTCCCCCACGGATGTCAGGAGGCCAGCCTCAAACCTCATCATGCATGCATCCAACCAACACATATACTATCACGATCTAAAATCTAACTAACAGGTAACTAGTTAATTAATAATTAGAACAGTGTTTTTGCCCTGGTTATCCGGCTCTTCTTATTCAGATATGTACCTAAGGCACCTACTTAATTCGACACTATAAAATGTTAGGAAAAAGATACGTCTGAGAAGACTAATACACTTATCGAAAAAAACGCAACCATATGGAAAAGGCCAAAAAGAACAAGAACAAGAACAAGAACAAAAAAAGACATATGAACACTCCGATGACTAGTTAATGAATGCTAGGTATACTATCTCACAGGGTAAGCAGCGCGGGCTGTTTTCTTGTTTTCGTTTCAAGACTTTCTAACAGAACAAATTGATATAAAGTGGCGAGACCTTATTTGCAACTGTCATACAAATCATACGAACGAGCAAGTGAAGCAAGTCTCTGCTACAGTTTCGCGAATCCCCTTTTCTTGCGATCTTCCCTCCCAAAAAATAAAACATAAAAAAACTCCCTCGTGCCCAACAAAAAACGCCATACATATGAATGCTTCTTGATGCCGCCATCGTTTCCCTTCCCTTCTTCGTACTCGGCCCCTAGTCGCAATCTTCTTCGATGTGAATGGTAGGACAGAGGAAAAGACGTAAATTGATGGTGATTATTTTCCCATTTATTTCAAGGCTCATAGTACAAACCCGCTGGCGATGCGTGGAAATCAACGCTGCGTGGCAAAATATATCACAATTCGATAACCACATATAAATTCAGGCTGCCGAAACAGACATGCTGCTGAATGCCAATAATAGGGTGGCGTAGAACAGAGCATCTGCTGTATCGACCAAGGCGTTGCTCCTGCATCATCACCTGTCGCTGTCGTAATCATCGCCATCGTGGTGTAATGTTACACTATTGAATTCTTCGAATGGGTCGGCCCCTTCGTTGCCGGGTGTTGCTAGTCCGCTGTCCAACGGTACACCCGGTATCGGTCTCGAGCCGGTGATATCAACGCTCTCACTCTCTTTAACGTTTCTAAAATTGACTGTGTCGACACCACGGCCCGCGTGCGGAACTATCGGCGGCTTCATATGTCGAATCAGGGCCCATTGCGTTGTCCTGAAGAACGGATGTACTTTGATATCGGAGGCTCCGGCTCTTGCACCTAGCCTTCTCGTCTCGTCTTTTATCAGGAGCTTTCTTATTAATGACTTGCAAAGACTAAACAGCGGAGTTAGCGTCAATGCAGCAAGTTAGTTCTCAGCTTAAACATACTTTGAAATTTGGGGTGCTCCAGAGTGTTCCGGAAACGGTATTTCTTCCCGGAGGATGTTGGCAAAAGTCGCGTTACGATTCTTGCCTTTGAAAGGTGTAGTGCCGTACAACATCTCGTATATCAAGATGCCCAATGTCCACCAATCCACAGCACTCGTGTGCCCGCTGCCCTTGATGACTTCTGGAGCGATGTACTCTTCGGTTCCTACAAATGAATTCGTTCGGAAGTTGGCGATGCACGACTTCGTATCTATCGTAGGGAGTGACGAAGTGCTAGCACCATTCTTTCCCATGATCATAGTAGGCTTCCCGCCAGGATCCGACTGCTTTGAGAGATCAAAGTCAGAAAGCATGATATGTCCTGACTGGTGGAGAAGAATGTCTAGCAATATAGTTAGTATATAGTTAGTATGGCTTGGGTAGAAAGAGAAAGGTGAACGCACTCTCGGGTTTTAGATCCCGGTAGATAAAGCCCATTAGATGAAGATATTCTAGAGCGGCCGTAACTTCGGCAGCATAGAAGCGGGCGTCATCTTCGGGAATGCATTTGCCAGGACGAGTCTGCAATGCTCGGAAGAATTCTCCACCACTGCAGTATTCCATGCACAGGTATAGATGGTCCTCGGACTGGAAGGAATGATATAATGTCACGATGAATGGGTGATTACTCGTCGCTAGGATTTCTTGTTCGGCTAATGCTCTCTTGATCTTATTGCGCTTGATCATCTCCTTCTTGCTTAGGACTGCTTGGGTCAGCGCGGTTCTATACGAAACGAGTAAAACAAATATTGTGGAAAAACTTACCCTTCATAGCATAGAGCCTAGAACTCTTCTTCTCTCTCACAAGGTAAACCTTTCCAACATCTCCCTTTCCGATGAGCTTAATCTTGTCAAAGCTAGCGGGACCAACTTCAACGGTGCGGACTTTGATCGAGTTGGAACTATACGTCCTGCGGAAAGCGAGCGAGGTCTGGCTTGGCGGAGGAAGCGCGCCGAGTCCATCGTTTTCTGGTACACAAAGGCCCCCAGAATCGGCGGAGTGTGTCGCCTTGGCATCAGCAAAGCCTAACGAAGCGGCATTTTCGCCTTGAATCAACGGCTCCTTGCCGAGTTCAGCTGTGGCTGGCCTCTCCCCGCTGCCTTTTCCGTGGTTGAAGAGACCCTGAGCATTGGGGGCACTTGCAACTCTCCGTAGTTTCCGAGCTAGCTCCTCTTTCGTAGCATTTGTGGCCTGCTCTTTCGCAGTCGTACCATCAGGGCCGTGTATTTTCAGGCTTGGCGTATCTGGCGGGCTCGGCGGAATGGAGCCTTCGTCGTGATGACGGAGGCCAGGCTGGCCCTGGTGGGCGAAGTACGGATTCGCATTGGCGGTAGGACTAAGTGCATCGTCTAGGGGGTGTCCTTCGCTAGCCGTGGTAGTCGATCTAATCCTGCCGACGTTGGTGAAAAATCTCCTCGACTGACGGAAGCCAACTTTGCTCTCGGACTTCAAGGCATGGTCGAGACTCTTTTCTTTATCTCCATTGGTATTGGAGGAGTTAATGCGGAAGAAATTCTTCAGCTTTTGATTGAAGTGATTGTTATGGCTATTATTGCCGGTCGAGGCGGGCGACTTGACGGGCATCTTGTCGGTGTCGGTATTTTCGCCTATGTCAGAGTCCCTTAGGTCAACATTCGGGTGATGCCATGATGTAAATCGCTTTTTGATGCGGAAATGAGGGCCTCGTTTGGTAACGGATGTTGTTGGTGAGGGAGAGTTTTGGGACGGGTGACTGAGGTTGGAATGGTGTTCAATTGACTCGTCGGACCCCATGTCGGCGGTAGCGCGGCGGCGGTAGCAGGTAGCAGGTAGCAAGTAGCAAGTAGCAAGTAGCAAGTAGCAACAAGCAGTAATTGCAGCAGCTGTCGTCTGCTGGATGGTGCCAATCTAGGCCTGGCGTAAAAAAGCTTGGGACAGGTCGGCAGGTCGGCAGGTCGGGAAGTGCTGGAGCACACTCGGACAGGTACCTATGTAGACAGGGCGGGTTTAGGCGCTTGGTCCAGGGGGCAGGGGAGTAGGAGAGCCACTAATAAGTCGACCCACCAGTAGCCAGTGAGAACGAGGGGCAAAAGGGGTGGACCTGAGGGGACAGAGTACCTAATCCACTTGGCACCTGGCACTTCAAACTTGAGATACGTTGCGTCCCGGATTCTTGCCTTTTGGGTCTTGCTCTTTTTCTTGCTTGCTAATCAACCCAAACTGATAAAATCACCACATTAATATAAGGTACCTACCCTTCTTCCCTGCGACGTAATAAAATGTAAATGTTTTGTTTCTTAAAGAGGACTTTTCCGGATGTATACGTGAAGTTAGGTCTCCGATGGCTGCGGATGCGGATGCGCTAATAAAACACGGGTCTAGCTATGTAGGTACGTACGCGATAGTGTAAATCCAGATGCTTTTCGCTAGACCCTTTCGGTCTGCATGAACATTGATATGATAGGGACGGGACGTAAACGAGGGATGGGTTCGGTACGCGGTACGCGGTATGCGGAAGGGTATACGCGGAGAGGGAAAGGGAAAATTGACGAATGAATAGATGAATATAGGAATAGTAAAAGTTGAGGGGATATGTTATGTTCCCTTTAGACGATATGAAGAGAGGCACAACCGTGAATTCGGGCTTAGCAATAACATCTTAGCTTTCCACTTACATGTACATACCTACATAGGCACCTAGGTCAGATTTAAAGAAGTACCTGTAGACCCCGTAGGCTGCATGTATTGTACATATGTATTGTACCTAGCGCCACCGTTATTTCCGTTTAGGTACCTAGGGATTTTACATATTGCACATTCGGTATGTACATGTAATCAGGCATTACATTTGTCCGTCTATACATTTATTTCTACATTTACACTACGGAACCTACAAACTACAAATCTCACGTGGCCTTATTCTCCTCACCTTTATTGTTCTATAGAACCCCAAAATTACGAAGTATGGAATGCTGGCCGTGGGAAATATGAAAAACTCTATAGTAACGCTGACTGCTGATGATGTCTTCTGTTAAGGAACATATGTGTGGATCCGTCGATAGGTACTATCGATACGATACTACCTTGAAGTTTCAAATGATGTCCCTGTTTATTACGTCATAATAGAAAACGTGCCGTGGGAAGAGGCCTAGAATTTATGGATTGGTCAGCCTCCAAATGCTATCGGACATTGTTGACGATATTAGCACCGTGAATGTACCATACATAACCTTAAGCTACTCCTATACATATATGTACCTACCATAATGTAGTAACTTATAACACGTCATGCTATATGTATTTATAATTAATGCGGTGCATTGCGTTTTTAACTCAAGCTCTGTTTTACCATGTAGTTAGACTCATAGAAGCCCGGTAAAGTTATGCCTTTGAAACCCTAGTTACCCACCACTGTAGGTATGCAACAGAAATGGGAGTCGTGTCAAAGTCAAAAGGATGCTTGGTATATGCATGTCTTACAGGTTTCTTACTCCGAATATATACGCGCCTGAAGTGCGTCCTAAATCGGGAAGTTCGAATATCGAAGTAGGTAACCATGAAAGCTATTATTCCTTCGGAGTCGAGTCTACCTAGAGACCTAACCCTCATGACCAGATAGACCAATTGTGTATATCCAGACTGCGCTCAGCACGGAATAAAGCTATCCCTATTGCTGTTAACATATGGGCGACAAGACATGGCCACCTATAGTCATCTTAAATCAGACGAGCCCAAGCGTTTGCCTTGTGTATTCCTCTTCAGTTAGAGCATTCTCGTCCTGTTGAATTAGGAGACGCCTCAGTTTCCGCTTCCTCTCTTTGTACTGCTGATCGTCCTCGAGTCGCTGTTCAGTAATTGATGGGGTAACTTGGTTTCCATCCTCGTCAAACAAGTACTCCGGAAGTTCATCTGCGTCTCGCTTCAGTGTTGCGATACCTTCGTTCTGGTACCCATCTCCCATGTGCCACACAAACGACCTGAAGTGCATTTTCTCCATATGCTCTTCGAATTCCGTTTGGGTTTCGAAATGTATAGGGGTGTCCCTTGCTACGCACTTGCCCCACTGACAGACTAACGGGTCTTCATCCCCATGGACGAGAAAAACATGCCTGCGTAGTGTTTTCATATTTTGCAGCTCTGCCGGACAAGGGTGCTCCGAGGACCGTTTCCATTCGCACAAGAATGGCACGTATTCAACATTAGACCGTAGGTACCATTCTCTAGCCGAAGGTATAGAATCGCGTGGCGGCCTCCCGCGCCGCTTCGGTTCTTTAGAGGGGTCTTTCCTAGGTGCATTGGGCTTAGCATCCCCTGTGTCGTCTTCTCTTCTATCCGCATACGAGTTTTCAGGCTTCCTCCAACCCTTTGGTCTGCCCCTCTTCTTCGGTTGGAAACTAGTTCCTTCTATTCCATGTTGTACCGGAGCTGGAGGCAGAACGATAGAGATATTTCCCCTTACGGTTGTAGGATCCCCTCTTGGTCGTGGTTCCTGACTTAACCCTATAGACTGTCCCTGCCTAATATGAGATGGCGAGGAGGGTGCTGATGATCTAATATGCACAGCTAGTTGAGATCTGGTTTGCAATGGTGATTCTGAGGTAACTGTAGAGGGCTCTTGAATTTTTTGCTGTCTGGCCGAATTTCGTTGATTTGAGTAAAGTGATAATGCCGCTTTAAGGCTGGTGTTCTGGCTTGGTTGCGGTATATCAGAAATAACGGGAGGTATCGTGAAATCTTCTCCAAGTTCATCGTTGAGATCACTAGAGACGGATGTCAATGCCTGAAAGCTACTGGTCGCGCTGCTCTCAGCCATGACTTCTTTTATCACCATGCCATAAACAATTCCACTACTGTCTCATTAAGTTAGAGCTATAAGAGCAGATACAAATATTATTGTTGGGATTTGAAGGTACTTAATATCTGAACTTGGATAATTCCTCGTGCTCTTGTTTTAGAGAATATAACTACCTTAGGTAAGGTAGGTAAGCTTCCCTGCAGAGACAAATGTTTTCACTCAATCGCGTTGTTGAGTCGATTGAATTACATGGGAGTCGAGCAAAAACGGTTACGCGACAAACGAATACCAAGTTCCCTTTGTATGGTTGTACGGGCTGATTCCGTTACGAGACGTAGTAGAGACGTAGTAGAGACGTTTAAGCGTCAAACTTAAGATTAAAACGGACCTTAACCTAACGGTTTATTAGTTTTATTGGTTTTATTGGTGGCCATAGCTCCCGACAGGAAGGTGCTTAGGTAGGTTTCCCATTACTACGATCTCCGCGCTCTCCAGTTACTGATGCTGCACGTCATCGTCTTTCGGTCTTTCGCAGCCGGAGGCGTGCAGATTCAACTTGCTATTCGACAGCCGGGCTATTGCGACATCTTGTCAAATTTGTCATCAGTACACTAACTCTCTGATGCAGAAGTGTAATTATTAATCGTTATCGCGGCATATGTATTTCTAGATCATTTGCGGAGTAGACAAAGGTGAGAGATCGCTACTTATAAGTGAGTCTCAAGATCCGTCTAAGATTAGACTATATCCATTCCAAACAATATCCAATATCCAATATCCAATATCCAGCTAGTATTAGTAGCTTAATAACATCCTCAAAATATTTGCGTCTTTTTTATAACCCGAGTCTATATAAAATGTCTTCCAAGTTGTTTGCTGTCGTCGCTGGTGCTGGCCCAGGCACAGGTAAGCGCCTCCTCCAACAGGATAACCCGCAAATTCATTAATAAAAGTCTTCTCTAGGAAGAGCTTGTGCTATCCGTTTCTCCAAGGCCTACCCCGTGGTGCTTTTGACTCGTACACCCGAGTCGTACCAGGACACCGTGGCCGAGATTAACAAGGCTGGTGGCAAAGCGATCGGTATCAGTGCCGATACTTCGGATGTCAAGTCGGTGGATTCGGCCTTCGAGAAGATTGCCAAGGAGCTACCAGGCTTCAAGCTTGCTGCGGCTGTTTACAATGTTGGCGCTGGATTCCAGAGGAAGCCATTCCTTGAACTGAGCGTCGAAGACTTCGATGTCGCTGTCGGTGGTAATGCGTATGTATAAGTATTTCAGAAGCTTGCTGATCCTAAACTGACGAGCCGGATAGTCGCGGCCTCTTCAACTTTGCTCAGAAGACTCTTCCACTACTCTTGGACGCCGTACCAGAGTCAGAGCACCCACCTACCCTACTCATCACAGGTGCTACGGCTTCTATCAGGGGTTCATATCTGTTCTCAACAATGGCTGCTAGCATGTTTGCTCGGCGAGCTCTTGGCCAGTCCCTAGCACGCGAATTTGGACCCAAGGGAGTACATGTAGCACATGCTATTGTCGACGGAGTTATCGATATACCTCGCACGAGTCACTATAGCCCTAACAATGGCGCCGAGGATGGCAAGATCAGGGCTGATGCGGTAAGTACTTAATTCGAAATCGTTCACTCTCTTTTAGTGCTGACTCAAGAATAGATCGCCGAGAGTTACTGGAACTTACACACCCAGCACCGTTCTGCGTTCACGCAGGAGATAGACATACGGCCCTATGTTGAGAAGTTCTGAGCTTCTTTCTCCTATCATTATCGAAGTGAGAGATCAAGATCGTATTTACTTCTTCCGAGACAGCTGGGACTTCCAAACACAAGTAGGCATATCTGCAAACAAATATAAATGGCTTGAATTCATTGAAATCAGCTTTATAGGTGTTAAAACAAGCTTGGTGAACACAGATAAACTGCTTGATGCATTCTGAATCATCTTCCCCCGTCAACTTGAGTGCTCAATAGACACAATATGGTAGTAAATCGAAGGGGATTACCTCGTCGTACTAACTACCCTGCCGTTGAGAGACAAGGACTAAAAAGAATCGAGTTTTTCTGTGCTTCCCATTTGCATCAATCTGATTGGTATGGTCTACGTAAACCTCAAGTTAGAAGACTAAACCTGTCAATTTAATAATAGGTTCCCACTGTCCCGCACGGTTCAAAGATCAGTAGTAGCTCGACCTACGCTGAGTTTCTGTAGTCCAGAATGCGATAGGTGATGTTGAGCTGCTGGCATGCCGTTGGTTTTGACGAGCCACTTGCATTGAGCACCCATCTTTCAGGGTGAGACGCTGATTTACTTGGAGATTTCACTCCACTACTCCACTACGATGGGACGATGTATCAGGCGCCTGCGGTTACAGGGGTACCATCGCCGGTATCTGGGGGTTGAGTAGAGTCGGCCGAGTATCCTGCGGCCGCCGCTATCCGGTCTGCTTCCTTCTTGTCTCGGATTGCCTGCGTTTCTTGCCTTAGCCTTTCTAGATTCCAGGCACTATCCTCCTCGTCTTCTTCTTCGGACTCGTCTTCTTCTGTGAATCTCCAGTTACCACTCTCGAACAGGGCACGACCAGTCGATTCCTTGGCTTGGCGAGCCTGTTCCTCGGCCGCCTTCTTGTCTAACCGATCCTTCTTCCATTTCGCAAAGCTTTCTGGAGTGACAGGCGTGAGCGTTCCGGTAAGCTTGTGTCTTTCCGACTCTAAGAAATCCTCGAGGGTTAGAGTCTTGAGCGGAGATTTATCCATGAGAGCCTTCTCGGCTGCGCGTTGTTCTTTCGTCTTAAGCACGAAACTAAATTGGTTATGTTAGACAATCTGCTACGCGATCCTAATATATAAGAAACATACCCTGGTGGAAGAGCGTGCTTATACTTGCATTTGTCGCCTCCGTTTGGACATGTCCAGAACCAACCGTATTTTCCGTCTTCAATCGCTTCAATGAAGAATTTGCAGACTTTGTCGGTGGTAGTGACTTGGTTGCCCTTCTTGGAAAGGACAACTTTTCGCAACTTCTCCTCGTCCCAGTCTTCAGACGTCTCCTGCTTCTTCTTCTCTTCCTCTTCTCCCCGACCGTCGGTATAGAGGTTCTTCTTTTCGGTTTTTCGTTCAACTGAGAGATCATGTGCGAATTTGCACTTCTTTCCCTTCTCGCAATTGCCTTTCTTGAAAAATATACAGACGACAGTCTTAGGATCGACACCGAAGGGAACTTTCTGGATCTGTGCTGGTTTGTTGAGTAGTAGGTCGGCTTCTCGCTTAGCATCTTCGGCGGCCTTCTTCTCGCGGGCTCGAGCATCCTTTTCAGCTTGCTTCTTTTTCTCTTCCGCGCTACCTCCGGCTTTGGCTGTCGCCTGGATCTGCTTGATATGCTTTTGGGCAACAGCACCCTTCTTATTTTTCATACCGAAGGTCTTGTCCTCGGCAACCTTGGCAGCCGAAGGCTTTTTGCCCTTGGGCTCATCTTTCTTCTTTGGAGGCATCTTGAGATAGAGTAGTATAAGTAATTGAGGGCCCTATACAAAAAGAGGGATGTTCAGTTCGTCGAGGTAGGGGATTAGACGAAGTTTGCGCCCGGCTGGGCTATATACAAGAGATTATGACGGTTTGGCGCAAAGTCTCTACGCAGAAACGATAGGTTAGGTAGGCAATTTAGGTACTTTAATGATCACGAACACTAAAGAATGAAAGATGGTGGGCTGTAAACTAGCGGGGGTACCTACGTACATAGTTTTGGGATAACATCACGTGAGAGAGAAATGTGGCGTATCATCTAGGTTTAAGTACTATGTAGATACCTACTAATGGAAGCATGCATATATCGTAGGTATACATAGGTACATATATAGGTTCTTAGCGTATCATACTAGCCACAGTTCTTCTGCCCCACATGCAGTGCCTTCACGGGTATGTATATAATACAATCAACCTTAAAGGTATATGTACCTAACCTCATTATCGTACCAGATTCCGGTGGTACAAGAAAACCGTTAATTAATATTTAAATTTTTTTATCTGTTTATTTACTATAAAACTTTTATTACCCGTTTTAAAAATTTAACGTTTATGTAATTTTACGTTTACCGATTTTTTACTATTTATTTTTTTAAACGTTTATTTTTTTTTAATAAATTATATATATTTTAATAATAAATATTTTTATATTATAAAATTACCGTTTATTAATAATTAAATTATTTAATATATAATTAAAATATATTATATTGTTTTAATAATAAAAAATGGTAAATTATATTATAATAATTTATATATTATTAAGGTTTATCATAAGTGAAAAGTTAAAGTTATATTAATAAAAAAGACGAAGTCTTTTTAATTTATAAAAGTAAAAAATAAGTTAAGCTATTTTATCTACGTTATCGTTATCGTAGTCTTATTACGTGATCTCATCATATATATTTAAATTATTTAAGATATAATTAAAGTATTTTTTAACCTTTTAATATATTTATTAATTATATAAAATAAACGTTTAAATAAAATTAATTTAATTATTAATTAAATAAGGTTTAAATAATATTTAAATAATGGTATTAACATTAAGTAATTTTATTTAAATTTTTATAATAAAATTAATAATTTAAATAAATTTTAAAATAAAGTATTTAAATTTTAAGACGGGATATTTTTAACAAGATAAAGTTTAATAATAAAATTATTAAGATTTTTTTTTCGTAAGTCTTTACTTGTTATATTATAAAAATGTGTTTGTATTTATATCGATCAAATAATAAGTAATATTTTAAATATAACCTATTTATTTTATATTATTTTATATAATTTATAACTTAAATTAATTTATTATTTTTATTATTTATATATTATTTATTTAAGATTTATAGAAAATAACTTATTTAAAAAGTTTATAAAATTTTTAATTTTTAAAATATATATTAATCGATCTTTATTTTTACTCTTTACCGATAAGAAAATAAAATTATATAACTTTTAATTAATTTTATAATTAATTTTATGGAAAAATACCTTTATTTATCCTTACTTTTATCTCGGCTTAACCTTTAATTTAAAACTTAAATAAATTATTAATAAACAATTATAAATTATTAATAAGTAATTATAAATTATTAATAAGTAATTATAAATTATTAATAAATAATTTTAATATTATTATATTTTAAAATCGATATTAAATTTCATTTAAAGTATTAATATTTAATTGTTTTTAATACAATCTATTATATTATACTTATATTAAATAATAAAATAATGTTAGATTAATTAGCCATGTTAAGTAACTTAAAAATCCTTAATCTTATATAAAATAACGGTGTAATACACGTTCCCACAATTTTACCTTAATAAATTAAATTATTAAAAATATGATGAATTAAACCTTATATAACATTTATTTAATATGTATTAATTATGTAATAATTAAAAATCTTATACGTTTAAACTATATAAGCTTTAAAAATAAAATCTTAACTAATATTATATAATATAATACGTATATATTAAAATAAATTTTAAATAAATTATTATTTACTTATTTATTTTATTATAGATTTTATTATATTATTATTAAATCTTAAATTTAAGCATTTTAATAATTAAAACGTATGGAATAAAACGTTTATATTATTTGTTTAAAGTTATTAATTTTAAGAATGGATAAATTTTAATAACGTTAATATATATAAAGAATTTAAGGTTTAACTTAAGCTTTTTTCTTAAATGTCTTAAATTTAAAACTACAAAAAATTATCCAATTTATTTAAATCTTAATTAGGAATAATAACGAAAATAAAAACTTCATTAAAAAAATAATTATTAGCAATATTAGTTTTAAATAATTAACCTCTTCTTTTTTAAATAATATAAAAAATAATTAAAATTTTACAAAAATTTTATTTAAAAGAATTAAATATATATATATATATTAAAAATAAATATAATTAATAAAAAAAAGATTATTAAATTAAAATAATTAATTATTTAAACCGTATTAAAATTTTATCTTAAAATTATATAATAATTTAAATATATAATTTAAAATATATATAATATTTTAAAAAGTTACCTAAATATATACATATTAAAATATAAAATTTAAGATAATTATATAAAGGTTATAACATTATTTATAAAGGTATTTAAAAGTTAAAAGGTTTGGATAATTAATTAGTTTATTACTTTTATTAAAATTAAACGTTTAAGGTTAACCGCTATTAAAAATTCCTAAAAATAGTTTTACGTATTAATATTAGCCTTAAAATTTATATTAATAGATTGAATAATTATAGCATTATAAAAAAATATATAAATTTTTGAAAACGTTAAAGGAAAAAGAAAGATAATTAAAGGTATTTTTAGGTTAATTTATGGTACGGATAAAGGTAAAAATATTAATTAAAAAATAAATTTAATTATTAAAAAATTATTATAACTTATAAAGATTTTTAAAAAACGGTAAGACAATTTTAATAAACGTAAAAAAATTAATATTAATTTAAATTAATTTTATAAATATTGAAATTATAATTATAACGTTAAATATAAGACTTATTAAAACTTTTATAACATTAAAAATTATTTTTATATATTTAAAAATAAAAAATCTAAATATTTTAAATTTAAGAAAATAAATATTATTTTGGTAAAACTAACTTTAAAAATTAATTTTAATTTAATAACTAAAATAAAAACTTTAAAAAAAAATAAAAGTTTAAAGGATAAAAAATAAAAATAATTAAATAAATAAATATATAATTATTACGAAAAAGGATATAACTTTTATAATATTAATTTACACCACCGTTTTTAACATTATTTAATATCTATTAAAAAATTTAATAATATTAAATTTAAAGATTATTATTTATATATTTAATAAAATATTTTAATTTATTAATTTTAAAATAATATTATTAAACAATTATATTATAATAAATAATAATAAAATCAAAGTTATAAATTATAATAAAATAAATATTTATACTTAATACTTAAAAAGATTTATTTGGATAAAATTGATAAATATAACTTATTACAAAAATTTTATTTATATTTTTATATTTTTAAAACAATTACAAAAATAAAATTATTAATAAAATATATATAATAATTTTACTTATTTAAAATAATTAAATAATATTATTATAATTAATTTATATTTGAAGATATTTTTTATACCTATTATAATATTTTAAATTTAAGGTTTACAAGAATCTTAAATACCGTAATTACCTCTCGTTAATATTTAAAATTAAAACATTTAAAGTCTTAAGCTTTAAAATACTTAATTAACGTTAATAAAAAGGTAAAAATTAAAGGATTTATAACGGTTAAATACAAGGCATATAATATATTTAAAGTAAAATACTAGGTAAGGCATATATTACATTACATTAATAAGCTTCTTAATATAAAACTAATCTTTAATTTTTATCTAATAAAAATAAATAATTATAAAATTATAAATTTTATGTTAATTATTAATAAATAAATTGATATAATTTTTAACTATTATTTATATAATTAAAAATTAAAAATAATAATTATAACCTTAAAAGACCTTATTAAATTATTAAAATACTAATATAATATTATCTTATAAATTTAAGAATTAAATTATAAGATTACTTAAATAAAACTAGTAATAAAAAACTATTTTAAAAACTTTTATATAAAATTAAAATTTTTAATCAATTATATATAGGTATAAAACGGTATTATTAAACGCTTAAAAGATATAATTAAAGATAAAATTAAAATTATAAAAACAAATGCAAAACTATTATATTTACTATAGTTAAAGATATATAAAGTTGTAATATATTTATACAATCGTATATTATAATATAAACATAACTAATAATCTTTATACAATCGTTTTTACATATTTATAACAGTGAATAACAATATTATAATCTGGGAAAAGAAGCTTTAATAGGCCCATTTATAAATATATAACTATAAAGCTTACGTACTAATAATAAACGCCTTGAAAAAAACTAATAAAAAATATTAATTAAATTTAAAGGTTTGGATAGGTTTTTTAATAAGTTATATATTAATTAATATATATAAGATTTGAAATTTCTATATAAATAAAATAATAAAAACCCGTAATATGATTTTTAACGAAGATAAGTTATTTAATAAGAATTTTATAAGGTTGAAAAAAAGATTACATAATAATTTATTTCATATAAACGTTAAGAAATATAACCATATATTTTAATTTATCTAAAATTCTTAATTAATTATTACTTAAGTTATTAACAATAACATAATAAATAATAAATTTAAACATATTAAAGATATAAATGTATTAAAACTGGATTTAATATTATTGGTAAATGATATATTAAATAAATTTAAAGCAATAAACACCACGATAAAAATTAATTACCTTTATATAAATATTAAATTTGCCCTTATATTAACCTTAAATCTATTACTACCAATAGCTTTATTTATAGCTATAATATGCTTTAAA